ATGTAAAAAAAAAATAGGTACTTAATTTTTGACCAAATTTCCGTATAAATAAATAAAGTGTGGACACGTTCCAAGTGTTCCAAATGTGGACGCGTGTGTGTGTGTATACCTAATCTGTAGGGTGTTCACACGATGCGTAATTAATTACATAACTTTTGGTTAACTTTACTTAGAAGTTTATTAATATTTATGTTATATTAATTTTTATTTTGTCATATATGATCGTCAAATATCACGTCCTCAAGTATCGATAGTAATTCACCAGTCACCTTGTATACTTATACCAATTATAAAGTTAACCGTTATTTTTAACCAGAGTTTATCTTTTAACTAAATTATTTTTTCATATATATTTGAGTAAGCTTTCTTCATATTTTCTCTTTTAGAGCCATTCTTCAACGTCGTCTACATTGCATTATTCAAATGTTTTACGATTTGAAGACATACTAGTGTTACTCTCTGGCGTTGCTTTTGTATAAAATATATATATAGATAAAGCAACTATCTTTGAAATATAAAGTATATTATTATAATTGTTCTCTTTTACCTGGCAATTTCCCAGCTTTAGCCAGGGTCTGCCTTACATGTTGTGAATAGTTTTGGCTTATTGTTTTTACGACCGGTCGCCTGATTGACATCAACCCTCTTTGAGAATATATTATTATAATTATATTAATAAATAATTTAATAAAGATTTTTCATTTTTTAAACTGATATTATGAGATCTAAGATTTTCGCGAGCATTCATTTAGGTAAATGAAACTAATATTTTCGTACATACGCGATTTTATTATTTTAAAATACATACTTCCGTAGTTTCGGTTACTTTTCAGCAACCGTGATCATTAAGACGAGATGAAAAATCATTTTTAATAATAAAAAAAGCGTAGTGAATCCGAAAATATTAGTTTTATTTCAGAATACTAAAGTCTTGTAAGGTTTTCGTCAAATAATTAGTAATATTACCTCCAACATCCCATATCCTTAGTCCAAGTTGGCATTATCACACTACGTACTGAGATTTAAGAGTTTCTCAATCATAAATCTTTGTTACGAATGGAAAACGAGAAACGTGGCGTATATTTTAACATGTAATGACGCTGACAAAACAGTTAAGTTACAGAGAGGAGCATGGACGGTGGAGGTGAGCGTTTAACGTTAGATAGGGCCCCTTAAACCAACACCTGGGTCACAAGTCCCAGTCACTGTTGAAGCTCCTCTCACTACAACGATGGACCCGACACACGCACCGTGAATACATTGAATGATGAGAGGTTTCGTCTAAGTTAAATATTATTCCAATGTACTATTAAATAATCGCTGTGAAATTAGCCAAACTTAATTTTCTAATTTAAATCTAATGAATTTCAAGATACCCGATAATACGGTAAAAGATTTCAATAATAATTTAAACCCAAAAAAAGTTTTTCCAATATAATAATAAATATAAAACAAGTGGATCATAATATTTTTTCTCAACAATAATTTGCTGTTAAAACCTCTATACATTACGTCCTCTGCCTCTGACAGTTGACGTGTGGCGGCCATTTTGTGCGAATTTATTGCAGCCAAAATGTATTCCGTCGATTTATTACGCCGTTCCGTATAAAACTTGGATTGCTCGCTCGAAATAAATACATATATATTTACTATTTTTATAAATAATAAATTTAAAGTCTGGTAATAACTAAGTTTGTTAAATTTAATCTATATTTATTAGTGTTTAAACTGAACGTCTATTGACTAAGCTAGTTTTAAATCCATGAATTTCTTTTTTTATTAACAAGATTATTACTTAATTGATATTTTGTAAGTAATAAAACTAATTTTATTTATAATTTTATAAGAATTATATACTTATTTGCATTTAAATTCTGCAAAGGAAAGGCTGAATTTTTTTTCGTTTCAACCCAATCAAGGCACACGACATTCTGCCAAAGAATCTCCACACATTAATAAATGTTAATCGAGTATTAAGAAAAGGCTTTTATGGAAGAAAAGTACTTCAATTCTAATGCAATTTTCATGAGAATGCGGATTGTATTAAATTATTTATTTATTCTGTTTTATCTCTGGAGTCTGTCGGAGTCCGGAGTTTGTTTAAAAAAAATTGAGCAATGAGGTATAAATAAAAAGGTTTTATTATTATCGAATTAACTTATCTTTTATAATGGAGGAAAAGTAATTGTTTTATTTCTTTAATTCTACAATGTACCTTAAATGAAAAAGATGCAAAAAATGATAATTATATGGAATATATATTTAAATTAATATTAAATAGAAATGTACCAATTAGAGAGTATTTTAAAATTTTATGACATTCATGTTTTCACGACAAGCTTACAACAAGACGATACGAACTGAACAGAAATAAGAATGGTAAATAAATATTTGAAGTATTTTATTAACATATATATTATTAATTACAAATAAAATCATTTTTACAGTAATTTGTCTAATGTATATTCCTTTCTTTTATAAGTAGTTTAAACTTTAAATTAACTTTTATTTCAAAAAAGGTTACAGTTGACCTTTTTTCAAGTCGGAATACGCAGAATATTATATTTATAATATAATAAATTTATGAGTTACTATATTTTTATGATAACTCATATAATATTAATAATCTTCCAATTAAATATTACTTTATTTAATAATTTTTGCATACGCTTTTATAATAAAAAGTGACAGGTCTCATGTCAAACTATGTCTCCTTGTTCTAATTTCCGTCTGGGGATCTTATTCATTGACAAATCTCTTTTTACATAATAAATAATAATCTTCTATATATATATATAAAAATGGATTGCTGTTCCTTAGTCTCGCTAAAACTCGAGAACAGTTGAACGGATTTATCTTATCTTAGTCTTGAAATGTTCGTGGAGGTTCAGGGAAGGTATAAAAGCTGAAAAAAATTGATTCATTACTGGGAAAACCATAAAACAGCCCTTTTCTATTTCCCATACAAACGTTTTTTTTGACATTAGATTTGACAACTAACTAATATGTCAATCATTCTGTCGCACTTCAAAACACGGAGATTTATAGCTTACAGGTAAACTCCAAAAATATAAATAAAAAAACGTAATAAATATTTCTTGATTATAGGGCGATACGAAGTTCGCCAGGTCTTCTCGTTATATATAAGTTTAACACCATTACTTGAACATTATGTCAGTGGGTTTCACTTTTAAATATCACGAGACAAGTTAGTATAGTTAAAATAGACGGCATATTTTTCAGGATTTTTATCATTTTAGGGGCTTTTTGTGGAAAGAAAATACCATAAAGTTGGAAATGAGTATTAAGTCGTCTCACGCAACTTTAAAACATATTGTTACAAGTGGCGCCATCTGTGTCGTACCAATTATACTATAATCCTTATAATTATTATGATGACTGATTATAATGAATGATAATACTGAACCATTGTAATGTATCAACATAAGTATCACGTGTTTGTAAACTATCAATACTGGCTTCACACATCTTGTAACACATTACTGGAAGTAACTATGAACATTAAGAAACAAGAATGAAACTGTACCTCGAATAATATATCAAAATCTGGTTTACCCGACATTTGCTCGGTATTTAGGAGTTATTAGTATTTATTTTGTGTTTTTTTTATAATTTCGTTTAGGTATTTTAGTGAACACGTTACGAAGACACAAAACAATATGAATCTACAATTTATTTTTTAGTCTAACCTCAAAACAGACACTTAGTGACTTCTTTTTACTTAACAACGCCATCTGCTGTTCTGTCGTTAAAACAATTAGCAAAAGTAGTATTACTATTCGCCAATAGATGTCAGCAATAATCATATTTTATATTGGTGCTACTCAAACGCCTCCTTTTTGTTATTTTATTTCATAAAATGACACTTTCGAAAAATGATTCCTAGCTAGATCGATTTATCGCCCCCCAGACCCCCTATTTACTAAAGTTCATGAAAAACGTCAGAGCCGATTTTGAGATATATATATATACAAGAATTGCTCATTTAAAGATATAAGATTTCATGTTCTAAAACTGTCCAGTTTTATTTAAATTAAACTTCTTGTAAAATTATTAAGATATAATTAAAAATATTGTTCAAAAGTTTATAAACGCAGAATATGTGAAATTACTCGATTTAAAACGTCATTTCATTTTCTGAATACAAAATAGTTTAGTTTATTGAACAAATACGCAATGATTTTTATTAGTAACACTATTAAAATTCATGTTCACTATTAATATCGGATATAGAATACTAAGTATTAATTCAAAGATAACTTCCCACTGCTGAGCAAAGGCCTCTTCTCACATGGAGAAGGTTAGAGCATTAATCACCACACTTGCTCAAGACGGGTTGGCGATTTCAAACTATAATTGGAAATTATAAGTCCAGATTTCCTCACGATGTTTTCCTTCATCAGTCAGTGGTGTCTAAATACTCTTATAAAGTACATATGACTGGTAACCATCACATTGGTACTCGCCAGGATCGAACCCGCGCCCTCTTTCATTAGAGGCGGGCCTTTAACCACTAGACCACTACATTTCTTTATGTCTATATAAATTAAACTTCACATTCGTCGTATATTTATTTATCCTTATCGTTAATTTACAAGACAAAGTACATGTCTTTTATGTTAAACATAGAGTTTTTACATTTAAAATTATGGAAAAAACCATAAAAATATATTTATTTATATATAAATAAAAAATAAAAACTATTTATTTCATTGAGTTAAAATAATAAAAATATATAAATAAATTTATTTTCCATAACTGAGACTTAAATATTCATTTATTTATTTCATTTAAGTGCTTGAGAATTTTAAGTGTCATTAGGCCCCTTATTTATAATATCGAAGCCACTTAAAATATCAGCTATAAAAACAGAATCCAACAATTCATTTTATATCTAAGTCTAGACTGAGTTTAGGCCCCAGACTTAACTTTACCAGGGGCCTTAAATTTAGGGCCCCAGACTTAAAGGCCCCTGGGGCCTACAGTTTACAATGAGCCCCTTTCCGCGGTATATTAATAAATGGTAGCGGATTTGGATACAATCTCCTCCTAGACTTGAAGTCCACTAAATCTGTGATCTTAACAGGTTGTAAGGTCTCATCTTCATTATCTTCGCTAGACTCTTTGTTTCCAGCTCCTCCTTCAGCTACAGAGACTACATAAACTGATAGCTTCTGACGTTCTAGAGACTTAGGGCTTATGTGTTTCTGTAATAAATACAAGGAAATATAAATTTCGTATATAATATATGCCAATTTTTAATAGATTTTTTGGTTATAAAAGCATCATATTGAGATATAGATTCAATTCAAATTGAAGTATCATTGATTTTAAATAGATATTTATATTATTACTTTGTTAAACTATAACAAAGAATGTTCAAATTCTTTTAAGCCTGCAGTTATTAACCATTATAATGTGGACTCGGTTTGTGGGTGATTTCAGTTTAATGAAAGGTCAAATTATTGTTTCATATATTATATAACACATACCTTATAGAACTCTAGAAGTTCATCTTTAGTGACAGTATTCAACTCCTCAACTTCTACATGCATTCTGTCAAAATTGTACACCTGAAAATATATTAATGATTAAAGATATGTTTTATTTTATACTAGCTTTCCGCCCGCAGCTTCGCCCGCGTGATTTTCGGTTATATCGCATTTCCAAGAGAACCTTTCAAAATTCTGGGATAAAACCTATCCTATGTTCTTTGTCAAGGTCAACTCTATGTCTGTACCAAATTTCATTAAAATCAGTTCAGTGGTTTAGGCTTGAAAGCGTAACAGACAGACAGACAGACAGAGTTACTTTCGCATTTATAATATTAGTAGGGATATCTGATTTTCTCACCTGAGCCGTAATCTCGCTCCACATCTGCGAGGCCCTGGTCGCCAGTCTCTTCGGCTTTTCCAGTTTCTGCGCAGCTAGTGATGACCGATGCTTCATGAACTCTTCATCTGTCATATTTTCTAGATATTCCTGGGGAATGTTCCAGAAGTCTAATATAATATATTGTTAGAAGTACAGTGGGGGCGTGGCTGATGTGACGTCATAGTGACGTGGCATTTTTGAGGGTATATAAGAGATTGTTAGGTTGAGACCTAACAGTCTCGGTTTAGCCGTCGGTATGAATGAACTTTATATTGTTAATTAATTTTATTGATCAAATATCTGTGTACGTGTGTGTATGTGTGTGTAAAGCTATGTACTATTTTAATTAGATATTTTACGAATGGTTTTGAATAGTCTAATATAATATTTGATAGTTAACAAGGAAATTGTTACTTTAAACTATACAACTGTCATTATTATTAGTACAACTCGTTATATATCTAGTTAGTATAATAAGGATTCAAACCTGCGACCCCTGTATGAAGTTTTCGATCCTGTCCTCCAGGTAGGCCGGGTGTCGGTCGCTCTGAACGATCACACGTAGACCTTGAACGCCGTTAGAACGACGGATACCACTGAATACTATGTAGCCTAGCTGTTCCTGTAACAAACACACACTATATATATACATATATACTAGAAGACCCGGCGAACTTCGTATCGCCCTATAAACAAGAAATATCTGTTACGTTTTTTTATTTATATTTTTGGAGTTTACCTATTAAAGCTATAAATCTCCGTGTTTTGAAGTGCGACAGAATGATTGACATATTAGTTAGTTGTCAAATCTAATGTCAAAAAAAAAACGTTTGTATCAACAACTACTAATAAATTGAAAATTAATTAAAAAAGCATTGTCCAGCGGACAACATTATGAATCCTTGAACACACACAAAAAATGTCATCAAACTCGGTGCAGTCGTTTGAGAGAAGTTCAGTGACATACACACACACAGAAGAATTATATACATATATAAAGATATACCGTACCTGTGTCCTCAACACATGGAAGCACGGTTCACTCAGCGCCTGAGCCAGTAGCTCCAGCACCACGTTCTGCCTCACCCTCCTCACGCCGCACGCGTAGTAAACGGACGCGCACGAAGACTTGTGGACACTGTTCTCTATCTGACGGAGGAACCACGAGCCTGAGGGAAATATATGATATTGAGGGGTATAGATATACTAGAATATGAACTTAATTAGGAATGATTTTTGGAATCAACATATGTATTATAAGCAATCAGCTTACCACCGTCATTATTTATAAAAGAAGCACACACACCATTGTTTATAAAGGAAGCATTCAAACCGCCGCGCGCCTCTTGGCTCTTGGAGTTCGTAGTGCAAACACCGGTAGTGTAGTTTTGTTAAAGCGTTTAATAATTATTAATTTTAGGATTTTGTTCTTTCTATTTAATTAATTTCGTTGCTAAAATTACTTTGCGAGACTAAATAACTAGGTTAAGTATTAAAATTGTTTCTTTTAATATATCTGCTTCTGATTTCTAAAAGTATATTAAATTGTATACATTTGAAATTGTACGTTTTATATTGTGATAATGATTGGTCTTTTGATACTGGATAATGAATTTGAAGTTAACATATATTCGAGATAGTTTCAGTGTTGATTCTTAATGTTCATAGTTACTTCCAGTAATGTGTTACAAGATGTGTGAAGCCAGTATTGATAGTTTACAAACACGTGATACTTATGTTGATACATTACAATGGTTCAGTATTATCATTCATTATAATCAGTTATAATAATTGTAAGGATTATAGTATATTATAGTAAGACAAAGATTTTATTTCATAAGATTTGACTTAACAATAGACTATTTAACTAAAAATATTTATAAAAAGAAAGTTTTAATGAAAATTTTGATATTTATAGTTGTATATTATTAAGATTGATATCAATAAATGCAGTATAATTTAACCAGGGTTTGCTTGGAACATTGTAGATTTTGTAAGCTATGCTATATATGTAAATGTTTACCTTTCTCGATTTCTATTTCTCTGTACAATAATAATTGCTGCGCCAACAGCGGCGTCGCGTCTTTTGGTAATCTGTAACATAAAATTTTGACTTAAAAAGCAGTTTTTTTTTCGGGGCACACAAAATATTGCTTAATTTGAGGAAACTGTGATTAGATCTACCTGTAATATGTTTTTTTAGGGGGCAGCAGTACTTAATATATCATCTATATAAAATATTGTCACTTAAAGTAGATATTCGTTCGTGTTTGTGGCTACATTGTTCTAAAACGGATAGACAGATTTCGATGTAGTTTTTATCATTAGAAAGTCAGTTTCCTAGCTTGGTTCTTAGCTGTTTGGAAAATATTAATCCAAAACTGTAATACTCATCTCTAAACCAAAATTAGGCTATTTTTTGCTTATTACTTAATAAATTTAACACAAGTGACAACTAATTTGTACCGTATTTTTAAACATAACAATGTCAAAGATTTCGTTTGTTCTCATTTAAATAGAACTTATTTTTTCATAGACTACTGATTTTTTTATTATTCTATATGTATATAATCCTGACTTTTCTGTTCCGTCACAGAACAAAATTAGAATGAGTATGTGTCTGTTTTTTCATCTGATTCAGTTATTTATATAAATAAAATATAAAATACGTGAAATTTTGCAGAAGCTTTGAATATAAAATTGTGCTTTAAAACACTATTAGTTCATTTCTATAGCATAAACTAGTTTTGCCCGCGATTTTGTCTACGTTTATTTCATAATTAGAAATGTATATGCCAGGCAAAACTGTTTCCATTTAGTAAATAAACGGATTTTAGATTTTATTATCATTTTTTTTAGGTAGAACGAATTCAGAAGTATCCTATATCCTTTCTATGTTCTAATCTATCTCTCCACCAATCTTCATTCAAACACGTACAGTCGTTCTTGAGTTATAAATAGTGTAACTAACACGACTTTCTTTTATATATACACTAGCTTTCCGCCCGCAGTTTCACCCGCGTGGAGTTCGGTTATATCGCGTTTCCAAGAGAACCTTTTAAAAGTCTAGGATAAAAACTATCCTATATTCTTGTCCGTGCCAAATTTCATTAAAATCAGTTCAGTGGTTTAGGCGTGAAAGCGTAACAGACAGACAGACAGAGTTACTTTCGCATTTATAATATTAGTAAGGATACCTTATAATGATACACATACTTGTCTTCTATACTATCAGCTACCTCCAAGGCTCGCTCCCTCGTCAAGTTACCGAACATAAGACCTTCTACGTGGACTCGTCTGATCAGTAAATTGGTGAACTCGGTCAACTGTTCCGGGGTTAAATCTAATGGACAAACATACATAAATAAATTATGATTTTACGGTCGGTCGATGCAATGAAATCAAAATTTAAATGAATAAATTTAATTATAAAGTAAATTACTATTAATTGGTTCGACTATATTGAAGGGTAAACAAATAGTGACACAATATTCTAAAAGAGATATAAAATTAAAAAGTCTATTCACACGAAACTGAGTCAGTCCCGTGTGGAATAAACAATTTTACTTAGAAGTTAAAGGCTTCTGCCGATTACACCGTATAAAGATAATTATAATTTAATTAAATGACCACTTATGACACCGTCACGTAACAAATACATAAAGAAACAAACAAACAAGTAATTAAATAAATATATAGTTATACTATGTGAGTTTATTTTTCCCAAAGAGGGTTGATGTCAGGCAGGCGACCGGTCGTAAAAACAATTAGCCAAAACTATTACAACATGTAAGGCAGATCCTGGCTAAAGATGGGTAATTGCCAGGTAGAAGAAGAATAATTGAGTTTATTTGTTAAACAGTAATAGTATTTGCATTATCAAAGAACTAATCTGTGGTACTTATAATGTTTGTATACATTTTTTATCTTGTTTCGTTGGCTGTACTTACTCTGAGCAGCTTCTAGTAATTGACATCTTGTCCACACTAAATCGGAGAGGCACATGGCTTGTTGATAAACGGCGTGCTGAAATAATTATATTAATATACATTAATTATTTTTATTATTATTATTAGGATGAGTCTATAAGTTTTCAGTGCCCCCTGCTGAGCCTCTTCTCACATGGAGAAGGTTTGAGCATTAATCACCACGCTTGGCCACGGGTTGGTGATTTCAAACTTATAATATGATTAAGTCCATGTTTCCTCACGATGTTTTCCTTCATCTATCAGTGATGTCTAAATACTCTTATAAAGTACATATGACTCGGAACAATCACATTGGTACTTGCCAGGATCGAACCCGCGTGTCACGCATGAGAGGCGGGCCTTTTAATCTCTAAGTAACTACGACTTATACACATATATTATAGGTTTCCCTCATATATTTATCAAATAAATGAAACTTATATTTTTCGGATGCTTCACATCTCATTTTCGTAATCACGGTTGCTGCAAAGTAACCGAAACATGAGGAGTATGTAATCAAATAATAAAATAACACATACTAATACGAAAACATTAGTTTCAATTAAATGAATACTCGCGAAAGTTTTAGATCTCTTTATAGATAGTAGAGCCTAGCTGTGGTCAAGTTACTATCCATTATTATCCCCACCCCTCCCTATTCCTAGGCCAGGGTTGTCACCTGACCTGATAGGGTTATCAGCCGACCTGATAGGGTTGTCAACCGACCTGATAGGGTTGCTCCGCCTCAAAGTTCCTGATGGCTCGTATGTGGCTCTCCTTCATGACCTTGAACCTCGCGGGGTCCACGTGGAAGTTCACCAAGTGCTCCATGATCTTCTCCAACAAAACGTGCTGCTTCTCATCGTAGCCGTCTATCGCTATCTGAATAATAATATTTGTATGAAAATCTATATATTTTATATAATTATGTATATTTAATTGATTTATAATAGATTTGATGTGGAATTAGAATAAAATTAGGAATACTTCATATATTGGAAGTTTTGAATCTGCCCTTTGAGGATTTTGAATATTTTTTTTCTGTACTCAATAACAAAATGAGTATGAAGGTATTTTATCTGACAGATATATTTAACGACTAACATTCAAGTATATAAAGTAATTTTTAATAAACAAAGATGTATATAAACATATATACTTATATGTTATAACTTATAAGTAATGAGACAAGAAAGGAATGAGGAAGTTAAAATATACCATCTGTGCATTTCTACAATACTATATTCAGTAGGGAGATTTTTTTAATAGCAGGTCATATCAAATAAAAATAATTAATTTAAGACAAATCTGTAATTTATTATAATGAACTGGATAACATTAAAGTATTGTTAAAGAATCATTCCTATTCATACACCTGGAACGGAACCTTCCAGAAGATGCAAATTGCAGGTGTATAGTAATAGAACATCAATCCCTACTAATATTAGAAATGCGATAGTAACTCTGTCTGTCTGTCTGTTACGCTTTCATGCCTGAACCACTGAACTGATTTTAATGAAATTTGGTACAGACATAGAGTTGACCTTGAGAAAGAACATAGGATAGTTTTTATCCCAGACTTTTGAAAGGTTCTCTTGGAAACGCGATATAATCGAACTCCACATAGCGAAAGCTAGTTACATTATAAATTTTCTGTTTAGACCATAATAAGTAAATATAATGTTTTCAACTCACACTGAGTCCATATTTAGCGTTGCCGACGCTCCACCTAAGACCTGCAAGTTCTGCAGAATACGCGAACTGCTGCAAACTGTCCCGAAGTAATAACACCCATATAGATGTTAAGTTGCAGCAAACGGGGTCCGAATACGCGAGAGGGCTGGAAATAAATGGAGGGTAGTTAAATATTTTGTATCATTTATCACCATTGATATATTTAGAGACCACTGACTGATGAAGGAAAACATCGTGAGGAAACAAGGACTTATATCAAATTATAAGTTTGAACTCGCCAACCCGTCTTTACCAAGCGTGGTGATTAATGCTCTAACCTTCTCCATGTGAGAAGAGGCTCAGTAGTGGGCTCTGATAGGCTGATGATGAACTAGCGATTTACGTATATAAATGTAGAATTAATGTAATTTAGACCCATTTATTAGTGTAGGTATTGGTGTTTTCAGTATGTATGTATGTTTTTTCACGTAATCCTAATATTATAATTGCGAAAGTTTGTGAGTGTGTGTATGTTTATTACTTCATCACGCTCAAACGGCTGAACCGATTTTGATAAAACTTTGTATACAGGAAGCTGACGTCCAGGAATAACACATAGGCTACTTTACATCCCGGAAATCCGCGGGTAATACCGCGGGGCGCAGCTAGTTTGTAATAGTTAGTGTAAATCCTCACCTTACTAGATCCAAAGTAACGAATGACTTCGGTAGCTGGAACTCACCATCACGCTTGTACCAGAGTCTCATCAATGGCGTATCCTGAACACACAGATATACTATATATAATCTTCTTCTACCTGGCAATTTCCCAGCTTTAGCCAGGGTCTGCCTTACATGTGAATAGTTTTGGCTAATTGTTTTTACAACGCCGCCTGCTGACATCACCCCTCTTTTGGGAAATACTAATATAGAGATATATGTTTAATTATATTACAAATGCTAGGGAACGAATGTTATACTGGCGACTCAGGAAATTCATCCACGGAGATAGGTGGTTTTTAGTAAAAATAAGTTAAATTGTTGCGTTAAACGCTTAACGCTCTAGGAAAGGGATAAAAAGAAACAGAGAAAGAGGTAATACGTGGCGCAACGCATTCGGGCAATCAATTGTGACTTATAAGTAATGTTAATAAAGTTTGTCTCAAAAAAACACTAAAATTCCATAAAAATCAATTTCTACCCTTTCCAATTTCATTGCAATATTACGAAGCGTCACTTCTTTCGCTCTAAGAGAATCCACGTAGTCTTAATTCTTATTATTTGTTAGTGTTACTTTAATTATAACAAATGCGATGCCGTCTTTACAGTTTCTCATAAATAAACACAAAAATTCCTTACAAATCAATTTCAACCCCTTTCAATCTCATTTCTACCTCACGAAGCATCACTTCTCCGCGCAATATTAATTCTTACTATCATTACTAGTGTAACTTATTACACAAGTCACAACAACATCATCCTACGTATTATTTCCAGGAAGTATAAATTAATAAGTATAATATAATTTATAAGTATACGTATTATACTCATACAGAGGACTACTGTATACTAAATCGCTTTTAGTGATTAAGTACTAACACAGACAATAAGTTCTAAATTGTTATTAACAAAAAATACTACCATAATTATTAAGTTCTTTGCAACCAACACGTGGACCTTGTTTTTTGAAAGGAAATAAATAATAATTATTACCTTAATAATAACGGGTTCTATTCCGTCCTTTGTAGGGTCGTGTGAAGTCTCCAATTCTAGATGTGTGGGAATGAACTCGTTGGGCGGCGGTAGGTGCAACTCGGGAGATGGCTGGGCTGACTCCCAACGCTGGGGAACAATTATTATATATAGAAAACAGCATATATACATACAAGTGATACTCTTCTACCTGGCAATTTCCCAGCTATAGCCAGGGTCTGCCTTACATGTTGTGAATAGTTTTGGCTATTTGTTTTTACGACCGGCCGCCAGCCTGACATCAACCCTCTTTGGGAATCAGCATTAATCAGTGATGTCTAAATACACTTATAAAGTACATGTGACTCGGAAAAACACATTGGTACTTGCCAGGGCCAGGATTCAAGTCGCGCCCTCGTGCAAGAGAGGCGGGCCTTTTAACCACTAGGCCACCACTGACTTATATACATACAAGTAATACTGGCATAGCACAATATTATACCGATATATTATTATATATAGATAACGACATTCAGTTATAAGTCATCCTGATATGGTACTATACTATACCGTTAGAGGCGCTTATTTGGTTTTAAAGTGCTTAGAAAGGGGTTGGAATCTACTTGGTAAAGATTTAGAATTATTGTTGTTTAAAAGGAAACCTATAAAGAAAGTTAAAGCGTATAAAGCATAAGTCATACATACATATTTCTTGATATATTTATTAGTTTATGGAAAAATACAGTTTATATTACAATAAATTAATTAGTAGGGTTAAAAACAATTTGCCAGAAAGTTTACACAGTTAATTTGACGTAAAGTGGGTTATTAGGAAATACCTTACATTACAAAAATAAAATAAAAAAATAAATACAGTAACAATATTAACAACAAGGAGTATCAATATTTATATATATTGATATATGTGTGTATGTTTTTATAATATCTTGATATATGTAGGTATTTAACATTTTTAACTAACCTTTAGTAGGCTCTCTTCTATATCTTCCTGTAGGTACTTGGTTCCGTACCACGGCTCAATCTGAGTGCATTTTTTCTCGAAACATCTACAAATAACAATATACATACTATAGATTATTTGGGCAAATTAATTTGGTGTTACTAGAAACTATCTAAAGGAAAGTAATGAATTAACATTAACACTAACAGTTGTTTAATTACAATTTAACATTAACATTTGTTAACTCAGTAGATTCATTCTACATCATTGATAGTATTATACAGGGTGTTCATTATGTTCACGATTCATACTAACTTGGCGACAATGCCGACCCGCACGTTTTCAGGCGTGAGGAGCGCTAGCATATCATCCACGAGGTCGGGACGCCAATCAGTCATTAGGTAATAAGCCGAGAGCACATCTTGCATGGGGAACTCCTGTAGTAGGTGTACGTGACCCGCGGCTAGCGCGCGAGGGTCTTGAGCGTCTTTGAAGCGGAACTCTAGCGCCATGAGGTCACGCTGTTCCTCCCACACCCACCGCTGAGCTCCGGACTCGCGTAACATACTTATGTACTGGAATGAAAAGGATTTGAATGATAGATGAGTCTTCTACCTGGCAATTTCCCGGCTATAGCCAGGGTCTGCCTATAGTATTGGAGTATTGGAGTTTATTTGGTATTTTAGAATGGGAAATTCGTTTCTTTTATCCATTATCTATGCAACGCTAATGAGTTCGCGAGTATTCATTTAAATGAAAATAGTATTTTCGGATTGTGGTTAAAGAACTTTATTTCCTCATAAAGAACATATAATGTTCACTTAAATGAGATATATTATATAATTTAATTTAATTAACAATTTAGTATAGTAGTAACGACTTATATAATTCAAGAGTAGTTAATTTAATTGCTTTTTACAAAAAGTTAATATATATATATATAAAAATGGATTGCTGTTCCTTAGTCTCGCTAAAACTCGAGAACGGCTGAACCGATTTGGCTAATTTTAGTCTTTAAATACTCCTGGAAGTCCAGGGAAGGTTTAAAAGGTGAGAAAAATTGATTCATTACTGGGAAAACCATAAAAACAGCCCTTTTCTATTTCCCATACAAAAGTTTTTTTTGACATTAGATTTGACAACTAACTAATATGTCAATTCTGTTTGATTGAAACAGGAAAAACCTGATTATTTATGGCCTGTAATACGGAATAGAGTTCGCCTGGTCAGCTATACGGTCTACATATATTACTCTTGACCAAACTAACGCGGACGAAGTCGCGGGCAAAAACTAGTAAGTTAATAATTTCTTTCTAAAAATCGTAAAGGTTTTTTCATTAAAAATTTTATTAGGTAAGCTATTATATAGTTTCTAGATGGTAGATTATTGTATTGGAATTTATTTGTTGTTTTGAATGGGAAACGCGTTATTTATCTATTTTCTGTGCAAGGCTTAGAGGATCTAAGATTTCACGAGTATTCATTTAAATGAAACTAATATTTTCGTATTACTACGCGTATTTTATTATTTTTAACTTTCAGACGAGACGTCTGCCGTGATGGTGTCGTGTCGATGCAAAAGTAACCGAAACGTCAGGATTTTGTAGTTTTTAAAATAAAACATGTACAACGCTACTTGTCTATGTGAATTATTTTATTATTTATATCAATAAAACTTCTAAACAAAAGCTAGTTAGTGACTATCACATAAACAATCTGCCCAAAACGTCATTATGGTCATAAAGCCATGAAATTTTTCTGTAATATTGTCATTAGTTATAATGTTATTGATTATTATATAATGTTTTATTGAATTTATTATTATTGTTTATTAATTTAAATCTTGTATATAGTACAATTATGATATTTTGCATGATTTGATAGCCTATAATTAAAAGGACATTTAAGTTATTGTTAACAGTTTAATAATGAAATAAATATAATAATGTTATCTTTTGTTGGTTATCGAAATAGATTTAAGAAGTTTATTTTCAAAAAGGACAAAGTTCGCTTACAAAGGAAATTTTAAAAAGGAGATCATTCAGGCTTCATACATTTTTGGGCCTTTTTTAAAAGTGCCGGCCAATAAAAAAAAATGGTACATATTTGTAGAACTAACCATTTGGAACAATAGTTAATATGGCGCAAAAGTTGCAGGATCCAAGATATAGAAGTTATACAAGTTTCAAGATTCATCATTTTGGTAAATCTATTTTTTCTGAAAGTGCCAGGAAACATAAAATAATGATTGATATTGCTAGAATTAAGCTTCTCAAGCAAGTCATTATAGCCATAATCTGTTAGAAACCTGTTGTTTTTATGTTATACTAGCGAACCCGACAAACGTTGTTCCGCCAAGTATCTGAACGCATGCAACACATTTCTTGATGATTTTATTATTTGTCTAAACTAATATGTATATCGGGGTGCCATTTTTATATATAAAAAAAATGGGCCTAGAAGCACTTTTAACTGATTTTGTACCATTTCGGGTCGGATTTTTTATTAACACCTGGAAAATCTACTGACCTGGAAAACTAGTTCTACGATTTCATCGATATGCTTCACGCCCTCCTCGGTTAAATCCACTTGGACACCGAAGAAACCGAAGCCGCGAGCACCGATACGTGTACCACCCACCAGGCTGCAAAAAAAAAAAAATATAATTATACTAGCTGACTCTACTTGTTTTGACATATAAAAAATAAAGGTTGATTATGAAAAAAAGGATAAATTTTTTGGTTGTATGTATTTATAAAGAATTAAAAACAAAAAAAAAATTAAGGGTAATTTAAGGGACATAATAATAGATAGTAGCCAATTCTCAGACCTACTGAATACGTAAAAATTTGATAAAAATCAGTAAAGCCGTTTCGGAGTACGGTAACTAACATTGTAACGCCAAATTATATATCCCTACTAATATTATAAATGCGAAAGTAACTCTGTCTGTCTGTTACGCTTTCACGCCTAAACTACTGAACTGATTTTAATGAAATTTGGTACAGACATAGAGTTGACCTTGAGAAAGAACATAGGATAGTTGTTATCCCAGACTTTTGAAAGGTTCTCTTGGAAACGCGATATAACCGAACTTCACGCGGGCGAAGCTGCGGGCGGAAAGCTAATATTAGATTTTTTGTCATATAATTAAATATTCAAGTGTATATAATGTTTTTACTCACCTATTGCACCATCCTCTCTGTTTAAGAGCTGCCAATAAACTTCCGGGACCCTCGTGACCTAGTAAGTGTGACAAATAATGGCCCGGCTGAAACAGAAAATAATTTATCAGTAAAAAATACTACTACTGATCCATATATTTTGAGTAGATAGATGTATGTTAGTTCCAGGTGTAATACACCGCTGGAAAAATATTTGTCAAAGTGTTAAGTAAAGGAAAATACCATAGTTATTTTATACAGGTGGTTGAAGCATTTGTGAATAAATAACCCATCATGCATTGAAAAGGATTGATGGGTAAGGCTCTAAAATATATAAGTTCGATTATGCGACGTTAATAATAGACCAGAATCTTATAAAATGTAGTAAAAGCAAGAATTATTTAGGATTCCAAAATAATTAAAACATATTTGAATTTTAGTTCCAATGATATTAAATGTAAATATGTAGATTTAGAAGATTCATCTTAATTAACGATTATATGTAAATAAATGGGGTTTTTATTTCAATGGAAAAAAACTCATAGTGACTTAAAAACTCATACCTACTCAATAACTCATAGTGTCTCAAAAACTCATAGTGTCTCAATAACTCATAGTGACTCACTCCACTCTTGTAGTGTTTCCTGGTGTCCGGTATAGGGAAGTCTATGGACAGCGACCTCAAATCCTTGACGGGGCAGCAGTAGGCTCTCTTCTTACGGAGATGAGGAGGGAAGGGATGCTCCGGCCAAGTGGGCGCGGTCACTCCGCGGTCCTCTACCTCGGAGAAAAGTTTCACCACGATACCTTCCAGCTCGTCGAGAGATTCTGTAAGATAGAGGAATTATGGTGACATTTAATGATAATTACGTGTTTTTATTATCTTTAAATCTCGATTTTTTTATGATAATAAGAAAATATTAGTTTTATTTAAATGAATACTCAAAATTTTTAGAGTTCATTAAGATATTGAGGATTTAATTCAGCAATACTTGTTACATGTGTGCGTGTATATGGGGATGTATGTGCGAGTTTATTTATGTAAAATCAATTGCACTTTCCCTTTTCCCTCCCTTTCCCACCTTTTTTCCACTATCCCCAAACATGGGTGGCAACACTTTCGCAAATCTATGTCGCGGATGTCCATAAACAACGGTTCTACCTCAATCCTTTTAGCATAAAAAAGTGCGTGTTCATGTATGTGTGTGTGTGTTTGTCTGTTTCATTATCCTATACAAACCTTTCCCCACAACGATCAGTGTCATAATATTAGCAGAGTACCACTTCTGATGGAACTTCAAAAGCTCCTGCCTCACGTCAATACCTCTCTCTTTTGGTATCCTCTCTAACGTGTCGCGGTTACCTGGAAATAATATTAGTATTGAAAAAAATAGTTCAATAGAGATGAAACTTGTCTTCATTCCATGTATTCACGGTGCGTGTGTCGGGTCCATCATTGTAGTGAGAGGAGCTTCAACAGTGACTGTGACTTGAGACCCAGGTGTAGGTTTAAGGGACCCTATCTATCGCGATAAACGCTCACTTCCACCGTACAAGCTCCTCTCTCTACCAAATTTGAAAAATTCCTACTAGGACTGCCTTCGAAGTACGTTCCAAAAATTAATTAATGTTAGTTCTGGACAAGTCTTTTAGTAGGTTGTAGAGAGATTTAGCTGTTATACCTCTCGATCCCACCTCTATCGCGTACAAACAATAAATGTATGGATATATTTTACGTAAAAGCTTTTATTGCTTTTATGTGACGAAAATTTCTTGGCTTTTTACAATCTACTATTGAACATGAAATAATCAATTTATTATACAGTACAGTAAGTAAATAATTGTTATTTCGTCACTATGAACGTAAATACAAACCGGTGCCAAACTTGTGGTAGGGATGTTTTTCATCTGCTGTGCTCTTATTCAGCTGGTCGAGCCGCCAGGTGTCCGAGGAGGTGTTCTTCTCGTGTTCCGAGTTCACGGCAGAAAGTTCCCGACCGGTGGCGCCCTCCGTGAAGAGCGGCGAGATGAAGAACTGAGCGAAACTGGTGGGGGAAAGACAAGGTTAATAATATTGGCATAAATCAAGTATTACATCTCTGTTTTGTTTGAAATCTTCAATATTCTCATTAAAACAGTGTCAATAATATTATTTTTGCTATTTTAATACAAGTAGTACATTATTGCAATTATGTATTGATACATTATATAAAAAGATAATTTTAGCAATTTTTGTAGGGCTTGATAGATTAATAGTTGGAGGGATTGGGGCAGAGATATTTTAGAAGTGGTATGTGTGGACTGACTGTGTCGATTTAAGTTTTAAGTCACTGAAGAATCAATATTTGTGCCTGAGCTACTTCGATAGAATACATTACAATTAAACAATATTTCAGTGTAGTTTTTTCAGCATCAAGTCAAAATAACAATGTAGCGTGTGACGTCATATGACACGTAGTACAGACGTCATCACCGGTTGGCTCATATATGTACTGTTTTTACATTTTATACATTTCTTACTAAGCTTAATTTCAAACTCCACGCGGACGAACCAACAGGAAATATTAGTACATATAAAATATAAAATTATTTCGAACAAACAAATATTCTATATAGGATAAGAAACTGGTAACTTAATGAGCAATTTGTTAAAATAAAAGTTCCTATCGGTGTAATAATGACCATAATTGTGTTTGTAGTCACTTTATTATATGTGTATGTGTGTGTGTTTGTATGTATGTGTGTGTGGGTGCGTGTGTGTATTATCTCACATGTCCAGAGCCTTGGCCAAGTGTTGCGGCAGCACGTCGAAGTAGTACGTGGTGTGGTCTGATGAAGTAGACGCGTTAGAGGAGCCTCCGTGTTCAGAGAGGAACTTGTTGTACTCGTTCTCCTAAACAGTAAAAAAAATAATATACAGGGTGACTGGTGAATTACTATCGATACTTGAGGACTTGATATTTGACGATCATATACATATGACAAAATAAAAATTAATATAACATAAATATTAATAAACTTCTAAGTAAAGTTAACCAAAAGTTATGTAATTAATTACGCATCGTGTGAACACCCTACAGATTGAACGAAACAAAAATTCTACTTAATGGTACGCCACTCAAACGAGTGTCACAATTTAAATATTTAGGACACTATATTACGGAAGGCCTTAGAGATCATGTAGATATAGAGCGAGAACGAAGAGCCCTCGCTACGAAATGTAATATGTTGGCCCGCAGGTTTGCTCGATGTAGTAAGGAAGCTAAAATAACGCTTTTCAAAGCCTACTGTCAAACTTTTTACACGGGAGGCTTATGGGTTAAGTATACACAGAAAGCTATGGACACATTAAGAGTTCAATATAATAACGTGTTTAGGGTGCTGTTGGGCTTGCCGCGCTTTTGTTCGGCGTCAAGTATGTTTGCACAAGAGCGTACAGATGATTTTTATGCCATTGTAAGAAATAAGTCCTCATTTCTTTTAACAAGACTGGGGTCAAGCACCAATAGTATACTAAAAGTGCTCACAAGTAAATTCGACGCACCAATACTTCAGCATTATATAAAAATACTTGTTAGGAGATAGTATAATTGATTGTAACTCCTAACATTAATTATGTGGTATTCGTTTGGTGTGTGGCTATATTGTTAATTTTTAATTCTGAATATGTTGTTAATTTAGACATTATCATTCTTATTAGACTAACATAGTTTTATAAGTAAAAAAATACTAACAAGTGGGCCTATGTTGCACAAATAAAGAAATTATTATTATTCTTATTCTTATTATTTGAGGGTAGTTTTACATTTTTGACAAGAGATGGTCTCAAAAAATTCTGCCAAATAGGGAACGAGTATGTTAGATACAAAAGCGGTAACTGAAATGTTTTTAATTGTTTTTATTTTTTATACTATTGTGTATGACACTGAGTTTTATAAACATTTAAAAAATTATTCCGAAAAAACCGTCATTTGAGTATAACCATAGAAAAAATCACTGAAAGAACAATTTATTATTATTCTTCTATTAAAATATGTTTTTCATACAAACCTCTGGATATTTCTGTGTTCCCAAGAACAGCATGTGTTCACAGAAATGAGCCAGTCCGGGCACTTCGTCCGGGTCACTCAAATAACCTGAAAAAATATTTCCATTAGTTCTACTCTACTATTTAGGCTGTTAATTTGCAAATAAGTTAAACAAATGTTTTGGTCAAATTATTTACTTTATAGGCTCGATTTAATTAAAATTATGTATTTTTCACAGTCGTGGTGGCCTAGTGCTTAAAGGCCCGCCTCTCATACATGAGGGCGCGGGTTCGATCCTAGCAAGTACCAATGTGATTGTTCCGAGTCATATGTATTTTTTAAGTATTTAGATACCACTGACAAACGGTAAAGGAAAACATCGTGAGGAAACATGGACTTATAATTTCAAGTTATAAGTTTGAAATCACCAACTCCATAAACTCCTAAATTCTCCATATGAGAAGAGGTTTTAGCTCAGCAGTGGGCTCTGATAGGCTGATGATGATGATGATATTTTAGACGTTTTTCTGATAAAAATGAATCTTTTGCATAATAGTCATGATTTTTTGAAGAGAATACATTTTTTATGTCAATAGGTCCAAATTTACTTACCAACATTGACATCCAACGCTGCGGCCGACTTATCCGTAGTCGGATCGCTCACGAGCAACACTTTAAGATGATTAGAGAGCTTGAGACCTCTGAAACATGAAGTATACATTATATATATATTACTACTAGCTTTCCGCCCACAGCTTCGCCCGCGTGGAGTTCAGTTATATCGCGTTTCCCAGAGGTCCTTTCAAAAGTCTGGGATAAAAACTATCCTATGTTCTTTCTCAAGGTCAACTCTATGTCTGTACCAAATTTGATTAAAATCAGTTTAGTGGTTTAGGCGTGAAAGCGTAACAGACACACAGACAGAGTTACTTTCGCATTTAAAATATTAGTAGGGATTGTGATACAGATATGTTGCGAAATACAAAGAACAATATAAATTATTATCAGAGTGGCATAGAATCAATGTGCTGTTTGACCACAGAATTAAAGTACTTGATGAAATGAAAAAGGGCATGACAATTAATATAGAAAAAGAAGTTTTGATGTCCACCATTGCAGAGAATGTCTTTAACTTTAATATGTCTTTAGACTTTTTATTTAAGAATTTCCTTTCCTGTTTATCGCACTAAGGGGTCACCAAAATGTATCAACACGTAAAGGGGTCACGATATCAAAAAGATTGAAAAAACTGATATATGTATATTTTTTTTAATTAAATTATTTAGATGAAACTAATATTTTCGGATTTACTACATAGGCGGTTTTTTTTCACTATAAACTACATACTCCCGGCGTTTCGGTTACTTTACAGCAAGCAGGATCATTAAGACGAGATGTGAGTGTCGACACTTACGACGCGATAATCACGGTCGGGAGTATACAGGGTGACTGGTGAATTACTATCAATATTTAAGGAGAATACTCGGTACATGATTCTCATTCGAATTATGTAAAAAAAATAGGTACTTCATTTTTGACCAAATTTCCGTATAAATAAATAAAGTGTGGACACGTTCCAAGTGTGGACGCGTGCGGCGGCGTGCTGATACAACACCACGCCGCCGCACGCGTGTGTGTGTGTGTGTATACCTAATCTGTAGGGTTTTCATACGATGCGTAATTAATTACATAACTTTTGGTTAACTTTACTTAGAAGTTTATTGATATTTATGTTATATTAATTTTTATTTTGTCATATATGATCGTCAAATATCACGTCCTCAAGTATCGATAGTAATTCACCAGTCACCCTGTATAGTTTATAGTCAAAAATAAAAAACCGCGTAATAAATCCGAAAATATTAGTTTCATTTAAGTGAGTACTCGCGAAAATCTTAGATGTCATTAAATTATTTAAATTCAAGATATTTCAATGTATTTTATCAAGTCACTCATCACTATATGTTACCTGTACTCCCTCTTGTCCTCGGGACTCTTAATAATATCGTCATATCTCTTGATGATGTTGGAGGGCGAGTCACTACCTCCTCCGGGGCGAAGCTCCACGGGGCTGGGGGCGCGGCCCGGGGACCGCGGGGCGTACTGGGGCACCGTCATTGAGTGGGAACGACGCTGACTGTATATGTAGCTATAAAAAACATATATAATAGTAAACCGATGAGTCCTATGTATAAGGAACAATCTAGCAATTTAGTTTAATTTTTTTTGCTTTAAACACTTCATAATATTCTACAAAATCTATAAAACTAGTATTTCTTGGTGGAAAGACTTAGTTTTTATTGCATTAAAGAAACATAAGTAACACACTTTTTAATGTATAAAGGCTTATAATGTATATTATAAAAATATATATATTTAAAAACTAGTAGATTTACAGAGAAGATTATCAATCTTAAATGATGTACATGTATGACATGTATGTCATAGTTGCTATTCAAAGTATCAAAAGCATCAGTTGTATGTACAAGATACATTGAAATCAAACTTAAAACGCCTCTACTGAACATTTGTTTGCACATTGGCCCTTATACATAGGAGACATTGAAATTGTTATGTATTAGTTATACTTGCTTTTCTAGTTATGCTGTCAAGTAGGTAGATTACTTTATTATAGTAGTTTTATTTAATACTACACAAATCAATACCTTCCACATAAGTTGTATGCCACAAAAATGCTATTTTGCTTTATTTGTGAAAAATATCCCATTATGGATCATCACATCCATTCAAAGTAAAAAAACAACAAAAACACTATTTTTAAATAATTTGTCAGATGTATACCTAATGTTGTAATTTTAAAATTTTGCAGATTTTGGTTTAATTTGAATCTTTGAAATGCACTACTGTAAATTTACAGTTTTGGAGATACAACAACTTGCATGGGATGTATGTATCAAAATATTAATTTTTTTTAAATAAATTAGTAGTATATTAGAATGCTGGCCGCTAATTATATAAGCTAAATGCTAAAACTACATTTAATGAGAATTAAACAGTGTATGGATGCAGAATTACACAAAACATGAATAAAAATATTAAACAAAAATTACTTTTTAACTGACATAAACTAATATATTACCAGGCTTTCTCTATGATGTAAAAACTAAAAACTATTTGGTGTTAATTTTTTTTACTATTTATATATTTTTTAATGTCAAAGCTTTATTAGTATGATTGTGGTTTATAAATGAGATAAATAAAAATATTCAATACAAAAAAAATCAATATCATTCATTATTATAAGAAAACGAATATTTGAAGAAAAAACCATGCATGTTATTCAGACACCTACACTTAAGAGCATATTTCAAAGGTGATTTTTTTCGTAAAATTATCTACTAAAATTAATGCTTAAAACCAATAATAAAAAATCTGATAACGTAAAAATATTGTTTAAAATGTGATAAAAACTTTTTATTACATATTCCTGCATTGTTCTTATAAAACATACTCACGTCTTTTTCATTTAATATGTTGTAATTATATTGTAGTGATTTTGTCAAGAATAGATAGTGATTCATTTCACGTAAATGGTTTATATAGATTAATTTACAAATATGGTCAATACTTACCTTGTAATTACGATATTAAACACAGCACTAAAACCAATCAATACAAAAAGCAGATTCTAACCTATTGGAGCCCGCTCGGTATGATAAAGTCGGTGAAAAGCTATGAAAACCTATCAGGAACAATCTTCTAGATGCCAGCTTGAATAATTTATTTCAATTTTTATTAAAAGTTTATTAATTATAACAAATTAAGTGTATTTTGTGTATCGTCACTAAAGAAAGAATCACTGTTATTGTGCAAGTAGACTTTGACAATGACACTGTCAAAGTATGATGCAAGAATAATGGATTTATTATTTAATCTTTGAACTTATAAAATTCTGTTTAAAATAGTTACTTTAACGAAATTCATATAAGAAATATGATATTTTAAGTTATTAGGTAACTTAAAATACCACTTCTTATAACACCTTTGACTTTTTATAAGAAATTAAAATATATAGTTTTGTTTACAGTTTTAGAAAATTTACGTACCTGTATTATTACCTTTTTATAAGTAAATTGTAATTAAGTTAAGTATATATAAATTTTTAAATTATCAACAAAAACAGTAAGAATATTTTATTTTGGTAATAAATAACATCAAAATTTATGTCGTTGAATTTTCAATCACTTTTGAACATGTTTTGACAAGTTTCTTTTTGACAAACTACCTACATTGAAAGTTTTTATAAAAATAAGATCGGTTTGTTAATAATTTGAAAAGTTAATATAAATATAGTACAAATAATGGAAGAATGGGAAAAATTTGTAGATCATTACGAAATAAATAACGATTGCAACAAGGTTTGTTTGGCATTAAAAAGAGCGAAAGTTGTTTTGGAAGAAGATTTGGCTCCATTTGAGTCAGGTATAAATACTGTATCTTAAAACTATTAACATTAGCCCTTATTAAGATCAAAAATTATATATATGTACCTGTAAATAAATTAAGAATATTCAACTAGTATAAAACTACTATATTCCATAATGTTTTTCTTTCAATGTAATTAATTTTATGAAGCCTTCCTATGCCATTAAAAGCTATCCAATCAAAGCTTATAAAATTGCGTTTTATGCTGTAATTGTACTAAATACCTATATGTATTTTTTATAGAATGGATATTCTCAACACTCTTCCAAAATCCTGTTAATTTGTTTGATGTGGTCTACAAGCGATGGTCAGATGAAGAGTATTCTAAAGCTACAATAGATGCTTTGAAATTATTGGATGATGCTGTACTTAAATATGATAATATAGAAAAATATTATGAAGATATTGTACAGGTATTAATGATTTAAAATACTTAATGGTGTTTTACATACATACATTTTTTATTTAAATATTTAAGTTTTTAGTGAAGCCCTACCATTATATGACAAGTAAAGTGCATGTATTTTTTTATGTTTCCAAAAGAATATCAACTCTATTTATTTAATTTTAACATTATATTTCTTTATTATTTTGATATAATAATGTAGTTTTCTGAAGAAATTATATTCAAATTTGAATTTAGAACAGTGAACTGTCAAAATATCCAAATCATACTTCCTTTGTTGTTATAGGCTGTTGTTTACAACTATTCTGCCATATAATAAATAATAATTATTTTTTTCATCAGCTTTGCCTTCTTCCATATCCGACAACTCAACGTCACAGTGCTCTGGCTTGTCTCACACAAGTTGCTCGGAGATCTGTTTGTGGAGCGAGACATTATAATAAACATGTTTCCTCTTTACACCAGGGAGTGTGTATGACGCCACTGGTAACTCTCATAGGTATTAAATATAGAATAAAACTATTTAAAAGAAACTAATATTCTTTGCTTGTACTATGCTATTTTATTTTTGATGAAAAACTTCACACTCCCGATATTTCAGCTACTTTACAGCAACCGTGATCACAGGTAGTCAAAATGTGAATGAATTTTATTTATAATCTGTATAAATAAATATATATTTTTAATTATTAGGCTCTAGGTCTGTTTCTTCAAGATATCTGAAATAGTTGTAATGGATTTGATGGGATTTTTAATAGTAACTAATGTGATAAGGTGGCATTCTGGTTATTTTCATTTTGAGATATTTAATTTAATTAATATAAGTAATAAAAATGTCTGTCAGTCTCAGCTTAACTTTATATTTATATAGATAAATCAATTATTACTGAACTTATACCAAATTTGGTATAATATGATATAGGAGATGATATAATGATATAAGAACATTAAATACTTTTTAATCTTTCAATAATTAAGATGGAGTCAGCAGTAAGAACTAGTGTTGTAAGTTATATTTTATATATTTCCAGGTGTTACATGTGAGTTTCACCCGCACGTGGTCTCCGCAGACGTGAACAACATCTGGAGAGTATTCCTCAACATACTGGACTCAAATAAGTACTCGGTAAATATATATTATTGAATGTAGTTTCAGTGTTGATTCTTAATGTTCATAGTTACTTCCAGTAATGTGTTACAAGATGTGTGAAGCCAGTATTGATAGTTTACAAACACGTGATACTTATGTTGATACATTACAATGGTTCAGTATTATCATTAATTATAATCACTCATCATAATAATTTTAAGGATTATAGTATGTATATTATGAAGCACAGTTGGCGCCATAAGAATATTTATATTTAATAGTTAAATATATCTAGAACAAAACAATATAAATAAATAAATAAATAACTACCGATGACGTAATCATCATCTAGACTCCCCTACCCCCCATGTCATCCAAAATAAGCAAACCAAAGACTCCCCGCCCTCCATAGTGCTTACGTAATACTGGAACGGCCCCTTGAATTAATGTTGTAATTTTAGTCAAGTGAGTTCTAATACTGTAAAACGCTTAAGAAATAGTTGTAGCACTCTAAATATAGAAAAGTATACCTGAAAAAGGAATATAATACTATTAGTTTTGATAAAAACTGTATATAAACAATAAACATACAAAATATAATGCTTTATATTGTAAGTCGTGGGGACCTTGTGGTTAAAGGCCCGTCTCACATGAATAAAGGTGCGGGTTCGAAACCTGGCAAGCACCAATATGATTTTTACGAGTTTTATGTACTATATAAGAGTATTAACAGACACCACTGACAGATAAAGGAAAACATCGTGAGGAAACATGGACTTATAATTTCCAATTATAAGTTTGAAATCGCCGACCCGTCTTGAGCGAGCGTGGTGATTAATGCTCAAATCTTCTCCATGTGAGAGGTCTTACAGCAGTGGGCTCTGATAGGCTGATAATGAATAGATTTATGTAGCATTTTTGGTATATCATTATTATTAAGTTAATTTAATTTACTAATATCGCTAAAATATTTAATAAATATGGTAAAATATTTAATATTCCAGGGTACTGTTATGAAAGCGGTACTTCAAGCTATTCTGGGTTTATTCAAGAACTTCGGCGAGGATCTACCATCGGGGGAATTGATCAGGTTCTACGACCAGCTAGTGAGACACTTCGAAACTTGTCAAACAGGTTATATGAGATATCTTTAGATTTTGGTCTTTGGAATTAGTTTCATACATGTGTATGAGTAAATGAGAAAAATTTCTGAAAATTTAAGGGTTTTCTTGTTGTTTAAAAAAATGCATAACGGATTTTCACATGAGTGAAGTGACGTCATATCTCTTTGAAATGAATATCGAACTTGTGATGTTGACAAAGTCGTCGGCAAAAACTAGTATTACGTATATTTAATGATAATATTTTAATAATTTATCTTTTGTACATACAATTATTATAAATCATAGTCCATGTTTCATTCTGATGTGTCAATTACATAATTGTAATGTTTCATCAAAATCGGCCAAGCATTTTTTGTGTATTATAATACCATAATTTGAAATATCAACACTTTTATACATACAGTCTGTAATATTCCGTACTATTTGTAACTAGCTTCCGCCCGCAGCTTCGCCCGCGTGGAGTTCGGTTATATCGCATTTCCAAGAGAACCTTTAGAAAATCTGGGATAAAAACTATCTTATGTACTTTCTCAAGGTCAACTCTATATCTGTACCAAATTTCATTAAAATCAGCTCCAGTGGTTTAGGTGTGAAAGCGTAACAGACAGACAGAGTTACTTTCACATTTATAATATTAGTAGGAATTTATGAGCGAAATACTGATAACTATTCAGTTTGTTACGAAACTGATGGTAATATTCCAATTTGTTGAAGAAAAACGTCTTTAAGCTACTAGTGATGCCATTTATTATATATTTTGAGAACTAAAAGTTTTTTAGCATTATTTTATGAATAATATAGGACATTTAAACTTTATTATCATATAATATATTGCAAAAAGTATTAAAAAATCTTGAAACAAACGATCATAACCTTTGGCTTTACTTACATTTCTTTTCTAAAGCTTGAAAAAGAAAATGTATTTGTAGATTCGATAATAAAATGTTTCTTTCGCATTTATTTACTACATACATTAAACTAAATTATTGTTTATTAAACCATTTTACCTCATTGTCAGTATGTATCAAGATCCTGACCCACCACGCCGGTCTGTTCTTCACGTGCGTAACCCGCGACGCTCGCACGCGCGCCCTCTTGTGGAAGTTGCGGGCGAGCGACGCACTGATAGCTGTGTATAAAGTCTGTGATAAGGTGAAGTGAGCTTTATTACAATAAAATTAAGGTTCATAAATTTTAACTCTTAATTACAAATTGCTAATATCTATTTAAAGAGTATTATAATTAAACAAAATGTTTACTTCTTAAATTTGATAAATTAAATTTTTTAAAAGAGAACGACAATTTCAAATTGAATCAAAATGTCTTAAATCTTTGAAATCTCTCAAAAAGATGAAACGATATAAGAGCAAAAATTAATATGTATGATATAATAAATGATAAAAGAGCAAAATGTTTGTTTGTTAGTAAGTCCCGAAAAAACTAATAGATGTGGTAGAGCCTAGCTGTGGTCAAGTTACTGCAGCTCGAACATGGGCTGGCTCGACCGGGGAAGTACCACCCTCTCACAGAAGATCGGCGTAAAGTAGCCTTAGTGGCTGCGTTTCGTTCGATGAGTGAGAGAGCCGGTTGCCCTTTCCATTTTCCTCCCCTTACCATTTTTCTTTCCCCTCTTCCCAAGTCAGGGGTGGTGACACATCCGCAACATGTCTTATATCGCGGATGTCCATGGGCGACGGTACTACCTCCATCAGGTAGGCCGTGTGCTCGGTTGCCCCCTTTAACATTAAAAAAAAAAAAAACTACTAAACCGATTTTAGTGATATTCGTGTGCGAAGGTTGACTTACCGTTAAAATTTTGTCAGAAAACTATTACTTATTATTGATATTTCGTTAAAAACCATATAGGTGTTCTTAAATAGTATCGCAAGAAAGTACTGAACCGATTTTGGTGATATTTTTGAGCGAGCGGATGTCTTTTATCCAAGAATCAAAAAGGATGAATATGCAAATCGGTGGTTGTAGCTATTTAATCATTACACAATATCAAAATCTTCATTCCAGGAGGTTCTACAAGAAGTAAAGCCTTACGCCACATCAGCTGATTACCGGGAGAGGTTCACCGCCTTCCGTATCCTGGGGGAGCAGGCGCCTGGTCTGGAACTACAGGAATTAGAGTATCAGCTGAGAAACGGAAACGTGGACTATGAATTGTGTGAAGGAGTAAGATTCTGAGATATATCCTAAGATCTTCTTCTTCTTCTTCTACCTGGCAATTTCCCAGTTTTTGCCAGGGTCTGCTTTACATATTATATATAAAAGTTTTGGCTAATTGTTTTTACGACCGGCCGCCTGCCTGACATCAACCATCTTTTTTGAATGCATTAATCAGTGATGTCTAAATACTCTTAGAAACTACATATGACTCGGAAAAATCACATTGGTACTTGCCAGGATCGTACCAGCGCCCTCGTGCACGAGAGGCGGGCCACTTTTTAACCACTAGGCCACCACTGACCAATATATCCTAAGATGTATCTTACTTATATTATAAATTCCATAAATTTTGTGTGTTGTATGTTTTGATGTCTGTGGCTTTCTCACGATAAAATTAATGAATTAGTTTTGATAAAACTTAGTCAGGTCGATAAAACATATATTTTGTTTAAGTATACATTATTAATTACTTCGTGAACCCAATTTCTAATTACGCAGATCAGGTTGCGGGCATAAACATGTATATATTTAAAAAAGTGCTTTGACTATGTCATAGCTACAAAAATCAGTGTTTTCAGTCTTCAGAAAGTAGATCTATATAATTAGATGAAAATGATTATAGGAACATTATAAATCTTCCAGATTTTCTAGAACAAGATTTGGTTAGAGGCAGTTTAGGCACTTTTACTAGAGCCAGAAAAATTATTTATACAATATGTGCCAGTGTTACAACTCAAAATCATTTATTGATTGATTTAATTTTGATGTAATTGATATATGTATTGGGCTTTGAAGAAAACAACTATGCCAATTTTATTATCGCCAGATCTTAAAATAAGTGTATAAAAGATTATATTATTTAGTCATTTAATAATACTGCCAGCTACATTACTACTTAAGAAATATTTTAATATGAAAGTTGTTAGATTTGAAATGAAACCAATATTATCATCATCTCGTATTTTATTATTTTCATCATCTCGTCTGCTCATGATCACGGTTACTGCGAAGTAACTTAAAAGTCTGGAGTATATAGTTTAAAATAATAAAATACTCGTAGTAATCCAAAAATATTAGTTTCATATAAATGAATACTAGTGAAACTCTCAAATCTCATGTATTTTTTTTTTGTTTCTTAGATATCGTGGTGCATACAGACAAACACACCTTCCATCCACCGCTTGCTCCACGCCACCATCGTGTTATATGACTCTTTACCAAAAAACAAACGACCAGAAGTTATAAAATCCTTGATGAACTCACACACGGACGTTGTCAAAGTAAGTATTGTGTTTTTTGTGTTATAGATGGTCCATTTGGTAAAAACGACATTTTTGATCGCGGAAATTTGTAAAACAAGGTTTGTATATCCGTATCTGGCCGTTAAAGTGAATAATCTGCCTTTAAATTTGGCTTAAAATCCCATATACTAGCTCTATAGAAAAAAATGTTCGCGGCATATACAGTCTTATAATCAAATATATAGGTGTTGTAGATTCCAACCTCTCCTTCGCTGATGAATATGATGCTAAAATTGTGACGAAATAGTACTATACATACTGTCGCTCTTGTAGAACGGCTTAGAGAATGTTGTATATTCTCGAAAGAGACACGGCAAGCGAAATCTCGTGACGAGTAGGCGAACTATTATCTATACGTCTACTAGAACATTCCTATTGTTAACAAGTATAAATATAAAGGAGAATATTTTGGAATGTTCTAGTAATCGGATTGTTAAGTAGAAAAAGGCCGCTAGGTCGGTCTTAAGTCAATCTTTCTTAAAACGAGATACTATACAAGCGATAATGTCTGTTATCATAATAAAGTATGTTTTCTTGTTTTCTGTTTAATACCGTGTGTATATTGATAGTTAAACACTAGCTCGTAACAATTCATACTATATCTAGATCCCTACTCTTGCTGATCTTAAGGGTAATGCCATAAAGAATAAGAACTACATTAGATATTTTTGTTTACTCTTGACCTCACAGGCTTGCATCTTAGATATAACTACACAAGTTTCAATTTCTCCATTGTAAAACTTTCTCGAGGTAGGTTTTTAACTACAGGCAAAAGTTTTTCAAACTCAAACTCAAATAACTTTATTCAATATAGAAGCATTACACTTTCTTATTGATGGTCACTTGAGACACTACCACCGGTTCGGAAAACAAAATACCCTTTTATCCTACCCTCGGAGATATTTACTCGGTCAGTGTATAAAACATCACCCGTACTGTCTCAAGCAAAGCATTTTATTGGTTCAAGAAGTCTTTGATATAAACAGTGGCGGCTGTACCTTAAGTGCACTCGTGCGCTGAACCACCAATTCAAAAAGATTTAAAAATTACAAAATATTATTTCATCTTTATTTTTTGAAATTTCTATTTTAATATTTAAACATACAAAAACGTATAAAAAATTAAATTTCTAATTATGGTCAAAAAGTTTGAGCGCTTTACTACTTTACTTTACTTACTTTACTAAAATCATATCGTGCGCTTCGGCGAGTGCACGAGGACTGCTAATACATCTTGTATGACGAATAAATACGCCTGACGCGTGAAACAAAAGATAGTTCATAGAAATGTACCGAGTAATGAATCGGTTCTCGAGCGACCGAAGGTTACCGAGAGCACCCGATGTATGACGAATTGGAATTGAAAAGAATCAAAACTTTTCTCCGAAATACCATGCACTTTCTATGCTTAGTACAGTGAAACTTGGTTAAGTGGGACCTGGATAAGTGAGAAACCTCCATAACTGGAACTCATGCTGAGGTCCCAACACTTTGGCACTGAATTACCTCTGTTAGTGGGACGAGGTACGCCTCTATATCTGGGATTTGTTCTTTCGATTTATCATCATAGTTACCTTTATAACTGAGACAGCGAGTAAATTTAAAATTCTAAGTACGTAAGTACAAATTTTGAGCTTCTATTACCTTCAGTTTTAGTTTCGCTTTACTATCATACAGATGTTTATTTGAAAAATGCCAAAACGAAAGCTACAATCGTTATCATTGTGTGAAAAACTGAAGTTAATATCCGTTTATGAAAGTGGGAAGACACGCGAAGAAGTTTGTGCCGAATTTAATGTGCCAAGATCGACTCTTTGTATTTATTGAATTTAAAAAATATACAAACAATACCCGATTTTAATAAATAGGTGAGTGAACATTTCGCTTCGGAAAAATGTCGTTGCATTAATTAATGTACAATTAAAAAATAAACATATTTTATGTCAATTGTTGTTTTGTTGCATTTTCTAATTTTTATATTTTAGTAAAGTGCACCACCAGTTCGATAACACACCAGCCGCCACTGGATATAAATCTAGTAGTATACGACTATTAATAGGCATGCATTCATATAATTCTGAAATAAAGCTGGTGACTCAAATGTACAATAGTCAGATAGTGCATAAGATGAAGAAGAAAATGTTTGAGGTCAATCCGGTCAAACGCTTTTGCGATATCGAATCTAAAACCCAAAGATTTTTTATGCTCCCGACGGCTTGAAAACTTAGATGAGTAATTGAGATATATTCCAGAAGTCAGGAAAAGATACCTGTCTCTCTCACTCATCAGACGAAAAACCATTAAAGACTATTTCACGTCGATCTTCTATAAGGGGGTGGTACTTCCCCGGTCGAGCCAGCACATGTTCGAGCTGTAGTTATGACCACAGCTAGGCTCTACCTCTCAAAATGTAGATATATATTTTTTATATATTAATATCCAATTTTTTATTTCCAGGCTTCAATAACGATTATTATAACGGAAATAATGAAAGATCAGAAGTTGTCTATCTGGAGCGACATACTGTCTAGTGAGGACAATCATAGCGTTGTATTTGAAATTATAGAAAACTACATTAATATGATGCTGGAGGGTCTAGAAGAATCTATGGAAGGGGTGAGACAGTAAAAGTGACTTTTATAAGGTACTAGCTTTCCGCCCGCAGCTTCGCCCGCGTCGAGTTCGGTTATATCGCGTTTCCAAGGGAACCTTTCAAAAGTCTGGGATAAAAACTATCCTATGTTCTTTCTCAAGGTCAACTCTATGTCTGTACCAAATTTCATTAAAATCAGTTCAGTGGTTTAGGCGTGATAACGTAACAGACAGACAGACAGAGTTACTTTCCCATTTATAATATTAGTAGGGATTTGTGGATAGGAAGTTCTAAAACAAATTAGAAGTTTATTTACTTCTAATATGTTAATCGAAAACTTATATATATGTCAGAATATATAAAATGTATGCTTTTATATATTACCTTGTCAAAAACTCAATCTTACTCAGGTTATGATGGTCATTGTAATATGTAATACTATTTAATACTGATATTAAAGATATTTCAATGAGATTTTTCAAGTAATGACTACATATATCATTATCAGTTATCAGTGCGCACTGCTGAGCAAAGGCATCTTTTTATATGGAGAAGGACTATATATATTATACAGGGTGACTGTAGAATTACTATCGATACTTGAGGACGTGATATTTGACGATCATATATGACGAAATAAAAATTAATATAACATAAATATTAATAAACTTCTAAGTAAAGTTAACCAAAAGTTATGTAATTAATTACGCATCGTGTGAACACCCTACAGATTAGGTATACACACACACACACACACACGCGTCCGGTGGCGTGGTGTTGTATCAGCACGCCGCCGCACACGTCCACACTTGGAACACTTGGAACGTATCGACACTTTATTTATTTATACGGAAATTTGGTCAAAAATTAAGTACCTATTTTTTTTACATAATTCGAATCAGAATCATGTACCGAGTATTCTCCTTAAATATTGATAGTAATTCACCAGTCATCCTGTATACAGGGTGACTGGTGAATTACTATCGATATTTGAGGACGTGATATTTGACGATCATATATGACATAATAAAAATTAATATAACATAAATATTAATAAACTTCTAAGTAAAGTTAACCAAAAGTTATGTAATTAATTACGCATCGTGTGAACACCCTACAGATTAGGTATACACACACACACACACACGCGTCCGGTGGCGTGGTGTTGTATCAGCACGCCGCCGCACACGTCCACACTTGGAACACTTGGAACGTATCGACACTTTATTTATTTATACGGAAATTTGGTCAAAAATTAAGTACCTATTTTTTTTACATAATTCGAATCAGAATCATGTACCGAGTATTCTCCTTAAATATTGATAGTAATTCACCAGTCACCCTGTATATCGATGGGTCCTACTTCATAATACTGTATTTTACATCTTTTTATAAAAATGGTATATTTTGTTGGTGGAAAGACTGAGGTTTTATTGCAGTAAAAAATCATAAGTAACACACTTTTTAACATATAAGGACTTATATAATGTATATCATAAAAATATATATGTATTTAAAAACTAGTAGTTTTACAGAGAAGATTATCAATCTTACATGTCGTACGTGTATGTCATAGTTGCTATACATAGTATCAAAAGCATCAGTTGTATGCACAAGATACATTGAAATCAAACTTAAAACGTTTCAACTGAACAATTGTTTGCACATTGGGCCTTATACATAGGAGCCATCGATATGTACATTGTCTGTTATACCAAAATTACTGTATTCCCAAGTGTTTAATATATATTTATATATTCCAGCCTCCTCTAAGCTCACTGCTACCTCTCCTCATGTCGTTGCCGCCAGTTCCTCTTAAGATCCGTCACCTGCCTGAGTCGTGTCGTCACACCACTGCGCTACTCGGAGCATTCAGCGGCAGATTACAGGTGAACGAGTTCAAATCCCAGCGAATTAAAACAATATTTTTACATTACATAAAATTGTATTATTAGTTTTTTTGTGTCGTTTTTGGTCTAATTTAGACTAAAAAATGTATTTGTATATTTTTGTGTTCTTTATAATATATATTTCCTTTTTTTTTCAGAGTAATTCACTAAGCCAATGTACAGATGACGTGAAATTGAAATGCAGTTTAGTAGTTCTGGGTTTGATGGATCAACATACATATCCAGAAACAGAAATACTGACAGCCCTGAGGGTAATATACATGTGTGTGACAACCCTACAACATTTATGTTTAATTTAATATTTAATTATGTTATTTTAGACGATAATCTCCTGTAATGGTAGTGAGGCGGCCATTTTAAGTAAGGCTGTGAACACACTGGACTCATTTGTGATTAATCATTGTATTGAGGATTTTGTACTGGCTGAGGTGAGGGTAGCTCTTATTGTACATGTGTGTGTGTGTGTGTGTGTGTGTGTGTTTATAAGACATGTGTGTGTGTGTAATATAATTGTATATTTGCGAACATTTTTATATTTATTATCTAATCATTATCATGAAATATTATTACAGATTATAAATAATTTGAATATTATAAGCAGACAGACGGACAGGACTAAGAAGGATCACAGAATATTATATAGAGATATATTTATGTTCGTTGGTGAGTATGTATAACAATATCTAATATATATATACTTTCTTCTTTATATTTATCCAAGTCAGTGACAACATTGTATAACTTTTGTGTTCAATTTCCCATACTTTAATTTTAATTTTTATACGTTTCAGGTAAATTCGAGAAGCCGGTTTATAATAACTATGAAGTTAACTATCTTATATCACAGTTAAAATCTAACCTCACAGTAGACTTACCATATGAGGGTGGTAGCGTGAAGGTTAAAACATTTTCTATATATTTGAATAGATTTCATTATAATATTACTATAGATAATGTTCGTATGTGTGTATGTTCGTCTTTTGCGCAAAAAACGACTGTATAAATTTCAATTTAACTTTATAAATTGTTTTTATGCTATGGTTTCATTCGCACTGGAATCATGCAATATTTTGTCAATGTCAACGTTTTTATTTCTTGAACGAATTATAACCTCGAGTACTGTGTGGAAACACGAAATTATTATTATTTGAAGAAAACGACTTATTTAACACATACTTTCATTCCTTGAACAATTATGTATTTAAAATGTATTTAAAATGTAGCCTTTTGTCACTGACGACAGATGGCGCTTATAATAAAAATCTAAATATATTTTAATCTCTTTCTCTAACTAGATGTCGCTAGTTGAAAATTATATATGATAGTAATTTTACTTACTTTGTTTCTTTATATTATTTCAGTTAAATTTGAGCCGTATGCTCTGTAACGCCCTACTATGGGAGGACAAAGAAGCTTTGAACCTACTCCTGACGATATTATGTGCTAACAGTGAGTATTTAATTAAAATTATTAAGTTAACTAATTTGAATAAGGTTTAATATGATCATGATAAACGAGTTATGGTTAAAAATATTGAAACAGAGAGAAATAAATTCAGAAATATAGTTATTTTACTATTAGGGAGGTACACATAATTTTTTATATATTATACATATACTAGCTTTCCGCCCGCAGCTTCGCCGCGTGGAGTTCGGTTATATCGCGTTTCCAAGAGAACCTTTCAAAAGTCTGGGATAAAAACTATCCTATGTTCTTTCTCAAGGTCAACTCTATCTCTGTACCGAATTTCATTAAAATCAGTTCAGTGGTTTAGGCGTGAAAGCGTAGCAGACAGACAGACAGACAGACAGACAGACAGACAGACAGAGTTACTTTCGCATTTATAATATTAGTAGGGATATACCTTTACTTTTTATCCATTTGTTTTCTGTAAACTCTCACATATAAACCCATGTTAAGATTATAATTTGTTGATAAAACCAAGGTTTCTTTAATAGTACATATAAACTGTATTATATAGTCAGTGGTGGCCTAGTGGTTAAGAGGCCCGCCTCTCATGCACGAGGGCGCGGGTTCGATCCTAGTCCAGTCAAGTACCAATGTGATTTTTCCGAGTCATATGTACTTTATAAGAGTATTTAGACATCACTGATTGCATTCCCAAAGAGGGTTGATGTCAGACAGGCGGCCGGTCGTAAAAACAATTAGCCAAAACTATTCATACCATGTAAGGCAGACCCTGGCTAAAGCTGGGAAATTGCCAGATGGAAGAAGATATACATACATACATATAATGTTTCCAGTGTCCACCTGCCCCGCTCCACCTCTCACCCGCGTGTTACTCCGTGTGTGTGTTTGTTTGTCACGCCACAAGGTGTCATCTCGTGTCGTGGCCGCTCTTAGTATGATGGATGAAGGATCGAGTGAACTCATACAGGTAGGAATAAGGGGAGACGAAACTTCTCATCATTCCATGTATTCACGGTGCGTGTGTCGGGTCCATCGTTGTAGTGAGAGGAGCTTCAACAGTGACTGGGACTTGTGACCCAGGAGTAGGTTTAAGGGACCCTATCTAACGCGTTAAACGCTCACCTCCACCGTACAAGCTCTTCTCTCTACCTAACCAAATTTGAAAAGAACCTACTAGGGCTAATATGATACTAAACATTCTGTTAGTAGGTATGTAAATAAATGAAATCTCAGACTTTCGTAATATTCATTTAAATAAAACTAATATTTTTCTGATATACTACATACTCGTTTTTTTAATTATTTTTTTAAAAACGCTGAAACCGTGATCACGGACAGATAAGATGTGATGTTTAAAAAATAATAAAATACGCGTAGTAATCCGATAATATTAGTTTAATTTAAATTTAAATAGAATCCTTTTTTTCGGTGCAATAAGTAGAATAATCAAATACGCGAATTAAATCCCAAGAACACAACTTTATTTAGGACCTATCGACTAATCAGCCTTGCATTCTACCAGTCGAGCAACCAATTAGCAAGAAACGGACATCGAATCTCCCAATAATAATTATTTTATATTTTACTTATCTCCATATTAAAATTTATTTAACATAATAATCCTTATTAATATTATAAATGCGAAAGTAACTCTGTCTGTCTGTCTGTCTGTTACGCTTTTACGCCAAACCACTGAACTGATTTTAATGAAATTTGGTACAGAGATAGAGTTGACCTTGAGAAAGAATATGGGATAGTTTTTATTACAGACTTTTGAAAGGTTCTCTTGGAAACGCGATATAAACGAACTCCACGCGGGCGAAGCTGCGGGCGGGAAGCTAGTAGGAATATATAATGTAATTTAAACCGACTTCCATGTACATGTGTTGTATATTCAACTTGTATGTCTGTCTGTTTCAGTGTATCATCAATGAGTCGTCTTCAGAGTCGCGAACTACACTCATCGAGGGTCTGGAACTGATGATAAAGAAACATCCAGGAACATTGGAACATGTACTGGAGAAGGTTGTGTGCGGTGAAGGAAATTGTAAGTTATATATATACTAGCTTTCCGCTCGCAGCTTCGCCCGCGTGGAGTTCGCTTATATTGCGTTTCCAAGAGAACCTTTCAAATGTCTGGGATAAAAACTATCCTATGTTCTTTCTCAAGGTCAACTCTATGTCTGTACCAAATTTCATTAAAATCAGTTCAGTGGTTTAAGCGTGAAAGCGTAACAGACAGACAGAGTTACTTTCGCATTTATAATATTAGTAGGGAATGTAAGGTTTAATATATTAGTCAGTGAAAATTAAACTAATATTTTCGGATTAATACGCGTATTTAGTTATTTTGAACTACATACACCTCAAGTTTCGGTTAAATTGCAACCCGGATCATGGGCAGACGAGATGGTTTTAAAAATTATAAATTAATACATATCAATCCGAAAATGAATTTTTTTCTTTTAGTTATATAATTTACAAGGCTCTCTTCCTACTTTTTCCGTGTAAAGTCTGGAATTGATTTCTGACCATCTATCGTTTGTATCATGTTACTATCTACACAATGCAACTGTTATAACTTTATTCTGCGGGAGCTATACTGAGTTTAAAAATATATTATATACTATAAATTATTCTGTAACACGAGCTATATTTAGACAAAGTTTCATCAAAATCCGTTTAATTTTTTCTGCGTGGGAGTGTAACATACATAACCTATCTCTTCCTTCTACAGCCAACCAATCATACATACAATTATTGGATAAAATTATCGATTTATTAAGAGAAGAAAACACATTGTGTATGAAGTTTATACCATTACTTATAATGAAAGTATTGAAGACAGAAAACTCAGAATTAATTATGGATAAATTATTAAGTTTGTTTCAAGATAAAATATTTTTATTCGAGACGTCATTACAGAGCATTATTAAGAATATTTTCATAGTTATAAATAATGAGAACTGTATCAAAATTGATAAAACTATTGCATTTATTAAGAATATATTAAATGAAAAGAAAATGGATATTAATATGTTTGTAAGTGACGCGCTGGGTTTGAGGGTGCTCGTGGCAATGAAGGAATGCTTCGATTTTGATGAAACTATGACCAATGCGGTTGTTGAAGCCGCGAAAAGGATAGATGGAAATGGCTCAGAATTGGAAATTGTCTTGAAGTTTTTGTCAGTTTTCTCAGAAATTGTATTGCAAGAAAACTATCAGGTGATAATGTGTTTGATATTTTAATAATCTGATAATTTAACCGACTTGAAAAAGAATAGTTGTTTCTGTAGAAAAAAATATGAAATTGAGTAATGAAATTCTTCATTGGTGTAGTAATTAACAAACTTTTTTAATGAAAAAAGCCCTTTCATATAAACTTTATTAAATAGACACAAATTTCTCCTGTCCGAACCATATAAATTTTCGACGAGTTCGTTGTAATGTTATTAATTTTTTAAGTATTAGTTTTAAAGATCATATAAAGATTTTTTAAAACCCGAGTACAAAGTTTCATCCAAATGGGTTTAATATATTTAAAATCAATCGGTGTCAAACTTAAATTATTTCATCTCTTCATACATAACAATTTATTTCATTGAGTATACTATATCTTTTATCGCTCTGTACATATATATTTGTATCTCTTAAACTTATTTTTTTTCTGTTACAGGCTACCCTAACGTTATTATCAAACGTCATAGACAATACAACAGCAACACAGATTATAAAAACTGGCAAATACTTCCTGATGTGTGTGCAGTCGGTTAAAAAGAATCTTGGTTCAATACCGGAGGTTATAATAAATAAATTAATGAACTTCATTAAAAATAACGATGTACATAAACTATCAGAAAACATAAGAAAATATGGCTTGAACCATAATGATGAAGCTATCATTCGATCGGTCAGAGTTGTTATAGAGGCTTGTGATGGATTGGTTTTGAGCAAATCCGATGATTTTATAGTCTCGTGGAAGGATATGTTTTATGGTTTCTTTGATTCTCACGTCATGATGTGGTTGAAGACCAGGTATGAAGTTCTGTCAGATATGACGTACGTCGCCTTGAAGTATATGGATGAAGTGGAAATTAAGAATATACTCACGAAAGGTGGGACTTACAGACATACATGTGATGAAATTATTAAAATATAGAAATAAATATAAATGAAACTAATATATTCAGATTACTACGAATTTTTTATTTAAAACTGCATATGCCTGAAGTTTCGGTTACTTTTCAGCAACTGTGATCACGGGCAAACAGGATAATAAAATACACGTAGTAATTCGAAAATATTAGTTTCATTTAAATGAATACTCGCAAAAGTCTTATATCTCATTGTAAAACTTAGTTTATTTTTCTAGTTTTTTTTTATTGTAGATTTTTATATATAAAACATTTATCTTTTTATCATAGTATATTAAAATAGCTTATCTATGTATATTAAGTGTGTGATATTGACATACAGTAAGACTTTCGCGAGTACTCATTTAAATAAAACTATTTTTTTACGGATTTGCTACAACTTAATAATTATTTTAACTACATACTGTCAACATTTCAGTTTATTCTTAGATTTCATTATCATAAATCTGTTTTAATCCTATTTCCAGGTCCAGATGACACCGGTATAAAGTTCGCATCTTCCTTAATATCCGTGTTCTATCCATACTTGACTACAGCACTTCTAAAGACTTGTAGTGTGTTGTTGTATGATGTAGTGCGTCATGCGAACAGGAGGGGGCGGAGGGGGGAGGCTGATGACGTCATACAACAGGTGGCTATAGTTATACTAGTGTGTGTCTGTGGCTTCGTTCGTAAATCCCTACTAATATTATAAATGCGAAAGTAACTCTGTCTGTGTGTCTGTCTGTTACGCTTTCACGCCTAAACCACTGAACTGATTTTAATGAAATTTGATACAGAGATAGAGTTGACCTTGAGGAAGAACATAGGATAGTTTTTATCCCAGACTTTTGAAAGGTTCTTTTGGAAACGCGATATAACCGAATTCCACGCGGGCAAAGCTGCGGGCGGAAAGCTATAGTTAATAAATTAATAAGTAAAATAGATTGTTATGACGTGTTTCGAAAGAATTGCGAGGGATATTTGTATGAATTATAATCTATATCATATTTTGATGAAACTAAAAAACTTGAAAGTACCATCAATATCGGTTCGGTAGTATTGGGTGCAAAAAGTAAAAGTTTCGACGTAACAAAGCAGAGAATTATGTTCTAAATTAAATTTAGTATATTAAATCAAATACAAATTGGTAATGAAGTATTAATAATAGTTTGTGGGAAAAACTGGATTCGAACCTACGTCCTCCGGGTCACGTGTCACTGTCGCTTAAATGTTTACATTTAAGCTCACTAAACGCTTCATTGAAGGTCACTGAACTAATTCTATAAGTATATAATTTTTTCCCTACGTCTTGAACAAATAACGTTAATTTACACACAAATCAATACAAAACCTTAAAAAAATATACATCGGATTTATTATAAATTCGTTGTTTTTAAAGAGAGGGATGCCAGCCTCGCTGACGTCACTAATGTCACTTCTTCTAGAGCGTTCCATGATATTTTAAAATGAAACTTTAATTGTTCTTAATGCTCCTGTATTTCTCGAAGATTCTTCATATTAATATACTTCAATGATACTCACTCACTGAACTCTGAATTCTGTATTCTGCGCGCGTTCGTCCAGACGTCATATTAATACTAAGATTTAAACCTAGTTCTATTCTCCTTTTAAACAATCTTTGATTTCGTTTTACTTTTAACAAAAATCATGAATACTAATGAGTTTTAATAATAATTGATGACAGCCTCAAATAATTTAATGCCGCATCCGTTATTAAAGCTGATAGCGCCGATATAAATATTAAAACCTTTTCGAGAATCACGCTATCGAATGGTGAAAACCGCGTGTTTATCGGTGCAGTAGTTTTTCTGTTTATTACGAATATACAGACAGACGCGGACAGACTTTGTTTTATAATATGTATTCATTTATATTATCGTAGTGACTTAAACGTTAAGCTTATACTGACATTTTAATAATATTTAAGATTTGGCCGCACTACGAAAAAATAGCGACAAACAAACAGAAACAACAGTTCTATATGGAGTGTCTCCCCGGAGTGAGGAGTGAGGAGTGTGTGGTGTACAGACGACTCGTGGAACTGGTGAAGGGTGATGAAGACTTGGAGACGAAGATCATGATGATGGATGTACTACCGAAGGGGGAACTATACGGGTGATGAACTATACACATTGTAGTGTATGTATTTATACGATAGATATAATACACTGTCTCACGTACCCCACTGGAGGGGGCGGCATGCGTTCGGCAGTCTCACGACTAGCGTGGAGAGGAACGGGGACGTGCGTCGTTCTAGGCGGGGTAGTAGTTAGACAGTGACTAGTTATACTTACATGTAGGACCAGGGGTCGTATTGACATGATATTTGTTAGGAAATATATAGATGAAACCTGTCATCATTCAATGTATTCACGGTGCGTGTATCGGGTCCATCGTTGTAGTGAGAGGAGCTTCAACAGTGACTGGGACTTGCGACCCAGCTGTAGGTTTAAGGGACCCCTATCTAACGCGTTAAACGCTCACCTCCACTGTCCAAGCTCCTCTCTATCTAAACAAATTTGAAATAATATACATAATTGTAGAGCATAATTAATTGAACTGGAAAAATGTTGAGTAATTTATCAGTATTTCTCTATAATATATGAGAGTCATATCTTCACGTCATAGGAAAGCTAGCTTCGCTATTCATGCGACTTTACTTGGAATATCTTACAATATCCTTTAAGATATACTGCTTTTATTACCGATAACGTCTTGACCAATTTTAGTATACATAATATATTTTTCTATCGCGATATCGAACCTACGAATCCTACATTTTCCGTACCTATGAAAATTATAGTATATTAAATAATTTTATCAACTTAAACTTCATAGAAATACTTTTTTTATACGAATAAGAGCTAAAAAATATGTTATTTTTCATATATTATTAATTAATTATTGTTATTCTTATCCCTCCTCCCAGTTCCCTCCCTCTTTTGTTATTCCCCCTCCTTCCCTCCCGCCTGTGGGAGCTCCGTGGCTCGTTGGCCAACTGTTTCAGATCTATACTCGACGCGCTGGCTACAAACATACACACAGACGTACTGAGAGCGGTCGCCATACTAGCATCCAGTGAGTACTACATGTAACTTGAAATAAAATAATGTTTTAAATCATGTATATATATAACTAGCTTTCCGCCCGCAGCTTCGCTCGCGTGGAGTTCGGTTATATCGCGTTTCCAAGAGAACCTTTCAAAAGTCTGTGATAAAAACTATCCTATGTTCTTTCTCAAGGTCAACTCTATGTCTGTACCAAATTTCATTAAAATCAGTTCAGTGGTTTAGGCGTGAAAGCGTAACAGACACACAGAGTTACTTTCGCATTTATAATATTGGTAGGGATCATGAAAATAATAAACATTTTATTATTTCAGTAATATTAGTTCTTGTTCTTCCTGGCAATTTCCCAGCTACAGCCAGGGTCTGCCTTACATGTTGTGAATAGTTTTGGCTAATAGTCTTTACGACCGGCCGCCTGCTGACATCAACCCTCTTTGGGAATTTTCTTATTAATATAAGTTATGTGTTAGTTAATATTGACTGGTATAAAGATTCTGTCACAGTCGCTTTACTGAAAAAGCTAATGTGTCCTGGTGTATTGGTTTTTTTTATATCTTTATATGTATATATAGAAGAAAGTCGTGTTAGTTACACTATTTATAACTCAAGAACGGCTGTACAGATATGGATGAAGATTGGTGGAGAGATAGATTAGAACATAGAAATCACATGGGATATTTAATTCCAGTATCTGGTTATTTAAGATCTCTAGCGCAGAATAGAGTCCGCCCGGGACACTATACATATATTACTCATTAAAATACACATAGACGAAATGGCGGCAAAAGCTAGTTTAATAAGTTATTAAAAATAAATATTCCAACAAAAATTTTCACTTCATTTATTAAACTTAAGACTCTTTTCAGTAAAGAGTCATGAACTGTCTTCATAGTATAATCATAGTGTAACCTGTCTTCACAGCGGACCCTACTCCCGGCTGGTGGGACTTTGCCCTCGACTCGTGTATGAAGTCCCTAGCGAGGGCGGAGCACCCCGGCCTGTTGCAGACCCTCTATGATATATGTATTAACCTCGAACACAGCGCTTTCACCAGACTTATGATCCCTTTATTGAGGTGAGGGTAGTTTGATATTATGATTAAAATATTGTAATAAATGACGTGTGTTATAAAAGTCGTGGTGGCCTAGTGGTTAAAGGCCCGCCTCTCATGCACGAGGGCGTGGGTTCGATCCTGGCAAGTACCATTGTGATTGTTCCGAGTCATATGTTCTTTATAAGAGTATTTAGACATTACTGACTGATGAAGGAAAACATCGTGAGGAAACATGGACTTATAATTTCCAATTTTATGATGATGATGAATAAATGTGAATGTCTATATGTATCTTTGATTATTATCAATAACCTGACAATGACTGAATTTGGATTAAGTTTTGTGGATATTAAACTTTACTGAAATAAATATGTAGTTTTAATACCAAAACGTAAAGATTTCATATTAGTAAACTCAATTGTTGTGTAATGAGTTGGAATCGAAACTATCAGTTTCAATTAATTTCATCAATTGATAGTAAGTGGTACCAAGTATGAGTGATAGGCGGGCCTTTAACCACTAGGACACCACTTTTTTAGTGTATGTTTAGTATGTATTTATACTCGACAGGTACTCGAAGTCGCCTGCCGTGGAGTCATTCGTGAGTCCCCTACTCCCCGGGTTCCTCTCGTGTCTGAGTCACCGACCGCGCGCTTCAAATGTTCGCGTGAACCGAAAGTGTCTCATTGAACAGATGCGAGTCTTCAATATATTAGAGATCGTATTCCAAAAGGTTGGTCACCATTTTGTGTAATTTCAATCAGAGTTAGAAAATGTTTTATTAAAGTGATAGAATTTTTCCCAGAAACTATTTATTATATCTTACTACCTGACCCAGCAAAACAATCCAAAACAACGTTTGTTTTCTCATATAAAAATAGATGTTGGTGATAAAAAAGTTAAAATTTTGTGTTGTATGTATTTTTAACTGCCACATATAAAAAAATTAAAAGAAATATGTAAATTTATCCAAAATATAAAAAAATAAGGGCGAAAACAATTTATCACTTACATAGGTATATTAAAAATAGATAGCCAATTCTCAGACCTTCTGAATATATATAGAATCTGGTAAAAATCGGTAAAACCGTTTCTGAGGAGTACGGTAACTAACATTGTGACATGGAAAGAGACGAAACTTCTCAGCATTCCATGGATTCACCGTGCGGGTGCCGGGTCCATCGCGTTGCAGGGAGAGGAGCTTCAACAGTGCCTGGGACTTGCGACCCAGGTGTAGGTTTAAGGGGCCCCTTAACTAACGCGCGTTATACGCTCACCTCCACTGTCCAAGCTCCTCTCCCTACCTAACCAAATTTGAAAAGAACCTACTAGGGCTGCCTTCAATGTACGTGCCAAGAATGCATTAATGTGAGTTCTGGACAGGCCCAAGTCTTTTAGTAGGTTGTAGAGAGATTTCGCTGTTATACCTCTCGCTCCCACCTCTACCGCGTACAAATCTACTACGAACCTATTTCGAGTGAGTTCGTTTGTGAGCTCGTAATATTTGTTGACCTTGATGGTATGGTCTTTGGGGATGTTGGTTTCCCAAGGAACCGTAAGCTCTATCATCACTACGCGCTCTAAAATTCGCGAAAACAAAAATATATCCGGTCTGGAGGCCGACGCACAAATATATATTAGATATTAAGAAGATCTTTTTACCGAGTTATTTTTTCATTGATTCAATATGTAAATATATTTGCTTTTCTTTACAACTATATCATTTTACGCTATTTTCCTAATAGTCCTATGTCAGTTACTGTCTTAAAGCACGTTGAAAAAAAAACAAAAAAAAATGTATATTATATATTTCCAGGTTCCAAAACAGCACATAGAGTCGCCCCGGTCCCTCCTGTACAGTCATCTCTCCGTGGACTCTCTCTCTCTCTTCTATCTCGTCTCTACCGTGTGTAAGCTGTGTGTGGCGACGAGGAGCATACACGACAAGACAGGAGTGGAGAACGAATACAGGTCAATGAATAATGTTGATTAATAGAATTATGGATAACTAGCTGCGCCCCGCGGTGTTACTCGCGGATTTCCGGGATGTAAAGTAGTCTATGTGTTATTCCTGGACGTCAGCTTCCTGCATACAAAATTTTATAAAAATCGGTTCAACCGTTTGAGCGTGAAGAAGTAACAAACATACACACACATTCACAAACTTTCGCAATTATAATATTAGTAGGATAAAGCAATCGGGACGAATTTGTATCTTTATTTATTCATTATCACCTTTTTGGTTGTGTAGTAAAGCAATCAAGACGTAAAGCAAAGAATACAAAATAAAATTATTAAAATTCTATATAAATATCGCTTTCTTACTCCAACGGTACAACTTTATAATGAAACAAAAATAATGAATATATCACAATTATACACATACTATACATGCATTTTAATCAAACAAATTAAATCAGGTTCCATTCGATCGGAGATAGTGATTTGTGAGAGACCGCATATTTCGAACTTAAGGAATAAATACAAACTTCAAATTGATCACGTGAGAACTAATTATGGTAAAAAAACAATTCTGTTTGAAGGAGTACAACTGTTCAATAAACTACCAGACGAAATAAAACTGTGTGATAGCATAGGGATGTTTAAGGTTAAATTAAAAAAAATGTTTAATATCCTCGCTGTAGTAGTTGATGTAGCAAGTCTGTCATGTCCAGCGGCCCGTTTGTTAAAATTGTTATCTTGCAAATATTCCTTGTATCTCATTTTAAGTGAATGTAAATTCTTATGAGAAATAAAGTTCTTTACACCCAAAGCTGTTAAGTGATTCGTGTCAAAGCTTATTAATAATTTACAATTCAAATTTTCACCACTCAGCTTTATTTACTTATTTTTAGGGTAACCGTTTATGATCTAAGAGTTTATTGCACTTGCACTGAAAAGGCTGACAAGGAAGTCGTTAGGATCTTTAAGCGTAACATACATATATACCTATATAGAAATATAGTCTTTTTATGTTAAAAGTGGCAAACGAGCAGAAGGCCCACTTGATGGAAGGTGGTTACCGTCGCCCATGGACATCCGCAACATTTTTGTTGCGGATGCGTTGCCAACCTTGTTTTATTAGGGATAGGGAAGGATGGGAATAAAGAAATGGTAGGAAAGGGTGGGAATAAGGAAAGGGCAACCGTTTCTCTCACTCATCGGACGAAACGCAGCCATAAAAGGCTACTTCACGCCGATCATCTGTGAGAGGGTGGTACTTCACCCGTCGAGCCAGCCCGTGTTCGAGCTGTAGTAACTGACCACAGCTAGGCTCTAGCACCTCAGAAAATCTACACTCTAGACTTTACCTTAAAAGGAAAAACCATAGCAAAACCTTATTATTATACTCACTTACTTATGTATATATTGTTTATAGATTATTTCAACTCGCTAACTTCTCGTGTCTGTCGTCGGCCCTCCTGTGTCGTGAGTGTCGTGCTCCAGTGTACCGCTGTGTGTTTGATGTCAAGCTGTGGAGCGAGCTGGTCTGCGAGGAAGTGTCTGCTCTCAAGACTCACTGGGTGAGTAGCCTTATTTATATATATGTTCTTGAAGTATTTAAAATAATATTGTTTTATCTTGTAGGATTAAACAAAAGATTTAAATGAAACTAATATTTTCGGATTTTACTTCGCGTTTTATTTTAGAAACTACATACTCCCGACGTTTCGGCTACTTTTCAGCAACCGTGATCACGGGCAGACGAGATGTGAGTGTCTGTCAGTTGGTCTGGTCATTTTATCTCCTACCGCCATCGATTTCTTAATTGTCTTGCGTACCGCTCTGGATGCCGGCAAAATGCGCTCACGGTGTCTCGAGGTCCTGCGGTGTGGTCACGGACCTGGGATTTTATATTTTTAAGAAGAGGATCCCAGGTGTTTGATAGGTTCCAGGCATCTTCTCTATTGAAATTAGGGTGTTTTTTAATTTCAATAGCCTCGCGGATTAACCTTGGTATATATCTGTCTTCACGAGCTGACCAGACCAACTGACAGACACTCACATCTCGTCTGCCCGTGATCACGGTTGCTGAAAAGTAGCCGAAACGTCGGGAGTATGTAGTTTCTAAAATAAAACGCGAAGTAAAATCCGAAAATATTAGTTTCATTTAAATGTGTACTCGCGAAAATCTTAGATCTCATTATGTTAAACAAAAGATATCTTAATTGGTTAACGGATATATGTAAAATAATTATTGTTTCCTATAATACAGCAAGTTAATAATGTGTTTATTAAAGTTCAATTTAATAAATGAAATAATGGATGTAATATAGATCAATAAATGTATAATAACCGCTATCGTTTCACACAGGGTCACCGTGTCACTCGGTACGCCCCGTCGGTCCCGTCTGTCCCGTCCGTCCCGTCCCGCTTACCCTCCAACAGCCCCAGTCTTCGTTCCCGCGTGTTCCTGAGGACGCTCTCCGAGAATCCGTGCATGTATGACCTCGTGGAGGAAGAAAAGGAGGTGAGTTTGAAAGAATAAACATTCTATAAAGAAAATTAATTCCTTAAGAGAGTAACAGTATGAATCAGTCCATAATATCATCTATGTAATAAAATTCCATGTCACAGATGATAGATGTCGGTTGAAATGTTTAATACACTTTGAACAGATATTAATTTCTCTCTAAACAAAATAAACAATGTAGACGAAGTCGCAGACAAAATCTAGTGCTTATTAATACTGTTTCACAATAGGTTATACTACTCGTAGTTTTTTTGTCCATGTGAATTTCGTCATTAGTAATATATGTATATCTGACCGGACGAACTCTATTCCGACCTAGAAGACGTAAATAACCAGATATTGGAATTTATTAAGTATTTTTTTGTTTCGATCGGTCAGTATTAAATATCCTACGTTCGTCTCCTTTTTCTAATCTATCTCTCCACCAATGTTCATCCATATCCATACAGTCGTTCTTGAGTTATAAATAGTGTAACTAATACGACTTTGTTTAATATATATTTATTATATTCTAGGAAGTATCAACAGAGTTCTATCTCCCGGACAACTCTCTCAACCGTCAACCCTGTCTGCCTTACATCATGTCGCTGTTGAGTACAGTGGGAGGGATGCCAGTGGAGGGGACGGCTTGGGCGGGGTCAGTGACCTCGGCGCTCCGGGGGGAGAGACGGGTCGCCAGGGTTATAGCACAGGTTAGGGAAATGATCTATAGACTAGTAGTGATAATATTCAATAGAAAAGAGAAACAAAGTTACGCATACAGATGGCGCTCGTTATATATATTTATGGTTTGTTATTAACAAGTAGAACCTCTATTTAGTGCATTTATAATGACTAATATTGGTTGATAAAATGAAATCCCATGTAAAGAGTACAGTATATACATATCTTATTCGGTTGTAGATATAATAATAGTCTATCGGTCTATCAAAATCGGTCGAAAATGCTTGATTTTATAATATTATATGATTACAGTCGTCTACAAGTACTAAAATCGGATATTCGATCTATTTTATTACTTTGTAATTTCAATACATCTGCATTTTTCAATAGTTTATATAATGATTGAAAACAGTCTAATAATAGTCATATTAAACATCGTGTAAGTTGAAGTAAAGTAATAGTATTTACTTACATCAAAATACATGAATATGTATGTTATATATTTTCAGGCGGTATGCAATGTTCGGGGGTCATTGACCTCACACGCGGGAGCGTTAGTTCCCCCACTACTGTCTCTCATCACGGACGGACCCGTGGATCAACTTTATATCGATATTGTGAGTATATTAAATTCACTGAATTTCAGTTAAGACTCGCAAGCTTAATTGTTAAGTGACCGGGACGTTGTATCTATTCAGTCGCAGGTTTGAATATAGGAAAATGAAACTTTTGTTTTCGGACTGCACGTCATTTTATTGATCTAAGTTTTTGTAAAGTTCCAATGTTACCCGCTCACCATTGTATCGGCATGTCGGGTTGAACTTTAAACACACATATTCTACATGTTTAAATTTAATTCTTTTTTTCATTATGAAATTCTTCATTTCTATTGTTTAACTTCACTAAAAATATCCTAGTTCAACATTGCTATAATATACTAAATTACATCACTATCTGTATCTGTTGAGCAGTTTTTGTATTATAACAAACACCACAATACATAAACATGCAGCTTATATTACAATAAATTATTTCGGTAGAATAAAAACAATTTTGCCAGAACAGTTTCCATTTATTTTGACATGGAGTGTATTATACCTTATATTAGAAATAATTGTAATAAAAGAAAAAAACAACAACAAATATATATGAACATTAATAGCAAGAAGTATCGAACATATAATTATTTCAATTATGATTCATAAAGATAACAAAACAAAAATAAAGATAACAAAACAAAAATAAATAAAAACAGGAGAATAATAATTAAAAGAAGTAATTATATAGGGTATCAACCAGAGTTTCCAGGAAAACTACGAAACTTACTTATATGTATATTATAATGAGAATTACATATTAAAACTTATAACCTACACCTAAGACTACATGATTGACCCGATGTTAGGATAGCAATACCATTCCATAGCTTGTGTGTATCAGGAATCTTCTGGTTCACACGCTTGGTGTTCGTTCCGCGGAGTCAGCGGCGTCGCTCCGGCGATGTTCATTTTTTTTCTTCATATGTAGTTCTTACGTAACAAGAATAATAATAACATACAATAATAGTAGTTTTTATATTTTTCAGTTGGACACAATAATAAATTGGAAAGTCGAAATAAATGATCAAGAATGTTTAGAAGGTGTGGTCATGAGTTTAATATCTAACGTTGTGGAGAAACATACAGACAGAACGATGATGGACAGACTTGTACAATTATTAGATATATATGGAAATATAGTCACTATACCGTGGAAGTGCTTGGAAAAATATTTTACAGGTAAATTGTTATTCAACTACGGAGATCTAAGAAGGGTTGTGTTATATGTAGAAGTAATTCTTCATTATATATGTGCAAAATATATTGTATATATGTGCAAAATATGTTTTATTATATATGTATTTCAACTCACAGATGCTAGCGATAACAAACTCACGACCTGCCTCAAGATCTTGAACCGCGTCAATTTATACGTACCGGAGTTATTACCCGCCATCCCACGGCTCGTGGCGCGGCGGGTGACGCTCTTATGGTCAGTGTACGGACGAGCCATGAGGGTCATGAAGGAGAGGGGACTGGACGCAAGAGAGGAAGTGGAGAGGTTGGACATTACATACTAATATAAACTATAGCATACAATGATTATTATCGAAATCGGTTCAGTCGTGACGCGTAACAAACGTGCAGACAGTTGGTTTTAATTATATACACTAGCTTTCCGCCCGCAGCTTCGCCCACGTATAGTTCGGTTATATCGCGTTTCCAAGAGAACCTTTCAAAAGTCTGTGATAAAAACTATCCTATGTTCTTTCTCAAGGTCAACTCTATCTCTGTACTAAATTTCATTAAAATCAGTTCAGTGGTTTAGGCGTAAAAGCGTAACAGACAGACAGACAGATAGAGTTACTTTCGCATTTATAATATTACTAGGGATATAAGCCGCTACCGTGACATAATATATAGAAATTTTCTTTGTACTTGGAATGAGTTATTATAAAATTGGCTCCTAGATAACCTTTTACATAACATTCCCAAAGAGGGTTGATGTCAGGCAGGCGGCGGGTAGTAAAAACAATTAGCCAAAACTATTCACAACATGTAAGGCAGACCCTGGCTAAAGCTTCAAAAATTGCCAGGTAGAAGAAGTTAAGCTTGTACAGAAAATTCCCGCAAATTTCTAATTCTATTTTAAATAACAGAATTTCGTTAAATCCCTTCCTAAGTGACTTCTACTTGTCGAAAGGAACATTTCTAATACAAATCTCATTCCCTACAGATGTCGCGGTCTGTTAGACCGTCTTCGTCGTAGCGACGTGTCAGACTACATCAAGGCTCTGTACTACATACAGAAAGACTACCCTGACGTGTGTGACTACAAACAGTTCAGGTGAATAGAGATAAAACTCCTCATCATTCCATATATTCACGGTGAGTGTGTCGGGTCCATCGTTGTAGTGAGAGGAGCTTCAACAGTGACTGTGACTTGTGACCCAGGTGTAGGTTTAAGACGACCCTATCTAACGCGTTAAACGCTCACCTCCACCGTCCAAGCTCCTCTCTCTACCAAAATTGAAAAGAACCTACTAGGGCTGCCTTCGATGTACGTTCCAAGAATGTATTGATGTTAGTTCTGAGTTTATATAAATATTATTATCAAAGTCAACTACTGAGCAAAACTCCTCTTCTCACATGGAGAGGGTTTGAGCATTAATTACCACGCTTGCTTAAGACGGGTTGGTGATTTCAAACTTATATATAAATTATATCTCCATATTTCCTCACGATGTTTTCCTTCATCAGTCAGTGTCAGTGTCTAAATACTCTTATAAAGTACGTATGACTCGGAACAATCACATTGGTACTTGCCAGGATCGAACCCGCCGCCTCATGCATAATTATTAATAATTTAATTGTTTGTATAAAATATCTTAAATCGTAACTCCATTTTTGGCCACCCTGTACCAAAATCCCATCTATACGTTTCAAATTTCATCAAAATCGACTCAGCTTTAAACACTATTCATACATATATATATATATTTGTTGGTAGATGTATCAGCGACCTCATCCCTAAGATTCCTCATCGTGAGCGTCCCCGCTGTCTCTCAATATTATCTTCATACATGACTCACGGCGGCCGCGGAGACTTTACTGTACTGGAAACGATAGAGCTCGAGAAAATGATAGACACGAAACAAGGAGTGGAACTGGTGGGAATATGAAACATACTCTTACTATATATATAAAATTATATTTATTGCCAATTGAGTTAAATTTTGTTTATTTTATTTATTCTAATGAAACTAATATTTTGGGATTACTACGCGTTTTTGTATCCTGAACTACATACTCATGTTTGACAAATAACAGGACCAACTGACAGACATTCACATCTCGTCTTAATGATGATGGGAGTATGTAGTTAAAATAATGAAAACGCGTAGTAATCCGAAAAAAAAAGAGTTTCATTTAAATGAATACTTGCTAAAGTTTAATCTAAAAAAATAAATTTATGGGTAACCATTATATATATGTTTCAGGCTACATCCGCCCTCCACGTGATGTCCCCCCCCTTCAGACAGCGCGTGTTGTCAGCGGCGCAGTCCGCGGGGCCCGGGGCCGCCGTGTACCCGCTCATTATGAGGGCCTTTGAATGTTAGTACAACTTGCTGTCATATTAATATTGTGGCATCGATTTAAAGATTATTGCAGAACATTCTCGATATGAAGCGACAGCGCCATCTAGTGACGAGTGGACGAAACTCTTATCTATACGTCTACTAGTAAATTCCAATTATTAATATTTATAAACAAATAGATATATAAAAAAGAATATTGTGGAATGTTCTAGTAATCAGATTGTTATGTACATAAGGACCGCTAGATCAGTTTAGAGCAAGTATCATTAGAAAACTACATACAAGCGATATTATCTATGATTATAACACAATGAATATTCGCATTTTCTATCAGCTTTTTTCCTAAAAAGATTTAAAAATATCATCCACCGGTACTGTACACTAGCAGATCTTTTTTGAATCATTCCAGGAAAAAGCTAATTAAATACTCTGTTTATATTATTTATTAAGACCTACCTCGTAACAATATTATATCGTGTGACGTCACATCCTGTTACAGTGCAGAGATCGTCCGAGGAGCCGAGTATGAAGCGGCCCGCCAGGCCTCAGCTCCCGGAACACAACACTATGAGAGGCCTCGCGCGGGGCCTGGCTGGGGGCCTGCGGGGACTACGGGGCCTCAGCTCGGACCTAACACTGAGGTTAGACAATGAATATGAAAAACGAATGTTACTCTCTTCTTACTAGTAAATTTTATTGACTACCAAGTATGTGTATGTATAAATGTTTGTTGCTCAAATATACTAAACTCTATAGTACTTAGTCAGTGGTGCCCTAGTGGTTAAAGAGCCCGCCTTTCAGGCACGATGGCGCGGGTTCGATCCTTTCAAGTACCAATGTGATTGTTCCAAGTCATATATACTTTCTGATAGTATTTAGATACCACTGACTGATGGACGAAAACATCGTGAGGAAACCTGGACTTATATCAAATTATAAGTTTTAAATCACCAACCCGTCTTGAGCAAGCGTGGTGATTGATGCTCAAACCTCCTCCATGTGAGAAAAGGCTAAGCAGTGGGCTCTGATAGGATGATGATGATGAATGTGTGTTATTGCACACGACTCAAGTAAAACTTCTTTCGCTCCATCTATATGTAATATCTAAATGCATATGTTTATATATAATACAAACATGTATATGTATAACTACTGTCACATTATTCACCATATACAAAGTTATATGTATGTATTAATGTATATTATTCATATATACTAAACTCTGTTCATTATTTTCATCTCATATATACTCGTATTATATGTACTTCTTTTCTATAGACTGTTCGAGTGTATATTATTATGTGTGGTGGTACCTCTCACTGATTGTGTCCGTGTGTCGCTGGTGACGGTGTTGGAGCTGTTCCTGCAGGATGTACGGGAACAGGGAACATTCAGAAACAGTAGAATATATGATATTGATATACGGTTGGTAATTATATATACATATATATGCTAAACACAATTAAATTCATTATGGATGGTAGTATATTAAAGAAACAAATAATCTCATACTTTTTATCGAAGTTCAGTTCAATAATCATGTATGTAATTTTATTTTATTATATACTATGTAGATGACCCGGCGGACTTCGTACCGCCCTATGATCAAAAATATCTGTTTCCTTTTTATCTCAACCAAGTTAATTTCTTTAGTAAGTATATAGCTGATCCGACGGACAATGGTCTGTCTTCTTAAAATAAATATATTAACAAATCAAAATTATTTCAAAAACAAAGTGTTTATTATTCTAATGCTTTATTCTAACTACGTGAATATTACTGTGAGTGACACATTATTTTAATAAAAAAGTGAAATATGTATTGTAGTAGTTTTTTTTCTAGTAATTTTCGTGATTTTTCTTATATAAGAATCTTCTTCTAATAATAACAAACATAAAAAAAAGAATTAGTGAAATCTGTTTAGGCGTTCATACGTGATGCCGTGATCAAGAGAAAAAGGCATTCATTTTAATATATATAATTATATTATTTTTTCTTTTCCAGTGCTCCATCGAACACAGTGACCGGGATTCAAACCAGTACAGGTAATTGTTTATTATACATGAAATACACATATAATTAGTATATTGACATTTAATTAGTATATAACTGTCTCGGTCTAAATATGCAATGAGGACGTCATTGATTACTGATGACGTCACCAAAACAATATGGCTGCCGCAGACGAAAATGTACATGTTCTAATAAAATATACTTTGTTCCAATTTCTATTTCATAACGAGTTATATATTTAAATAAATAAATAATCTTTAAAATATATTAATAATATACAACTAGACTAATAAAGTAGTCTAGACTAGAATCACCAACCCGTCTTGAGCAAGCGTGGTGATTAATGCTCAAACCTTCTCCATGGGAGAAAGAGGCCTCTGCTCAGCAGTGAGTTCTGATAGGCTGATGATGATGTGACTAGAATAGAAGAAGATACTTCCTTTGATATATGAGTGTGCTTATTTATTATAATATATAATATGTTTCAGATTTAAATCAAGATGAAAAACACATAAGTTTGGAAGAAGTCATAGAAAAAATACTACAATTTGCTCGAGTGAGTACAAATTTAGTTATGTTTTATATCAAGCATCGGTCGAGTTACACTGGGTGAGGAGAAATGATATAGAGAACAAACAGATAGACAAAAACATATAATATTTAATATTGTCATATACATGTATATACTAGCTGACCCGGCAAACGTTGTTTTGCCATATAAAAATAGGAGTTGGTGATAAAAAAGTAAACATTTTGTGTTGTATTTATTTTTAATGACACCTAAAAAATTAAACTAAATAATTATTATAAAAAAATTAAAGGTGAAGAACCCTTATAATTTAGGGGAATAAAAATAGATAGTAACCGATTCTCAGATCTACTCAATATTAATATATGATTGTTAAATCATAGATTTGAACCTGCACCAATAGGAATACTAAATCCCAGTCATTTTACCAAATGAGCTGTAGTGTCCATACCATACATGTATTTTAAGTATATTTTTTAAAATATTGTGTTAGTGCTTTTAGATTATTTTCACATCCCTACTAATATTATAAATGCGAAAGTAACTCTGTCTGTCTGTTACGCGTTCACGTCTAAACCACTGAACTGATTTTAATGAAATTTGGTACAGACATAGAGTTGACCTTGAGAAAGAACATAGGATAGTTTTTATTTTGAAAGACTTTTGAAAGGTTCTCTTTGAAACGCGACATAACCGAACTCCACGCGGGCGGAAACTAGTATATATTATAATATTATTATTTTCAGAAAGACGATGATTTTTGTACGTCGTTGATCGTCCAGTTAATACATCAGTATGGTACAGTCGGTCCCGGGTTCGATTTCCACGGCAGCATGTCGTCTCATATAATCAATTGCATCAAAATCAGTCCAGTCGCTGCTAGCGTTGTTGAAATTGCGAGACAAATAGATGTTTGGCAAGATATAGAGTGAGTATAAATATATTTATATAAAAACTTAATTAAGTCAGTGGTGGGCTCGTGGTTAAAAGGTCCGCATCTCATGAATGAGGGCGCGGGTTCGATCCTGGCAAGTACCAATGTGATTGTTCCGAGTCATACGTACTTTATAAGAGTATTTAGACATCACTGACTGATGAAGGAAAACATCGTGAGGAAACATGGACTTATTATCAAATTATAAGTTTGAAATCACCAATCCGTCTTGAGTAAGCGTGATGATTAATGCCCTAACCTTCTCCATGTTAGAAGAGGCCTTTGCTCAGCAGTGAGCTCTGATACGATGATGATGATGATGATAAATCTTAAATGACAAGACCAACTGACAGATTCACATCTCGTCTTAATGATCACTGTTGCTGTAAACTAACAAACGTCGGGAGTATGTAGTTTTTATTAGTATGTACTTCAATGGTTCTAATGACTTTGAAGTTATATACTAAATAAAGGTCTAAAGTTCGAATCTTAGTAATATTTTTCTTTTTATTCCAGTTTATGTAAACTAACTGATTTAGTTACCTCGTCTTTGAGTTCTGAAGGCGAGGGTGTGTGCAGACTTATATATGAGGATGTTCTTCTTAGGAGGGGAGAAGAAATGTTTGTTTTGGGGTGTGTATAAAGCTTTGAAATTTATTATATATACTTGCATCTTCTTATACCTGGCAATTAGCCAGCTTTAGCCAGCGTCTGCTTACATGTTGTGAATAGTTTTGGCTAATTGTTTTTACGACCGGCCGCCTGCTTGACATCAACCCTCTTTGGGAATGCAAAACCTCTTTAACTCTCTTTATGTATATTTATATATCTTTATTATTTATTTATGTACCATAAACAGAAATAGTTACATTATTATAAATGAAGTATGATGCACAAACAATATCTTATGTCTTAAGAGAGATCTTTACCGGAAACACTTTTGATAGAGGAAATGAGAAGAGAAATGTGGAGTAGGTACAATAGAAAGAGAAGGAAAAAGATATTCATATATACATATATAAGTATACCAAAAAATATATAATATTTATATAGAATTAGAAATTATACATACATAAATATATACATATAGTAGAATAAATAAATAAACATTTCATATATTCTATTTTCAGACAAAATAAACCCTGGGATGAAGAAATGCCCGTGGTCAATAACAAATTCTCAATGGAAGGTAATAAAATATACATATAATATAGAAAAAAAGTAATATAGTCGTGGTGGCTTAGTGGTTAAACGCCCGTCTCGTCTACATGAGGGTGCGGGTTCGACACCTGACAAGTACCAATGTGATTTTTCAGTCATATGTACTTTATAAGAGTATTTAGACATCACTGACTCATGAAGGAAAACATCGTTAGGAAACCAGGACTTATATCAAATTATAAGTTTGAAATTACCAACCCGTCTTGAGCAAGCGTGGTGATTAATGCTCAAACCTTCTCCATGTGAGAAGAGGCTCAGCAGTGGGCTCTGATAAGATGATGATATATGTTTAAAAGCTTTACTTTTATAAAGCTTGTTGTTTCAGATCTCATATCAAGTTTCGGTAAACTATCCAACTGGGACGAGCTCACCTCTCACCAACAGACACACGTATCTGCTAAACTACCTCCTCTGTGGACGGACAGACAGACGTTCAAGATGTGTGTAGATAGATACGACTTCACTGGTAAATATTATATATACAAGGTGACCCGGCAAACATTATTTTGCCATAAAAAAATAGGGCTGATAACAATGTAAAAATTCTACCAAAAATAAAAAAAAAAGGTTGAACTACATTTATGACTAAGGGGTATGAAAAATAGATGTTGGCTGATTCTCAGATCTACTCAATATGCTCACAAAATTTCATCAAAATCGGTCCAGCCGTTTCGGAGGAGTTCTGTATAACACCGTGACACGAGAATTTTATGTAAGAAAAAAGAAAGTCGTGTTAGTTACACTATTTATAACTCAAGAACGACTGTACGGATATGGTTGAAAATTGGTGGAGAGATAGATTAGAACAAGGAGACGGACATAGAATATTTAATACAGTTCGATCGAAACAAAAATAATAATAAATTCCAATATCTGGTTATTTACGGCCTCTAGGTCAGAATAGAATTCACCTGGTCAGCTATACATATATTACTAATGGCGAAATTAACGCGGATGAAATCGATGGCAAAAACTAGTAATAGTAGTAATGTTTTAATAATATCCGTGAAAGTAGCTATGTTATTTCGTAACAATGAATATACTGAACCGATTTCTATGAAATTTGTAAAAACTATAGTTCAAAAATGAGAAGCATTTTTGTTTGGGTTATTATGTTTCAGACGCGCCATTTTGGACGAAGTGTTTAGTATCTAAATACAAGGAGCAAGACATACACACATACAAAATATTAAAAGAATTAGATCAATGGCCGAAGAGGCAGTTTGATATCGGCGCAGTGAGTATTAATAGTATTAAAAAATATATATTATTACTTAATAATAATATGAAAAATATATAAAAATCTTTAAGTTTGTATAAAGGAGTGCTCCACCGATTTTAATGTAACATTTTTTGCATGTAAATCTCTAGATATAGACTTTTGACATTCTTATAATTTGGACCACAATTGATTTACCACCAATACTTTAGACTCATTTGCTTAAAAAATCCCTAATAAAAGATATATCATTTCTTACATTACAATAATTTAATACCAAAAGAAATAATTGTTAAATTTTAAATCAATTTTCACCCCTACCTTTAATTTAATATACATCCATATACTTTGTTATTACTTTCTGAGATAATATCAAACAAACATACATATAAACTCCATATTTTATGTCAAAAGGTATTAACCCAGCAGTGGGAAGTGACAAAAGATGATATGAACAATGACTGCCTCGCCAAGTGGGCCTTCAGAGTTATGATGAGGTGAGTATGTAATGCCACTTATGGCATTCACTTATGGCACTTACCTTTAAAAAGAAGACTATCTTATATGCAGTTTTCCTTTCGTTATTATATCATCAGCTTGTATGGCAATATATTTGTTATAGAAAATATTAATATGTAGGTATTTATATTAATATAATTTAATTTTATAGTATTATTGTGTGAGTTTAAAAATACAGCAGAATTGAATCTTAAAGAACGTCTAGTCTTCTTCTTCCTGATAATTTCCCAGCTTTAACCAGGGTCTGCCTTACATGTTGTGAATAGTTTTGGCTTATTGTTTTTACGACCGGCCGCCTGCCTGACATCACCCCTCTTTGGGAGTGCATTAATCAGTGGTGTCTAAATACTCTTATAAAGTACATATGACTCGGAAAAATTACATTGGTACTTGCCAGTGACAGGATAGAACCCGCGCCCTCTTGCATGAGAGGCGGGTCTTTTAACCACTAGGACACCACTGACTTCTTAAAGAACATTTAGTATTTGAAATATGTAAAGATTATTTAAAATATTAAATAAATACGACATCTACATGGTGAAGTCCAGTTTATCTAAAATATATGATAGTAAAAACAATAATTGAACCATATTATTATTATATACATATCCAACCTCATATTACAATCTAATTATTTGTCCAGGTCTCTACACAGTATCAGTTCCAGCGGTCCGTCTCCCTCCCAGATGTTGTGGACGAGGAGAGCCAACTACATGAACATGTACAGACAGGTGTTGAAGTGCTGCGAGGGAGTCGTGTAAGTCTTTATCCCTACTGATATTATAAATGCTAAAGTAACTCTGTCTGTCTGTTTGTTACGCTTTCACGCTTAAACCACTGAACTGATTTTAATGAAATTTGGTACAAAGATAGAGTTGACCTTGAGAAAGAACATAGGATAGTTTTTATCTCAGACTTTTGAAAGGTTCTCTTGTAAACGCGATATAACCGAACTCCAAGCGGACGAAGCTGCAGGAGGAAAACTAGTGTATATAGAAAACAAATCTTACCATTAAGACATTTAAATTAAAGTAATATTTTCGTAAACTACGCGTTTTTTATTATTTTAAACTACATACCCCTGACGTTTCAGTTACTTTACAGTACAGCAACCGTGATCACGGTACGTGTTGAGTGTCATTAAAAGAGCGTAGTAATATGGGAAAAGCTTAGTTTCATATATGGATGATATATGAAACTTAGCTTACAACACCGCTTAAGCCATTTTTACCAACTTTACAGAAGACGAAATAATCTGTCTACTTTAAAATATCAGTGTTAGCGGTTAAAACATAATTATTTATACATATTTTGATGAATTTGAAAATGTAAAAACCGACAATTTTCGACTTAAGCGGTGTTATTAGCTAAGGGACGATATGTAAATGAGTAATCGAGAAAATCTTAGATAACATTTTTACTTTCTGTATGTATATCTGTTAGTTTAGACATCTCAAAAACGCTTGGACGATTTTGTGTTTTCTTTAATATAACAAAAAATATACTTATATTCGTCCAAATATATTTTAATCATTTAATAAAACAAAGTCGAATTCTTTTTTTCAGAATCAAATCTCAAATAATATTATATATATGTGTTTTTATCAATTTTCAGCACAAACAACGATCCAATATCGTTAGAAATGAAACATCAAGAATTGCTAGCCCTGAGGGGGATGGCGTTACAATCAAACGATAGACGAGCTCTAGAGAATGTGTTGGAGAGAACAGGTGGGACCATCGATATATACTAATGGACATGCCTTAGAGATGAGAAGTGTGGCACTCCGAAAGAAAGAGAGGAAACGAAGTTTTGGTCTATCTTTATCTCTCTCAAAATAGTATCGTACTTAAGACGTTATGAGCCCCTTCTAGATAATTTATATGTCGTGCTTGTAATGAAAACTGAGCGCCAATCATCTATGAGGAAAGAGACAGTGCTATATCGAAAGCATAGGCCATCTCTCTCACTTTTTTCAAACCAAAAAATTACTGCAGATTATACACGTACGGTGTGTCCATTAGTATACGTCGGACTGACGAGACAGATAGTTACTCGATATTTAATGAGATAAAATGACTGACGCAGTTTAATGTAACAAAAATGTTTTATTAATCAGAAAAAATTACAACTAGAACTGTTAATTTTAAACCACCATAGGCATAGATCGTGGTGTGAACATCATAAAAATGAAAAAGAAACTTGTTGTCAACTTAAAATAATAAATGGTGTACTTACATTATTTCTAACAATATTGTTAAACATATTTTAATTTGTCAAAAATATGTTTCATGTTAGTTCACCTTATATATAAAATTCTCGTATCGCGGTGTTAGACAGAGAACTCCTCTGTTCGAGGCGATAAGGCTCAATTTTCAATGTGCGGAAATATTTGTAATTAAGAGACGTGTGAGCGTTGTAATGGTTTATTAGTAACTAGCTAATATTTAAAATTTACAGAGCAGAGTGGACTGTATTTTATATACCCACATAATTATGAATATAAATATGTAATATTAATTTCTAACAAAGGGCGAGCCAATCAGCTGTTTCTTATCTTAGACATTCCGCCCACCAAAGAACACGGTTCTTTCACACAGTATACATTTTAACAATAGTAATAATGACGAAGTGTCATGACATAGTTATTAACACTATTAACATCTGATTAACTCGCATACATAAATATAACAAAATGTTCGTAAATACAAAGAAATAAGATATCCTTAAATAAATTTAAACAAATGGTAATCAACCGCCCACCGTACTGTAGCACGGTTGAAATGAAAATTTAAAAATACATTACATACAATACATATTATTTGGTAAGGATTATTATTTTGCTAACAGGCCTTTTTAATATACCGTTTTTACATTTAACAGATACAACTCTAGTGATTTTATCAGGGCCAGCATGTTTATCTACAATTTTACCTAATAACCATTTACAAGGTGGCATATTGTCCTCTCTTAAAATTACTATGTCATCGATTTCGGGCTCAGCTGTTTTGGTATTCCATTTATAACGATTATTAAGATTTGTAAGATATTCTTTATACCATCTGTTCCAGAAATCGTTGACCATTTTCTGAGTTAAACGCCATCTCTCAAGGTAGCCTACATTACACTTGGTAAATTCTTCGTCAGCGAGGTTTACTAAAGGTTCGCCAATCAAAAAGTGACCCGGTGTCAGCGGGAGAGGGTCGTTAGGGTCGTCACTGAGAAGTGACATAGGACGTGAATTTAAACAAGCTTCTACCTGAGCTAGAACTGTCGATAGTTCCTCATAAGTGAGTGTAGTGTCCCCTATGACTCTTTTTAAATGTGACTTAGTACTACGAACCCCAGCCTCCCATAATCCCCCAAAGTTTGGAGCGTGTGGAGGTATAAAGTGCCACGTAGTTCGCTCTAACGTTAACAAGTTGGCGATTTCATTTGACATTGATGATTTTAACATATCTCTTAAAAGTTTTTCAGCACCTACGAAATTAGTGCCATTATCACTATAGATATCTTGACAATGCCCACGTCTCGCAGTGAATCTCCGGAACGCTGCTATAAATCCCTTAGCTGTCAAATCCGTGACCACTTCCAAGTGTATGGCCTTACTTACCATACATACGAAAAGGCATATATAACCCTTATACGACTTAGATCCCCTTCCGGGTGAAAATCTAATGTTAATTGGACCTGCATAGTCCACGCCTGAAGATCTAAAGGGTCTGTTAGGTTTGATTCTGACCTGCGGTAGTTGACCCATTAGCTGAGAGGTATTTTTGTTAGAATAACGAATACAAGTGGTACACTCACGAAAGTATTTTTTCGTTTCATCTTTAGCCCGCAATATCCAGTATTTTGACCGCAAATAATTCAACATTATTTGTGGCCCGCCATGCATTGTCTTTTGATGGGCGTCTGCGATTATCAGTCTGCTCAAATGATTTTTATCGGGCAAAATTATAGGATGACGAGTCTCATAAGGGATTTCCGATTGTTGAATTTGACCACTGACTCTTAAGATCCCGTGCTCGTCGAGAATGGGACAAAGCATGCGGAGTTTACTCCTTTTGGGCACACTTCTATTCGCTTTTAACTGGGCAATGTCTTGTGTGAACTCTCTTTCCTGTACTTGCTTTACACACATATTTAAAGTATCATCAAGTTCCTTTACTGTTATAACTTTACTAAAGTTTCGGTTGTATTTTAGCCATCTTCTACAGTATGACATTATTCTTAACATTTTTGATAAATTTGAAAATTTAGTCCAGACAAACTCTTCAGCTGGGTTTAACACAACTGTAAACGAGCGAGTTTTTTCTTCTTCGATTGTATCTGCGATCTCGTCTCTATTCGTTTGTGTGTGAATGGTGTCCGTTGACAACCAAGCTGGACCACTCCACCACAGTGCATGGCTCAACAACTCCGACGCCTGTAATCCTCGCGACGCACAGTCAGCAGGGTTTTCTTCAGTAGCAACGTGTCCCCATTGCTCAAACTCTAATATATTCAATATATCCGATACCCTATTGCTTACGAAGGTGTTCCAGCGGCTTGCTCCGCTTTTAAGCCACGCAAGCACTATTGTTGAATCCGTCCAAGCATGTAGATTTGATTTCGGCACACGCATCACCTCAGATATTTCGAAGAGTAATTTTGATGCTAATACTGCGGCACATAGTTCCAACCGAGGTATTGAAAGTTGCTTCTCAATGGGCGCAACTTTTGTTTTCGCTGATATCAGATTAACGTAAACTCTGTCTTCGTCAATAACTCGGAGATATACTACGGCCCCGTATGCTGCTTGTGAAGCGTCTGCAAATGCATGTAACTCGGATCTTGAAGTGGACGAGCATCCCAACCATCTCGGAATACTGACGTGTTGAATGTTAATCAAATTCTGTCTGTAATGTAACCATTCCTCGAGTAACTCACCATTTATAGCTTCGTCCCAACCTAATCCAGTTTTCCATAGTTTTTGAATAATAATTTTTGCTATGACAATAACAGGAGCTATCCATCCCAGAGGGTCATATAATTTAGCTACGTCAGACAGGATGTTTCTTTTGGTTACTAATTGCTTTATTTTAGGCATTGAGATTGTATATTCGAAATTGTCTGTTAAGCGGTTCCAAACTACACCTAACACCTTTACTATGCTGTTAACCTTAAGAGGAAGCTCGTCATCGATGCGTTTGTTTTCTTCGATGTATTTCAGGACGTTCTCGTTGTTACTGCTCCATTTTTGCAATTTGAATCCTCCTAAATTCATAAGTTTATTCATCTCATTGTATATAATCTTAGCCTGATGCTCAGTTTCACAATTAGTCATTAAATCGTCAATGTAAAAATCGGTTTTCGTTATGCTTGCTGCTAGTGGATATTTCATTTCTTCATCTTCAGCTAGTCTTTGCAACGATTTAACGGCTAAATATGGTGCGCATGCTGTTCCGAAAGTCAATCTTAGAAGTTTGTAATGTTTTATGGGCTCATGCTCATTGAACCTCCATAAAATTCTCTGATAGTTAGTATCTTCTTCTGCCACACGTACCATTCTGTACATTTTAATTATGTCAGCAGTAATACATATTTTATAAATTCTCCACCTCATGAGTAAGTGCCGCAAGTCCTGCTGCAATTTAGGGCCTATAAGAAGGTCATCATTTAAAGACACATTGTTAACACCTTTGCATGAGGCGTCGAAGACTACCCGAAGTTTTGTAGTATCTTTATCTTCTCTCATTACTGCATGATGAGGTAGATACATTGCTCTAGGGTTGTTGATATCCGTAGGATCTACTTCAATCATGTGATTCATGTTTAGATACTCTGCCATTACTTTATGGTATTCTTTTCGTAGCATTTCATTTTTCGATAACTTCTTCTCCAAGAGAATGAACCGCTGCGTTGCTATATTCACTGAATTGCCCTGTAAACATTCTGGATTATCATTTTTTAATGGCAATCTTACAACAAATCGTCCGTCTTCATCTCGAACTGTAGTAGCATTGTATAAATTTTCACATCTTATCTCGTCACATGACATTCTTTTTTGAATGGTATTTGGCTCATTTTCTACTTCCCAAAATAGCTTAAGCATCTCATCTTCGCTGTGTTGAATGTGGTAACTGATGATGTTTCCTCTATCAGAAGAGGACTCTTGTTCTATTCTTCCAGACAAAACCCAACCTAAAATCGTATTTTGTGCTAATAAATTGCCTCGCGGATATTTACGAATGCCTTCTAATAAAATTTGACTGTATACTTCCGCTCCAAGTAAAATATCTATTTTACCTGGTGTATCAAAACCTGAATCTGCTAACTCCATGTTTAATAAGTCAGACCAGTGGGGAATACGTACACTAGCGGCTGGTAACAAAGTTGTTAACGTTCGTAGTACATACGCATCTACGTGTATTGATATATTGGGATTGTGGCGTGATCTCACTGTTAATGAAACCATGTATTTGATTCTCGTTTGCCCTTCTCCCACACCTGACACCCAGCCACTCACCGATTGACGTTTAAGATTGAGTAACTGTACTGTCTCCTCGGTCACGAAGGATGCCTGTGATCCCTGATCTAATAAACCTCTTATAACATATTTACAACCATTTGTACTATATACTACCAACTGAGCAGTTGCTAAAATGACACTGTTTCGTCTCATGTTCTCTTGTGAGAAATTGGCTACAATATGTGTGTCATTATACATATGATTAGACTTACCTCTGTCTGATGTATTCACCGTACCTGAAGGTGGTGACTCACTCTTGATAGGCTGCTCAGGCTGGTGCACATTGTGTTCCTTCTCGAAATGCAACAGTGAATGATGACGCCGCCCGCACCGTCGACAGCACGATGACTGACGACATTTGACCACCGCATGTGTAGGCGCCAAACAATTGAAACACAGTTTGCTTCGCTGGACAAACTCCTGCCTCTCCTTACATGACATGTCACTGAACGTCTTACACTGATAAATATAATGCTCTCCATTACATAGTGAACATTTAACTTCTTGTTTCTTTTCAACTTTGGTAATATTTGAATGAAACATTTTGGGTTTGATTGTAGGTTTGGATTGTACCAATCTTGGTTTATGGCTGTCTATCATTTCTAAAGACCGGAATCTCGCCTTCAAAAAGTCACATAATTGCTGCCACGTGGGGATGACGTCATTACTCATACTTAATTGTTGTTCCCACAGTTTCACAGATTCAGTATCCAGCTTAGAAATGATTAAATAGTTTATAAACATATCCAAACAGGTCTCCGTATTCATATCCATATTCTTCAAAGATTTTAAACATGTCGATGTAGTATCCACTAATTGTTTTATAGAAGAAGCGGAAGTCGTTTGTATAGGTTTTTGGTTGAATAACGTTCTCAAAATCTCGTTACAATTGTAGCGCTTATTATCAAAGCGCGCTTGTAATTCTCTCCACGCCTCGTCGTAATTTGCATTTGTTGCAGAAAAATTGCGTAATAATATTTCTGCATCTCCCGACACATTACTTTTTAAATATTGTAATTTTTCAGCAGGAGATAATGATTTTCTATTGTGAATGAGAGCACAAAACAAATCGTGAAAGGTCTGCCACTCGTCGTACTTTCCGGAAAAAGTGGGTATTTGGATGTTAGGTAATTTTGCTTCACTACTAGAAGAAGCTTCTAGATCGGATCTCGGAATCGCGTGTACATTCGAAACATCTCCAAATGTTTGTAAAGCCTCCTTTAAAGATGATTTGTATAGTGTATATGACTCCTCAAACGTGTCGTATACGTTATCTTTAAAATATGAATATTGCTTTTCTTCGTGTTTGTTGACTGTTAATATGATGTTTTTGTGGCCTTTTTTAAATTCTTTCCAGAGTTCTTCTAATGTTTCTAATTTAGTTTCTAGATATGGTTTCTTAATCCTTTCTTTCGGTGATTTTTTGAAATTCCTTTCGGCGTTTTTCAATCTTTCCGCTAACTCACTTTGATATATTATAAGGTCTTCCATATTTATTTTCACTCTCAATGACTGTTCTTTAACTCGAATCACAAAGTTTACTGTTTAAAATTAATTATTAATACTTCCGAGAATCCTTATCGCACAGGTGTGTCTTTGTTCTCGACGCGAGCGCACTGGCCGGCTGGCGATCTGTATCCGGCTCGAAGGACCAAATGTTCGAGGCGATAAGGCTCAATTTTCAATGTGCGGAAATATTTGTAATTAAGAGACGTGTGAGCGTTGTAATGGTTTATTAGTAACTAGCTAATATTTAAAATTTACAGAGCAGAGTGGACTGTATTTTATATACCCACATAATTATGAATATAAATATGTAATATTAATTTCTAACAAAGGGCGAGCCAATCAGCTGTTTCTTATCTTAGACACCTCCGAAACGGATGGACCGATTTTGATGAAACTTTGTGAGCATATTGAGTAGGTCTCAGAATCGGCCAACATCTATTTTCATACCCCTTAGTTATAAGGGTTGTTCACCCTTAATTTTTTGTTTTATTTTCGGACCAAATTTTTGTTTTTATTTTTTTATAATGTAGCCTTAAAAAATACATAGAACCCAAAATGTTTACTTTTTTACGTTTGCCGGGTCAGCTAGTATTAATATATATTTTTCTTCCACAGAATCTATAATTCAATTCGGTAGTGATCAGAGTTTCGAAGATATGTTGCGTGTGTACGATTTGAATTTGAATCTAAGACGAGATTTGAACTGTGAGTATTATTTATCTTGTACAGGAACTATCTATACGTGAAAGTTACATTGAAATCGATTGTTTTAAATAACTTATATTTATTATTTTCTGTTTCTCAGCCGTGGATCGAGTTAACATGGAGTCGATCGTGAAATACGTGTTGGGAGACGTTAATAACGTTAAAAACAACGTGACCAGGAACCTCGACACGTTATGTTTGTTGGGAATAACTTGTGTCAATACTATGTTTGAGAACAGCACAGGTATATAGTAATACATTAAATTCTTTACATTAGGTTCTTTTTAAATTTGGTTAGGTAGGGAGAGAAGCTTGGATAGTGGAGATGAGCGTTTAACGCGTTAGATAGGGTTTCTTAAACCTACACCTGGGTCACAAGTCCCAGTCACTGTTGAAGCTCCTCTCACTACAACGATGGACCCGACACACGCACCGTGAATACATTGAATGATGAGAGGTTTCGACTCATATACTATGACTGACTATTCATAAATGACTAGTTATTGTATACAGCAAAATGCTTTGAATATTATATACATACATTTAACTGAAACTAATATTTTTCGAATGTAATTTTATTTTTGCTAATATATACATACATCTCGTCTTAATGATCACGGTTGCTGTAAAGTAAGTATGGGGAGTATGTAGTTTATAAAAAATAAAGTCGAGTAGTACATCCGAAAAATATTAGTTTCATTTAAGTGACTCGCGAAAATCTTATATCTCTTAAATATACAGTTTCTAAGATAAGAGCATACATACGAACATACAAAATGTTTCAGATACAAAGGATCATTCGTCACTCATACTACTACTATGTGAGCTGATCTCTCTCCAAACCTCTCCATCATCAGACGTGGTTCTTGATAAATTGGATTCTTTTGATCAGATTCTTGATGAAGATGTCTCAGAGAAGATATTAAACACGGTGAGTTTATTCAAATATTTAAATTAAACTAATACTTTCTGATTATTTCGCGTATTTTATTATTTTATATCATCTGCTCGTGATTATGTTTGTAAAGTAACAGAAACTTCGGGAGAATGTAGTTAAAAATAATAATAAATAACGCCTAGTAACAAGAAAATATTAATCAGTGGTGGCCTAGTGGTTAAAAGGTCCGCCTCTCATGTATGAGTTCGATCCTGTCAAGTACCAATGTGATTTTTCCGAGTCATATGTACTTTCTAAGAGTATTTAGACATCACGGATTAATGCATTCCCAAAGAGGGTTGATGTCAGGCAGGCGGCCGGTCGTGAAAAAAATTAGCTAAAACTAATTGCAACATGTAAGGCAGACCCTGGCTAAAGATGGGAAATTGCCAGGAAGAAAAAGAATAAGAAAATATTAGTTTTATTTAACTACTCGCTATAATCTTATACGTCATTAAGATTTACGAGTAAATATGTTTATACAATGAAAAATACATCCACACAAGACGGAACACGATAGATTAGTTAGGCAAGAGACTGGAAAGTTGTGTATTGGAGGTCGCTGGTTCGAAACCTGCTCGTGTACATGAAGTTTTTACTATTTTAATATTATCTCAATATTGATTTAATGCTTATATAAATGATTAAATTTTTATACATATCGAAGGCAAACCATTATTTGGACTTTATAAACATCGACACACAAATAGAAGAAGATTCAATACAACATACAGTTCTAAAAACACGTATTTAATCACGAATATTGGTCCTCTTGGTTGAAATTTCACCCTAATCGATTCAGTCATTTTCCAATTAGACCAACACACACATCTATATCTAAATCTACATCTCTCTTCTCAGCTCCAACCCCTCATGTCGTCAATGGACCACTTCTCCGTGTCCCAGCTCGTGTCCAAGCGTCACCTCTTCTCTCCTCACCCCGCGCTGCTCGAGCTGCATCAAAACCAGCTCAGCTGTGACAAATACAAGCAGTGTCTTAGCTTAGTGGCTGACCCCGTGTGGTTATTGAAACAATACGTAGGAACGATGTTAGCTGCGGTACAAACAGAAGGTGAGAATATGTATGAGAAAGTTTGTATTGTATGTATGTATGTATTTGGTACACGCGATAGCTACTGAACGGATTTTGATGAAATTTTTCAGTGATATATGATAGATTTCAGAGTGAAACATACATAGGTTACAATTTATAAAAGCATTTCCTTGTATAACTATCAGAAATTATGCCATTAAGTTGTAATTTGTATGTAGTCACGTGAAGCCCACTAAATGGACCTGCTTTTCACTCACTGTATATAATCCTTCAGTATGTACATTATTAACTAAAGTCTTAAACAATTAATACTTATCAAATTAACACTATACATACTAATTGAAACAAAGTGTCTTTGTTGATTGATTGATATGTTGAAACATTTTCCATATGTAAAAAAAGGTCATTGAAATCGTGCATATAACAAAAGATTTTGCTTCAAAATCAAAGATTATATTATATACATACCACATAAATGCAATTCTAATGTACATTATGTTCTTTCTATATTTTTTTTTGTGGTTTATTATCATTATTATTTCTAATCTTCTATCTTCTATATATATAAAAATGGATTGCTATTCCTTAGTCTCGCTAAAACTCGAGAACAGCTGAACGGCTTATCTTTACTTAGTCTTGAAATGTTCGTGGAGGTTCAGGGAAGGTATAAAAGCTGAGAAAAATTGATTCATTACTGGCAAAACCATAAAAACAGCCCTTTTCTATTTCCCATACAAACGGGTTTTTTTAACATTAGATATGACAACTAACTAATATGTCAATCATTCTGTCGCACTTCAAAACACGGAGATTTATTGCTTACAGGTAAACTCCAAAAATATAAATAAAAAAACGTAATAGATACTTCTTGATTAAAGGGCGATACGCAGTTCGCCAGGTCTTCTAGTGTAAGATATAATACAGTCCATTTCAATATATCTGAAAACTGTTCTGGCAAATTATTTTTATTGTAATATAAGCTGTATGTTTTTCCATAAATGAATAAGTAAATAAATATTAATTTCAGATGAACTGAAATACAAGCAGACATACAATAATATGAAACAGCGGATCTTTGACAATCTATATAGAGGAGCCGACTACACCGTACTCAATAAATATAACAAACTACTGGAAGGCTGTGACGGGTTTGGTGAGGCTTTAGTGGATTAATATTATCAGGTTACGAATCTAGGACTTCCGGAATATTGAATGATGGTCGGTCTAACGACTGAGCTATCATGTAATAATGTAGATGTACATATATAATTTGCACACAAACAAAATATTAATATATACATATTCTTAGAAACAAGATCAGAATTGACTTTTAAAGTAATATTTGATAAATTTTCACTATTAATTTATTATATTTCCACAAAACTAAAAGCAGTTTTGTATTAATAACTTTCAACTATCTTGTTTTAAACTGATCGTGAAATGTAATCTATATATAACACAAACGATATATTTAAACACAGAAAATATACGATCGACTAATCTATCACAACAACGCGTGTTACAAAAAAGAGTCCTGATCTCTTGACAATAAACTCTAATCTACGTTCACGTATTATTCCAGGGACCGACATACACACGTTACAGCGTGTCTTAAAGGACGTACACACAGAACTACAGTCCAACAAGAGCCGCCTCTCTCTAAAAGACATCTGTCCGACTCTGTTAGAGGAGAAACAGAGTCAGTCACTGGATAAACTGCTGGGACTGAAAGACGGAGTCACCTTCATTAAATTCAATGATAATGTATATATGTTTGTGTATATATATACTAGCTTTCCGCCCGCAACTTCGCCCGCGTGGAGTTCGGTCATATCGCGTTTTCAAGAGAACCTTTAAAAGTCTGGGATAAAAACTATTCTATGTTCTTTCTCAAGGTCAACTCTATGTCTGTGCCAAATTTCATTAAAATCAATTCAGTGATTTAGGCGTGAAAGCGTAACAGACAGACAGACGGAGTTACTTTTGCTTTTATAATATTAGTAGGAATAAACTAGTTCTCGACCGCGACTTTGTCTTTATATTTTGTTTTGTGTGAAATATATGTTAAATGAAACTAATATTTTTGGATTACTGATCGTTAATTTATTATTTTAATATCAAAAAAACTGCCGGAGTTTCGATCACGCTGCAGCAAACGTGATCACGGTCAGATGAAATGTTTTTTAAAAATAATAAAATTAAAGCGTAATATTACGAAATTTTTAGTTTCATTTAAATGAATACTCGTGAAAGTCTTAGACCTAATAACACGTCAACTAACCTCTAGTGCCATCTATCGTATATGAAATGAATACATACAATATACTATTCATTGCTGTGTGTTATGTAAAGAATTTGGTATTTTTTTTACGACATCTATACTACATCCTTAAGTTTCACCAAAATCAGTTCAGTGTTTATGTTAAACAGCAAGACACTTACATACATTATCACAAACTTACAATATTATTAGTATCTATATGACTGTCTCTCATTCTGTCTCATATCTTCTCTCTCTCTCACACACACTGTGTCTCATATCTTCCCTCTCTCTCACACACTACGTCTCGTATCTTCCCTCTCTCTCTAACACACTCCATCTCATATCTCTCTTCTTCTCTCCGTCCACCAGGTGTCCGTGTACCGTGACGCGGTGTCCCGGCCCCTCCTACTCAGCTACGTATCATCAGACGGCCTCACTGGTCGTTGTATCATAAAGACCGAGGGTGAGTGTCACGGGGCCGCGGTCCGGGTCCGAGGAGGCCTGGAGCGGGCCTGGGGGATACCAAGGGGATATAAGGTGATTATAGTGTGTTATATATTAAACTATCTGCGCCCCGCGGTATTACTCGAATTTCCGTATAATAATATGTAAAGTAGCCTACGTGCTGTTCCTGGACATCAGCTTCCTGTATACAAAATTTTACCAAAATCGCTTCAGCCGTTTGAGAGTGAAGAAGTAACAAACATACACACACACTCACAAACTTTCGCAATTATAATATTAGTAGGATTGGTGTGGTGGTCTAGCGGTTAAAGGCTCACTGCTCATTTATGAAGGCACAGGTTCGAAACCTGGCAAGTACCAATGTGATTTTACCGAGTCATATGTACTTTGAGTATTTAGACACCACTGACGGTGAAGGAAAACATCGTGAGAAAACATGGACTTATAACAAATTATAAGTTTGAAATCACCAACCCGTTTTGAGCGAGCGTGGTGATTAATGCTCAAACCTTCTCCATGTGAGAAGAGGCCTTACAGCAGTGGGCTCTGATAGGCTGATGATAATTATATACTTAATAGAAGTGCTATCATGTGGTCTCGCGAAAAATATACGAAGTTAAGGAATACATTATATACTATATGTTATTCTGATACATGACTTATATTTAGGCATAGTTTCATCAAAATAATTCAATTATTTCTTGTGACACAATACTAAAGAATTACCAAATCGGCGTACACTTGATAAGGACCTGAAACACAATTTTTCACAAAAGTTTTATCAAAATCGGTACAGCTTTTTCCAATGATACTAAATTGTAGGCTCATGTTTAATATTACATCTTTTATGTATAAGTTAATACATATATTTATACAGTGGAATAATTTATAACATTATATTTGTTGAAGGTGACGCCGCTCACTACCGACTGTCTCCTGATTGAATACTTAGAGAATAACACGCGACTCCGAGACATGGTGCGCGATGGAGGTGGAGATGGTGGGCTATGAACTAATTTATTGTATCAATAATGTTATATTTTATTCATATTATTGAGATCTTACTTATCTTAAACACAAGTCGTAACAAAAAATGAAATTTGATATTATTTATGGTAATTATATATTATTATTTATTATAGTTATAAATATAGTAAATATATTAAAAATAAAATTTAATCAGAATTTAAATTATTATTATATAAAATTTATCGAATCTGTGTCATCCTGGTAAGAGAATTACGACCACTCTGTTTGATAAACCATCGTGTCAATCCAATTTTTGACTTAATAAATATAATAACATACATACAAACATAATATATATATATATATATGTTTTCAGCCGCTGCCTTCCGGACCGCCGACGAGAATCTCATACTAAACGTGCCTCAAGCATTATCACAGTTTGAGTTGTTAACAAAGAGTGTGCCTTCCACTTCACTACGGTGAGCTTATACAAACATTAATTTTATTAATTATCCATGATATATATAAAGACGATTTGATATAAAATATAATAAATAAAACTATCTTTTGTACTTTACATAGATCTATATATAATATACATATATATAATTAGTATTTGTGTGTATGTCACTGAACTCCTCAACTACTGGACAGATTTGAATGATATTTTTACATACATTTGTGTGATATATGGTTTAGATTCACAAATCATCCGGGTAGATGGCACTACCGTTTGTATCTGAGTAATAAAAATGAAAAGCCTGCAACATAGGCTACTATATGTATTGTTTTAACATACTATCTATTTTCCACTATAATCGCAACTTATGTTCACGCGGAGACTCGCTGACAAAACTACATACATATGTATATATAGTACATATGTTTAATATATATGTTTGTTCTGATGCACCAGGTCATCTATCGAGTCAGGATGTCTCACCTTAGAGGAGTTCATAACAAAGAGGACGGCCTTCACCGACTCACTGTGTCATATGACACTGTTCAGCTATATATGTGGTGAGTTACACGCACACACACGCACACACACACACACACACACACACGCACACACACACACGCACGATTATATACATAAACACACACATTTATGCACGCACGAAATATGTAAATGTTATTGAACTTTTATATATATTAAATAATTCTTCCACAGGTCTATCAGACCGTCACTTACAGAACATCCTGTATGACCCGGTCCGTGGCACCGTCTGTGCTGTGGACTGCGGCGCCCTACAGCAACATGAGATACCGCCCGCTAGACTCACGAGGAACCTGCTAGCGGTCTGTCGGACCGACGGTATGACACTAGTCCGGTCTCACAGACCGATTAATCTATATGTGTAGTACATAATTACATATTAGATACATATGAAGACAAAACTATTAATATTATAAATTAAGAAAAATGCTATGTTGTATGGATGTTTGTTCTTACTTCTTGTTAAAATATACTGAACAAATTTTGATAAAACTTCTCAAAAATCTTAGACATCAGAACTGTTCAAGAATTCCGTGTAGTTTCTTCAAGAATACTATACTACTTATATATAATATATACATGTAGTTTCTATAAGAAGTTGTTTATCATAATTTTATTTAAGTACACATTAATCTTCTACAGCGTAGACAAAGTCGAGATCATTTACTAGTGTATGATATTTTATTTGATATCTATCATGTTTCAGTTCTGGAAGCTCGTCTTCAACATCTGTTGTTGAAAATACGGGAACATGAAGGAATAATACTACCGACAGTGAATATAGCGTTTAAGAAATGTGGACACCGGGATAAGGTGAGGAGTTCGGTTATATCGCGTTTCCAAGAGAACCTTTCAAAAGTCTCCGATAAAAACTATCCTATGATCTTTCTCAAAGTCAACTCAATGTCTGTACCAAATTTCATTAAAATCAGTTCAGTGGTTTAAGCGTGAAAGCGTAACAGACAGACAGAGTTACTTTCGCATTTATAATATTAGTAGGGAATGTGAAAAAATTACCTTAAAAGCCGTTATATAGAAAACATTTCATCTTAAACTTTCTTCTGATCTGCTTCTAATGTAGATACGCGGAATTATCCAATGCTAGTTACGCATTTACACTATCCCCGACGATATAGCACTAGTGTTGTGCCGGGTGGTGAACATGAATCCGTATCCAATATATTTGATCCATTTTGTTACTCCATATATATAAAATGTATACGATAGTAGGGATATAGAAATATTAAATTGAAAATATAATTTACGATTATAGAATAGGCATAAAGTAGCAAAAGACATTATACATATTGTAGGAATATGAGAGTGTAGGAGAAGGGAAAATTACATATAATCAGTTGTCAAGACATCAGGACTCTTTTTTGTAACACGCGTTGTTGTGATAGATAAGTCGATCGTATATTTTCTGTGTTTAAATATATCGTTTGTGTTATATGTATATAGATTTCATTTCACGAACAGTTTAAAACGAGATAGTTTAAAGTTATTAATATAAAATTGTTTTTAGTTTTGTGTAAATTTAATCAATTTTATCTAATATTATTAAAAAAGTGAATTCTGATTTCATTTCTAAGAATATATCTACTTAAAACATGTCTGTTTCAGACTATCCCCACTGACGTAACAAGCCACGCCCCGATTTGCTATCTCTCTCTAACATCATTATATTTCCAGTTACCAGCTATACGTGGCAAGATCCAGGGTCACCTTCTCCAACACAAGGTCACTAATTATTGGATGCAGAGGTCAGAGGTCAAATATAAAGAGAAATACATGGAGCTACTGGATGAGGTCTTCGGAACAGATGATAAGTGCTCATATAGTGTTGAAGAACAGGTTGGTTATTATTATTAAATGTTTATTTAAGAATTTCAAGTTGTGTAGATTTTCATTGGGTAAAAATATTACTTCATCATCATCCTATCAGAGCCCACTGCTGAGCCTCTTCGCACATGGAGAAGGTTTTAGCATTAATCACCACGCTTGGCCACGGGTTGGTGATTTCAAACTTATAATTGGAAATATATGTGACTTCATTATAGATAGTATATTCTAAAGCCAAATAAAATATGATCTTACAGATTTTTAAAGACTGGTATATTTATATCTCCCTACTAATATTATAAATGCAAAAGTAACTCCGTCTGTCTGTTACACTTTCACGCCTAAACCACTGAACTGATTTTAATGAAATTTGGTACAGACATAGAGTTGACCTTGATAAAGAACACAGGATAGTTTTTATCCCAGACTTTTTAAAGGTTCTCTTGGAAACGCGATATAAGCGAACTCTACGCGGGCGAAGCTGCGGGCGGAAAAATATGTGTTTGTTTGTTTCAGGTATCCAATCTGTTAGTCCAATGTACTGATCCAAGGATACTCAGCGTGACTAGGTCGGGGTGGGAACCCTGGATATAATAATTATAATCATATTAATACATACTTATATATAAAATTATTTTCATTATGTCAAATAAAATATATCATACATGTTTATATGTTTTAACTACATATATATAAGATGTGGTCAGTGAAATAAAATACTATGAGGCAAGCAGTTTATTATTAAATATGTTGACCACCCACCATGCCTTGATGGAGAGGCGTCATGGGTTACGCTCCAAATATATTTTGACAAGTCGTTGACCCTAGTAGTTATATATAAATATATATATATATATGATGGTCGTGGATATACTAGTTTCTGCCCGCTACTTCACTCGCTTATAATTCGGAATCCATTTCAGGAGTTATTTTAATATAAAGGTTTTAACCAACCGTCTGATTTGTGAATCTATACCATATGGGTGCCACACAAATGCATACTAAAACACCATTCAAATCGGTCCAGCCGTTTAGGAGTTGTAGGCAATTAAACAGCAACGTCTGTATACTTGTAACAATTTATAAAATGCCTGATGAGGTTCAAAGAAGGTTTTAGACCAAGGACATTTTATCACTTAATAGTTTTTGCCCGCGACTTCGTCTGCGTTAGTTTCAGAATTAGAAATGTATAGCTGACTGAGTGAACTGTATTCCTCCTTAAAGACTTCTCCTCAGCATCGTAACGTAATTAATCAAAGTGAGAAAACTTCTCGCTCACTGAACAGTAACTTAATTATAAAGTGTCACACAAAATATCAACAAAAAAGAGCACACTACTTAGAATGTTCTTATCACAAAGTAAAGAATGTTCTCGCGCATGTAGCGGCAATCGTCACACACAAAGATAGATGTATACACACACACAGTGGCGGCTGTACCTTAAGTGCACTCGTGCGCTGAACCACCAATTCAAAAGATTTAAAAATTACAAAATAATACTTCATTTTTATTTTTAAATTACCATTTTAATATTTATTTTCTAAACGTACAAAAACGTATAAAAAATTAAATTTCCAATTATAGTCAAAAGGTTTGAACGCTTTACTAAACTAATATATCGTGCGCTTCGGCGAGTGCACGAGGACTCCTAGTACATCTTGTATGAGACACGCATTAATACGCCTGACGCGTGAAACAAAACATAGTTCATAGAAATGTACCGAGTAATGAGTCGGTTCTCGAGCGCCGCACGAGCGCCGAAGATTACCGAGAGCACCCGATGTATGACGAATTGAGCCGTGATTGACATCGTTATGTTTTGTTGCATTTTCTAATTTTAATATTTTAGTAAAGTGCACCACCGGTTCGCTTACCCACCGGCCGCCACTGAGTATCACTCATACAATATCGTAACTATGATCGTAACACAATATCGTCAATGGTCATACTTTTTTCTTTGTTATGATTATTTTATTCATTTTTTTGGAGTTTACCTGAAAGCCATAAATCTCCGTGTTCTGAAGTACGACAGAATCATTGACATATTAGTTAGTTGTCAAAACGAATGTAAAAAAGACGTTTGTATGGAAAATAGAAAAGGGCCGTTTTAGGGTTTTCCCGGATATGAATTAATTTTTTTCAGCTTTTAAATCTTCCCTGAACCTAAATGAACATTTCAAGACTGAGATAAGATACATCCGTTCAGCCGTTCTCGAGTTTTAGTGAGATTAACGAACAGCAATTCATTTTCAATAATTAATTAACGAGTATATATATATATTTCCACTGTAAGTTAAATCTATTAATAAATCCACTCGCTGGAAGTTTTAATATTATCAAAGTTAAATTAACTTTTCCTTCTATTTGTTAACAAAGTAACAAACCACATTCTCTAATTTTAATATAAAATTACATTGCGGTTCATTAACGATAGTTGGAAATTATCCTGTTTGCTATTTTTAGCTTGCTGGGTTTACGTGTATAATTTATCCTTTTCGATATTGGTTTAAGACTATACAGTATTTTACAGTGGTGCTAGTATATTGTATAGTTTTAACACTCGGGTTGCCTGTCTTTTTATAGATAATTAAACGTAATATGTACATACTTTCCATCTAGCCCTCAATTTCGTGAAAAATCTAGATCATCGTTTATGGGATAGCGGTCATTTTCTCGTGAATGATATCTTTAAATTACCGAAAACCAAGCTACTTATGCCCTATACCTGCACGCTGCTCCAGCATCTGTCGCGAGTAATGTGATTTTGAAGTTCGTAGGCCTTTCTGACCTACCTTATAGGCGGAAAATCCTAAAAAAGGACTGAATCGGAATACGGATTAGTGTTCTATGAAATATCCGCGGATGTATTCGTCACACCACTAACCCAAACTGGCCAAACGAATCAGTATTTGTAACCAACTCTTTTGATTTTTGTTCAGTACACAAAACCTTTTTATATTCATTTATTTATGCACAGCATCCAAATCTATTTTATATTCCACTCACAAAGCTTCTCGAGAATACCTGTTTAATAGTAATAACGTTTTTAGTGAATGAAAACCCTTTTAAAGCAGTTTTCTAAATGGTAAATGTATAAAATGTATTTGTGACTAAACAAAAAACTACAAAGCATAGCTCCAATACTCCAGATGTTCTTAAAATCACATTATTTAGTATTTTAAGCACATTTCTTAGTATTATAGAATGTGATTCTAAACTCAGAGGTTTCTTAGGAGTTTCCTTCCCAACTCTGCTGAACAATAACGAACAAGATGATCTCGTCTTTATGATCATGATTGCTGAAAAGTAACTGAAACATCGGGAGTATGTAGTTTAAAATATTAAAATACGAGTTACGTACGCGCTACTTAATAAAATGAACATCGCCGGGGCGACATCTTTGTATCCGTAAAATATCGTATAACGAGTGACGCCGCTGACTCCGCGGAACGAACACCAAGCGTGTGAACCAGAAGATTCCTGATACACACAAGCTATGGAATAGTATTGCTATCATAACATCGGGTCAATCATGTAGTCTTAGGTGTAGGTTATAAGTTTTAATATGTAATTATTATTATAATATACATATAAGTAAGTTTCGTTTTCCTGGAACCTCCGGTTGCTACAATATATAATATACGTTGTAATCCTAATAATATTAATTTTATTGTAATAGGTACATTTTGTTGTTTAGAATTCTTGATAAGTAAAATTAAACGCCTTATTATTAAATGTATCGTAATAATTTGAAGTAAGTAGATTTTTCTTTTATAATGGTATTTATTTATATACCCATGAATTCCACATTCTTTCCTTATACCTAAATCAAAATTTACATAAGAAGATATTTTGGAAAACACACATGAATGTGGCAAAAGATGATGCGTGTGAAAAACCCAAGCATTATAACAATTAGTTATAATTAAGATTTAAGAGAATCATTGTATAATTCATGTATTTTACATTTTTTCCTGTTAAAGAACTTGTTAGCAATTGTCTATTGTCACCAAAGATTACATATTTTCCTTGTTACAAATATATTAGGTCTAAAAATGCATTCAAAGGTCAAGTTACTCGTGTGTTGATAAGAAGACTACTTAGCAAATAATCATGTATTTATAATTAATGAATCAGAGACTATGTTTATCCCGTGGATTTGCATGTTTCTTTCTAGTATAGTGCTTCTGTATCGTGTGAAAATTTTATTAAAATACATTATAATAAAATTATATAGTCAGTGGTGGCCTAGTGGTTAAGGGTCCCGCCTCTCGTTGCCGAGGGCGCGGGTTCAAACCTGGCAAGTACCAATGTGATTTTTCGGAGTCATATGTACTTTCTGAGAGTATTTAGACATCACTGACATACGGTGAAGGAAAACATCGTGGGGAAACCTGGACTTATAGTTTCACAATTATAAGTTTGAAATCGCCAATCCGTCTTGAACAAGCGTGGTGATTAATGCTCAAACCTTCTCCATGTGAGAAAGAAGCCTTTGCTCAGCAGTGGGCTCTGATAGGCTGATGATGATGATGATGACATTATAATAATATTCTTTTAATATTATATATGGGAAAGTTAAGATTTTTAGATTATCTATTAACAGCTGAACAGGTATTGACGAGAGTTTTCAGCCATGTAACTCAGATACCAGAATAGTCGTGGTGGCCTAGATTTTAAAGGCCCTCCTCTCGTGCATGAGGGCGCGAATTCGAAACCTGGCGAGTACCAATGTGATTGTTCCGAGTCATATGTACTTTATAAGAGTATTTAGACATCACTAACTGATGAAGGAAAACATCGTGAGGAAACATGGACTTATAATTTCATATTATAAGTTTAAAATCACCAACCCGTCATGAGCAAGCGTGGTGATTAATATTTAAACCTTCTCCATCTGAGAAGTTACCTTTGCTCAGCAGTGGGCTCTGATAGGCTGATGATGATGACGCCAGAATAGCACATCGTCTATAATGTGTATCAATATTCCATATATTTTTCGCGTTAATACGTCATAGCAGTTGTATGTAGTATGTAGCCTCGTGATACAGGCGATTGATGATGCTGACTGTCTGTTAACATATTCGAGTATACTTTTAACGCAATTTACTAATTTCTCTTTGAACAAAATTTCAGTTTTCGTGGATAAGATTGATAGACAAATGTTTTTCACTTTAATTAAAAGTTCACCATTGTACTAAAGCTACTTAGATTATAAAATAAAGTAAGCATAAGAATGTCTTCTTCTTCTTCCTGGCAATTTCCTAGGTATAGCCAGGATCTGCCTTACATGTTGTGAATAGTTTTGGTTAATTGTTTTTACGACCGGCCGCCTGCCTGACATCAACCCTCTTTGGGAATGCATTAATCAGTGATGTCTAAATACTCTTAGAAAGTACATATGACTCGGAAAAGTCACATTGGTACTTACCCGGGCCCGGATCGAACCCGCGCCCTCATACATGAGAGGCGGGCCTTTTAACCACTAGGCCCCCACTGAATAGCACTCTGCACCATATAATTCCTTTATGTAAAAGTCCTATAAAGTATTAATTCTTACTACTTTACGACAGTGATCAATGTGAATAAAATTGGTAAAAGCAATTTTGTCACCAGAAATACTTTTTGCATTTTTAAGCAATATTACACGTTTCGTTTTTCGCGGTATATACATTTGTGTTGTTTTTTATTTAAGTTTCATTTAAACAATTAAATTATTATTTATAACATAATCCAACATAGAATATAATAATATTTTTAAAACATTTCTTTAATTTTATTTCTGTAAACAAGATATTTTTTTAAACTTCCTACATTTTTATTGTTGGCAACATTAATTCTTTGTGTCAACAAGTATTTTTTTGACATATTGTTGGTAAGTTGTTTCAGTTCATTCACAATAATAATTCAGTTGACGCGTAAAAGTCGTGCGGTTCTCTCGTGTGCAATGATATAAATGTGTTAAAAATGTCCACATATTTAAGTATACTAATTATATATATAATTGTTTTACAAACAAACGGACAGTATGACGGTGAGTTTAAATAATATAACTATAAAAATTTTATAAGTGAATTACTTAAAATTAATTGATTTATATATATTTTGAGTGAGAAAAACTGTATTGTTTATGACAGATCACAGTCAATTACTGATGATATTGAGATAAAATGGATTTTGAATATACTAAATTGTTGCTAGGGTTGACACTTTATTTAAATTTAAAGCTAATTTTATTGAATTAACTGTAAATTATCAAGATAAACATCACGTTATTGATGACGCGGGACAACCCTGAGTCATTCAACTTAGCATCATTAAAATCATTAAATAAGTAAACTAAAGGAAAATAACTTGTTGGCTTAGAATTTTATTGGTTTTGATAATAAATGAATGTTAAGGAAAAGGCATGTGCAGAAACTTGTTTTATAATTATTTTAAACCAGATTGCTCGTTTCTTTGTTAAGTTAAAATTTGGTTATAGAGCTATACTTTTTAATCTCCAGTTCAATTGATAGTAGTTAAAATTACTCAAAGTTAAAAAATAAGCCATGTTTTAGAATCGAATAGAAAAAAAAATCATAAATACAGATAGATAAATAATATTTCTTCTTTAAAAATCCAATTAAAAGGTTGATTTAATATTTTTATTAAACATTTTTTGTAAATTACTTGTTATTACTAAACTAAAGATTTTTTTTAATTATCTTAATTTACTTCCTATAATATTACAAACTAGATTTCCGCCCGCAGCTTCGCCCGCGTCGAGTTCGGTCATATCGCGTTTCCAGGCGAAACTTTCAAAAGTATTGGATAAAAACTGTCCTATGTTCTTTCTCAAGGTCAACTCTATCTCTGTACCAAATTTCATTAAAATCAGTTCAGTGGTTTAGGCGTGAAAGCGTAACAGACAGACAGACAGAGTTACTTTCGCATTTATAATATTAGTAGGGATTGTAAAAAAAGACTAAGTTTAATGATATCTAGAATTTTCGCGAGTATTCATTTAAAGTATATAAAGAAAACAATATCTATAACAAAAATACAATTACTATAAATAAAACTAATATTGTTCGTATTACTACGTGTTTTTTATTATTTTAAACTACAACCTACTAAAAGACTTGGGCCTGTCCAGAACTCACATTAATGCATTCTTGGAACGTACATCGAAGGCAGCCCTAGTAGGTTCTTATCAAATTTGGTTAGGTAGGGAGAGGAGCTTGGACAGTGGAGGTGAACGTTTAACGCGCGTTAGTTAAGGGGCCCCTTAAACCTACACCTGGGTCGCAAGTCCCAGGCACTGTTGAAGCTCCTCTCCCTGCAACGCGATGGACCCGACACACGCACCGTGAATACATTGAATGCTGAGAAGTTTCGTCTCATACTCCCGACGTTTTTTACATTACAGCAACCGTAATCATTAAGACGAGATGTGAATAACTGTCATTGAATTTTCTGTAAATAAAAAAACATTAGTCTTATTTAACCTAATTGTATTTTTGTTGTGGACATGTTGTGAATAGTTTTGGCTTATATATAATTGTTTTTACGACCGGCGGCCTGTATAAACCCTCTTTGGGAATGCATTAATCAGTGATGTCTAAATACTCTTATAAAGTACATATGACTCGGAAAAATCACATCGGTACGTGCCAGATCGAACCCGCGTCCTCATGCATGAGAGGCGGGTCTTTTAACCACTAGGACACCACTTACTTAATACTTGATCTAATTCCTCAATTAAATCTCCCTTGTTAATTATCATTTTCTATATTGTCATTATTTTTGTTTCAGGCGATATTTGTGACCATAATGGCGTCGAGGGAGTCTGTAGGAACATAAGGAGATGTCCGTCAGCTATAAATGAAATAAGAAACAAACGTCCACCTGTCGTAAGTATAGTTAATCTATCTATATATATAAAAATGAATTGCTGTTCCTTGGTCTCACTAAAACTCGAGAACGACTGAACGGATTTATCTTATCTTAGTCTTGAAATGTTCGTGGAGGTTCAGGGAAGGTTTAAAAGCTGAAAAAAAATTATTAATTTCTGGGAAAACCCTAAAAACAGCGCTTTTCTATTTCCCATACAAACGTTTTTCTTTGACATTAGATTTGACAACTAACTAATATGTCAATCATTCTGTCGCACTTCAAAACACGGAGATTTATAGCTTAAAGGTAAACACCAAAAAAATAAATAAGACATAATTTATTTCTTGATTGAGGCAGTACGAAGTCTGCCGGGTCAGCTAGTAAGAAAATAAATTGTTTGAGAGTCCCTCTAAGAGCAAGAAGTGAAACTTCGTAATATAGGAATGAAATTAGGAAGGGATAGAAAATAATTTTTAAGGAATTTTTTGTGTTTCTTTAAAACAAACTTTATTAACATTACTTACAGGTCATAATTGATTGCCCGCATAGGTTCGAGCGAAAAACATTCCCGTTCGCTCTGTCTCTTTTTATCCCCCCCCCCAAGCGTTAAACGTTTAACGCAACCTTGTTGTCACATAAGAAGTTTTATTGCCAAAATAAAAGCTTACAATTAGTCAACATCAAATTTACCAAGACAATCGAGTTTTTCATTCATAAATCTTTACTTTATCTATGGAATAATATATGAAGAACAAAAAACTACTATTTTAACGTTAAAACTCATAGTTAGTACAGTGAAACTCACTAATTTTGTAGTTTTAATTCTTAAAAAGAAGTTCCAGGAAGGAATGCTCAATTACTTAATGAACCCATTATGTTAATGAAAATTTTAACTACAATTTGTTAAGTATTATAACAAGTTCGTCACGTTAATACACACGACGCGTTTGTAGTTTCCTATTTGTACCAATCACGTAGTCTTAGTTGTAGGCTATAAGTTTTAATATGTAGTTCTTATTATAATTTACATACATAAAAGTAAGTTTCATAGTTTTCCTGGAACCTCTGGTTGCTACCCTATATAATTAGCTTGTAGTCTACATATATTTATGATTTTCATACTAAAAAATTCTCGAACTAAATCCCATTAATGTTTAAGAAATAAATAAAATATAATTTGTTGTTTATAACGAAAAGTAGGTACTACCAATTAATAGTATTATTTACACACGTCTTTGCTCGTAAAACTGATGATAAATGCTAATATAATAGTTTGATTCCCATTCTAAGAAATACGATAAACAAAGTCTAAAAATAATCAGAATGACCTAACCATAGATAATTATTAGAGATTTAAAATTAATCATCATTGCTTATAATTTAAAAATAAGGTACTTGGAATCCGTTTTATGACGTCATAAAAGCATTTTATTGAAAATAAAAATACTTTTTTGGAATGGCTGATTTGTATGAATGAGACTTCTGGCGATCGTTTTAAGGCTACCTCCATTTCGATTTCTTTGAGATTCTCAAACTTTAATTAATTATTAGTCATCTTGTTATAAAAGTTATTAATGTGCAATGTATTAGGGTCTAGGTGTGAGTGAAGCAGAGATACAGCTTACTCTCTCTAACTGTCATGGCGTTTATTCTGTACTAGCTTTTCGCCCACAGCTTCGCCTATATGGAGTTCGGTTATATCGCGTTTCCAAGAGAACCTTTCAAAAGTCTGGGATAAACACTATCCTATGTTCTTTCTCAAGGTCAACTCTATATCTATACCAAATTTCATTGAAATCAGGCGTGAAAGCGTAACAGATAGACAGACAGACAGATTTACTTTCGCATTTGTAATATTAGTAGGGATTTGGTTAAGCATGACTAAAAGTAAATAAATATGTTTTTTGAAGTTTGAGCCCATTTTTCGTTTATATTTTATCTAATATATTAATCAAATATTAATTAAGAAGAAACTTTAATTAGTATTATGTGTAATTAATTTCACTCTTACTTATTCCCAGCTCTGCTCGTTTTCCAATACTGACCCGATCGTGTGCTGTGTGGAGAACGCACCGACGACACAGAGACCACAAATATTAACAACCAGGAGGTTTGTTACATATACAGGGTGACTGGTGAATTACTATCAATATTTAAGGAGCATACTCGGTACATGATTCTCATTCGAATTATGTAAAAAAAATAGGCACTTAATTTTTGACCAAATTTCCGTATAAATAAATAAAGTGTTGACACGTTCCAAGTGTTCCAAGTGTGAACGCGTGCGGCGGCGTGCTGGTACAACAAGACGCCGCCGCGCGCGAGTGTGTGTGTGTGTGTATACCTAATCTGTAGGGTGTTCATACGATGCGTAATTAATTACATAACTTTTGGTTAACTTTCCTTAGAAGTTTATTAATATTTATGTTATATTAATTTTTATTTTGTCATATATGATCGTCAAATATCACGTCCTCAAATATCGATAGTAATTCACCAGTCACCCTGTATATACATATATATATATAAAAGAAAGTCGTGTTAGCTACACTATTTATAACTCAAGAACGACTGTACGGATATGGTAAATTTGATGGAGAGATAGATTAGAACAATGAGACGGACATAGGATATTTAATTCTCTTTGATCGAAAAAAAATACTTAATAAATTTCAATATCTGGTTATTTATGGCCTCTAGAAAAGAGTTCGCCCGGTCAGCTATACATATATTACTAATGAGTAATGAGAAATTACGAAATTAAAGCGGACGAAGTCGCGGGCAAAATCTAGTAATAATAATTCAAAAACATATTCCCAGTGCCGATTTTCACGTATCTTTTATGGTGTCAGTATAACCACTGAAAAAAAACAGCTATCGTCTGATAGAATGAAATATTTTAAGACGTATGGACTATTTATTTTATGTTATATAAATTTTGTTTTTAAAAATACTCCTATGTGTTTGTATTCACTTCTGTTGTTTGATTAAAATATCAATATATTTCAATTCACATTATTGGTAAAAAAAAAATCTCTGGAATTCATAAAATGATCTTGTCTCGATGGTCCATTTGTTAGGTTGGCTGTAACTACGAAAAGTAACAGGTTCATAATATTTGTATCCATTTTTCCCCCAGGTTCACGACCACAACTGAGTATATACCACCAGAAGAGGACTACGTTTTAACAAATAGTAATATTAAAGGAACGGATCAGTGTGAGCCGATTCTGGCTAATCAGACGGCGTCGAAATCTGGACAAAAAGCTTGGGACAGTGAGTCATATATATCAATATTTTAGATAGTAGAGCCTAGCTGTGGTCAAGTTACTACATCTCGAATATGTTCTGTCTAGACCGTAAGTACCACCCTCTCATAGAAGACCAGCGTCATGTAGCCTTTAATGGTTTTTCGTCTGATGAGTGAGAGAGACGGTTGCCCTTTCCCTTTTCCCTCCCTTTCCATTCCCTCTCATACAATCAAGGTCGGCAACGAATTGCAACATCTCTTATGTAGCACATGTCCTTGAGCGACGCTAACTACTGCCCATCAAGTAGGCCGTCTGCTCGTTTGCCACCTTTCCCATATAAAATAAATATAAAACGCCAAATTGTTTTCATCTCTGTTGGCTAGTCATGTTAAATCACCCTATTATATTCTTTTTATAATTGTATTAGTAATTTGTAATTGTGTATTGTATAATATTATATACTTTTTATATTGTAAACAAAAAATAAGATTCTGAAAATCGGTGCAAAGAAACCAAAATTTAAATGGCTTAATTTAATTTTCAAACTAAATAACGATTAATTTGTTTGACTATATTGTGTGAAGGGTGAACAAATAGTGACACAATATTCTAAGAGATATAAAACTAGAAAGTCTGTTCACACGGAACTGAGTCAGACCCGTGTAGAATGAACAATTATACTTACAAGTTATAGCTCGACCTAATATTACACCGTAACTCTTTACTACATATTTAATGAACTATCACTATGACACCGTCGAGTAACATATATCAATGTTCGCTCTCAGTCTAACAGATTTGTATTGAGAGAGTATAACGTGCATTTCTTTTGGTAAAAATGAATGAATATTCAGAATATTGAAGATAGATAAAGTAAAAGTTTTTTTGTCATATTTTTTTATCAAATAATCAACTCATGATGCTCTCTAAACTTGTTACCATCTTTCTAATCTATCTTCATCTACAATACAGTTTCTCAAATTCTTCAGCTAATATTTAATATTAAATTTCTCCAGAATGTATTGAATATCAACAAAAGCTGATATTCCCTTGCGAGAGAGGCGTTACCCTGACGGGAGCCATGAGTCGTGGTAACAAGTGTCACCACGACGCCAACCAGCTTATCGTTGGTGGAGTAGAAGCCAGTGAGAATGAATTTCCACATATGGTTAGTACTGCTAAGTTATTACTTTTGTTGGTCATATACTATATGTAGGATTATGAATAAATAGGCGATATTTACGAGAAAATAATTATATTTAAACCAGACAAAGATATTACAATGATATTCAGGTGAACGCGTGTTGACAACTGAACTGAATAGACCGTTTTTACATATATAGTCCAGTCATTTAAGCTTAAATTATGTAAGAATCTCGGAATGCGAGATACCCAGCTGTAAGTCTGTAAATAGTTGTATATTGACACCCTAAAAGTTGTCTCAAAACCTACATATGGTAGGGTGTAAGCAACTATTAAATTTCAAGTTCAAAGGTCACAAAAATCGGATTTTTGCGCTTTTTTTGGAAATATCTCATTTCCTATGGGTTTTTTGCTATTTGTATTTATTATCAATATTGTAGAATACTAAATTATCTACAAATTTCGTTTCAAAAATTTTTTTATACGGTGTACCGTTTTCGAGATAGAGGGCGGAGAGCGCGCGGTCACCGCATCACTTCATGTCAACCGGTGCCTCCGGTCGAAAACGCGCCATATATAGTTGATGAACTATCAATAAATCAATGATTATAAATATTTGTCAAATTTCAAAAAGCAGAAGAACGTGGGGATGATTTTGGAGAATTGGTGAAAAGTCCTATAATTTTACAGTTTGATTTGATCGCTGCTGAAGCGAAGTACCATGCTGCTTGTTTTACAAACTTTTCAAATAAATCATCATCATCATCGCTTCTTGAGAAACCTCGTCAAGATAATCAAGTTACAGAAGCTATGTTAGAGATTTTCAATTACATCGAAAATAATAATGATTCTCAATTCACACTAAAAGAGCTTAAAGATGTCTTGACAGGGTATGTGCCAGATGATAAAACTATCATTACAAGACTACAACAGAAATACTTAACCGATATCGTAATTACGAAGAAAGTTGGAGCTTTCACGATCATTTCTTTCCGTGATGCACAAGCTAATATTCTATCAAAAGCTTGGTACGAAAGTAAAAAAATAGATCCTGAAGCAGAAAGGCTAAGAATTGTAGAAGCTGCAGCAGCAATTATTATTTATTATTAGAGAATTCTGCAATTACATGGACAGGTAAGTGTTGTTAAATAAATTAATACTGAATAAAAAGTGGATAGGTTAGGAAAAAAATTATAAAATATAATATAATAGTTAATAATAATTGACAAATATTTATAATCATTGATTTATTGATAGTTCATCAACTTTATGTGGCGCGTTTTCGACCGGAGGCACCGGTTGACCTGAAGTGATGCGGCGACCGCGCGCTCTCCGCCCTCTATCTCGAAAACGGTACACCGTATAAAAAAATTTTTGAAACGAAATTTGTAGATAATTTAGTATTCTACAATATTGATAATAAATACAAATAGCAAAAAACCCATAGGAAATGAGATATTTCCAAAAAAAGCGCAAAAAACCGATTTTTGTGACCTTTGAACTTGAAATTTAATAGTTGCTTACACCCTACCATATGTAGGTTTTGAGACAACTTTTAGGGTGTCAATATACAACTATTTACAAACTTACAGCTGGGTATCTCGCATTCCGAGGTGAACTTACTATAATGACTGGACTAATATGCCGGGTGACATTACTCACGAACTTCGTACTATCTCAACACTATATAGTTCTGTATCTTCTAGAAGAAGATACTACATAGTTCTGCTGAAGTATCGTAAAAGATATTGTTCTTTGAGTTTTAAACTTGATATATTTTTTGGACAGCATAATAAAAGTATAATCTTTAAAAAAAACAGATACTTTTCATTATATATATATATTCAGTTAGAAAACTGGAATTTTGATTTTCTAAGCCTCTCAGATTAAATACCTTGAAATTCTCAAACAAAAATCTTTTTTTTTGGTTTTTGTAAGCCAAATTTTTGCTCAGTTTATACTAACTGTATCACTACGCTCTACTATTGTTTTGATAAATACTTTTACTAATTAACATGATAATTTTATCCCCAGGCTCTCCTCGGTTATGGAAAGGATACTTCTAGCATCCAATGGCTCTGCGGAGGTTCACTGATTAGCGAGAGATTCGTATTGACAGCAGGACATTGCACTTCAAGCAGAGAAGCGTTAGTGGATTTTGATTTACAGAAATATATAAAAGTTGACAGACATTTTATTTTTCATGAGAAACTGATGGTTCTGCCCTAAAAATGCAAACAAATTTCATTATATTACATATATTTTTCAACCTCCAAGTACTTACCATATGAAAGACAATTTTAAGTCCACAAAGCATAAATTAAAATTCAAATAGGATTTCCTATATCTTTCGTAATATACATACAATGACAAGGTACACGACGAAAAATTGAAACTGCAACCATAAAAAAATAGCTCTCTAATATACAATAGCTTACCAATTATACTATCGTTATAACTGGAATTAATCAAGCAATTAAATTTTCATCATCATCGACCTATCAGAACCCACTGCTGAACAAAAACCTGTTCTCACATGGAGAAGATTAGAAAGATTAGTATTAATCACCACACTCGCTCAAGACGAGTTGGTGATTTCAAACTTATAATTTGATACAAGTCCATGTTTCCTCACCATGTCTTGCTTCATCAGTCATTGGTGTCTAAATACTTATAAAGTATATATGACTCGAAAAATCACATCGTTACTTGCCAGGTTACTTTATAGCCATAATTGCTCCCAAAAAGGATACCATATATGTAGAATAAACATATTTTTCTATCTCAGAGGTATAGTAAAGTACATTCGTCTCGGTGCCCTTCGCCGCACCGACCCTCTAGGGCCGGATCAGCTGTTCACAGTCAGTGAGATCATCAAGCATAAAGACTTCCACCCACCAAACAGATACAACGACATCGCGCTACTGAAGATGGACAGAGAGTGAGTCACAATTAATTAAGATAGTTATTCATTAATTACTCTTATTTTAGCCTTAATATAAATCTGTTTTATCCCATAATTACTATTAATAGGGTGTTTAATAACCTTATAAGTGATATCATTGTCCATTTAAATGAAACTAATGTTTTATATGCTACGCAGTTTATTTTTGTGAAAAAACTCCGTACTACCGATGTTTCGGCTACTTTTCAGCAACCGTGATCGTGGGTAACCGAAAATATTACATCCGAAAAATATTAGTAAAATAGATCTTAGGATATTTATTAACCTATAATTATTCATAATATGTTTAATACACACAAACTAATAGAAGATAAAATTATATTTCATTCAGAAGTTTTAGATGAGTTTAAGGAAGTAAAAACTTATAATTGATATTATTGTTGTCTTCTGATGGTCTAAAAACTTGAAAAATAATTATAAATTGAACTTGCGTTTGTTGGTAGAAGATTTAATAAAGAACTTCGCCTAAGAGGCTAAGAAAAACTGCTAATGCATGATATCTTCAAATAAAATTAATAAGGATTAAGAGAAGATCGCATTAATTTTATGCAAGGAATCTTAATACGAATTTACGAAAATTTTATTATAATTGGCTTTATATTGTTAGAATATTATATGTACATACTTTTCGTGGATTTCATAATAATCACGTCATCACTGCTTACTCTCAGTGCTGTTCTGTCGGAGTTCTTGGTGCCGGCTTGTTTGGATGTGAGAGCTCCCGGGGACTACAGCCGGGTGCTGGCTACGGGCTGGGGAGCCACCAAGAACCGGGGGGCGAACGCTGATCAGTTACAGAAGGTGAGTGTAGGATCCCTGGTCCTACATGTAAGTATAACTAGTCACTGTCTCACTACTACCCCGCCTAGAGCGACGCACGTCCCCATTCTGCTCCACGCTAGTCGTGATACTGCCGAGCGCATGCCACCCCCTCCAGTAGGGTACGTGAGACAGTGTATTATATCTATCGTATAGATACATACACTACAATGAGGATTTAGGAACAAATAAAAAGTATTAACTTTGAAGGTCAAATGAAGAAGCTATTGATATCCTCATTTATAGTAGCATTGTAAGTCTATCTTGAGATGAACTGGAAAGAAATTATAGTAAATTGACTGAAAATAGGAGATTGATGAAATAGAAACAGTTTTAGAGGTGGCGCAGACACAATTTTTTACAGCAATTTAGTCACAATATATATGGTTCAGAATTAAAATCTGTTCGTTCTTGGAATTTACTTCGAAGGCAGGCCTAGTAGGTTTTCTTCTAAGGTTCGGTAGAGAGAGGAGCTTGGACGGTGGAGGTGAGCGTTTAACGCGTTAGATAGAGGTCCCTTAAACCTACACCTGGGTCACAAGTCACAGTCACTGTTGAAGCTCCTCTCACTACAACGACGGACCCGACACACGCACCGTGAATATATTGAATGATGAGAGGTTTAGTCTCTAATTTTGATCTCATTGCTCTAATAGTCTTCTATTCAACTAGGTCATACTCCAAGAGTTCACAACTGAGGAGTGTTCCCAGATGTTCACAGCCAGTCGCCTCATGAAGCAAGGCTTCGACGGAAACACACAAATCTGTTACGGAGATAAGGAAATGTCCAAGGATACTTGTCAGGTTGGTGAATTAAATTATTGACGTATCCTAAGTATTTAGAACAGCTTATAATTCATAAACGATTTAATTATGATATTAAAAAATAGGCGTGAAGTCCTTCCGCATAGAAGAAGTGAAACTTCTTAATATGTATAAGATAATAATCAATTTTTGGTGAGCTCATATTGTTTAAGACAAACCTTATTAACATTGGTTACAATTCACTCACCTATTTAATTTAGCTCTGTCTCTTTCTATCCCACTCCTCAGTCGCGTTAAACGTTTAACGCAACCTTGTTGAAAGTCGCATTGAACTTTCACTTTAAAAAAATGAACAACTATATTGAAGTGATACCACAGACAAATAACAAGTAATTTATTGATCCCTTTTTTAATATTTTCTACGTCTTAATTCTTTCTAAGTTAATTTGATAATAGTACGAATCACTCACACATACAAATACTCTAATACAGGATTGTTATAATTTTTACGACATATTAAGTAATCTATCAGTGAAGACATAGTGCACTTTTACTAATTACAAACAAATTAATAGATAGAGACTTTAGTATAATAAGAAGTTATAAATATTGTTTACGTCTTTAGAGTATAATTCTATACTAATAAATTTATTTTCTATTTACTCATATGCTTATTGATAAAGAATTTTATTCAGCGATCGAAAAAACAGTCTTGGGCTAGGTCATTCTAATACATTAAGTATTCAAATACAAAAATTAAAAGATTTTCTTTCAGCTAAACAGAAAAAATACAAATTATTTAACTAAATAATATTCTAAAATTATAATCTTTGAAAACAATTTATTTGAAATTCCGAATATTTGACGTATTACTGAGCTGGAGAAAATTACTGTTTGATTGAGTAAATATTTCTGTTTAAAGATATTCTGATAGTAAATAATCATGCAAAAATCACAATCCTTACTTGAGAACATTACATTTTGGAATAAAACTAATATTTATATTATTTAGCACGCGTTTTTTATTATTTTAACTACATACTACCGAATTTCAATCACTTTGCACCAACCGTGATCATAAAGAAGAGATTATCATATATTTAAAAGACGTAATAAATCCGAAATATAATGATATCTAAGATTTTCGTCAGTTTTATTCATTTATTCATTAAAAACTACATACGACACGGTTGCTGAAAAGTAGCCAAAACGTCGGGAGTATGCAGTTTTTTTACAAAATTAAACTCGCGTAGTATTATCCAATAAATTTAGGTTTCATTTAAATCCGAAATATACTAGTTTTATTTCAATGAATACTACCAAAAGTACCAATACTACCAAAAGTCTTTACTCAAAACTACCAAAAGTCTTTCATAACATCACATTTTATTTCCCAGGGCGACAGTGGCGGTCCCATACAAATAAAGAGTAAGCTGCTTCATTGTATGTACACCGTGGTAGGAGTGACTTCATTCGGTCGAGTCTGCGGCTATGTAGGTGAGCCGGGGATGTACACAAAGGTTTCAGCATTCGTACCCTGGATAGAGAGTGTCGTCTGGCCATAATAAAATATATTAAATATATATATGTCTTTTATTTCCAACATCCCTAAAGACCATGCCATCAGTCAATAAGTATTACGAGCTCAATAGTAATATGTTTGTGGTAGACTTGTCGCGGTAGAAGTGCAAGCGAGAGATAAATATATAACAAATAAATCTCTCTAGAACCTACTAAAAGACTTGGGCCTGTCCAGAACTAATATCAATTCATTCGTGACCGTACTTCCAAGACAGCCCTAGTAAGTTCGTTTTCCAAGGTTAGGTAGAGAAAGGAGCTTGGACGGCGGAGGTGAGCGTTTAACTCGTTAGATAGTGTCCCTTAAACCTACACCTGGGTCACAAGTCCCAGTCACTGTTGAAGCTCCTCTCACTACAACGATGGACCCGACACCCGCACCGTGAATACATTGAATGATGAGAGGTTTCGTCTCATTTTTGACAAGTAGGTATATGTATACTCGTACATATAAATTTTCGGTCAGAGCTCTTCGAAATAAAGGAATTGTAAAACCGTCAACGAGGTTATCTTCAATAGCCTGACGATAATCAAGAACAAAGACTTTAGTGATGCAAAAAATGCTGACATCACTCTTTTTGACAACAAATTTTTACTTAAAAGTCCAACTTTTTACTTTAAAATATGTATTATCAATTAAAGTCTCTTAAGGTAAACATAATGAAATCAAACACGTATATGAAAACCAACAATATTATTGTTTTCGCGATCAGAACGTATGTCCGTGTATTTGAAAAGATTTCTCAAAAGAAAGCAAAATTATCAGTGATAAAAGATTGGGCATAACTTAAAATGTACCTTTTGGTTATCTTAAATATATGGAAGAAAATCTTAAATATTTGGAACTAGCTTTCCTCTAGGGTTCGGTTATATCGCGTTTTCAAGAGAACCTTTCAAAAGTCTGGGATAAAAACTATCCTATGTTCTTTCTCAAGGTCAACTCTATCTCTGTACCAAATTTCATTAAAATCAGTTCAGTGGTTTAGGCGTGAAAGCGTAACAGACAGACAGAGTTTCTTTTGGAATTTATAATATTAGTAAGTATTAGAATTTAATTTTATTCAAAAACGCACTTTAAAATAAAAAATTACGCAATTATATAAAAAAAATATATATTTTTTGATTATTATATGTATAATAAATACACAAAATCTAACACTATTTATAACTTTTTGTACAATGAAAGCATAAAAAAATATTTATACTGTGGTCAAAAAATTTTCAGTCATCTTTGACATGTCAAAAAACACAATATGGATCGTGATAAAATTTAACGAATTTAAAATGATATAACTATATATCATTAAATTCACAAATAAATCTAAGATCATGGTCCAGAAAACAGATTTTTTCAGTACAATTTATTTCAATTGGACATGATGAAAAAATAATGTCAAATTACTCGGAAATAAAGAAAATAGACGAGGAATCTTTGCAGAAACTGACGGAAGGTGAAGGGCCGGCTGACGAATGCCTCTGCGATTTACTCTCGCCTCCACTTCAGAAGAAAACTTTCGCAAGATCAGTCAAAAAGGCTCTGACAGCGTTTGGAAAGGGAAAAAAAGCTAGTAGAGTATCAAACATGATGGAGGATATTAAGGAATCAGGTGATTACTCAAATAAAATGCACTTAACGTTATCAAGGGGTGTAGCAATGTAAGTCAGTGATGGCCTAGTAGTTAAAAAAGTCCGCCTCTCGTGCACGAGGGCGCGGGTTTCATCCTGGCAAGTACCAATGTCATTTTTCGAGTCATATGTACTTTCTAAGAGTATTTAGACATCGGTGACTGATGAATGAAAACATCATGAGGAAACCTGGACTTATAATTTCACAATTATAAGTTTGAAATCACCAACCCGTCTTGAGCAAGCGTGGTGATTAATGCTTAAACCTTCTTCATGTGAGAAAGAGGCCTTTGCTCAGCAGTGGGCTCTTATAGGCTGATGATGTTATCAAAGTTAGCTTAGATTTTTTAACAAATTATTCAGAAGGGCTGTACTTTTGTAGATAATATACAGAATTTAGGGATAAAATTTCTGAATATCTATATAATTATTCATATATTTTGTTGTCTAACTTCCTTTTTATCTACCAAGTGAATAAGCTGTTTAAAATTCATCTAATCTTGTGTGCTATAAGCCATAAATATATAAGAAATATTATTGGCGCGGGCTAGCGTTTTATTACCAACTAGTTTTGGCCCGCGACTTCGTCCGCCTTTATTTATTTGTCATGTATGTGTAGCTGACCGGGTGAACTATACCACCCTAAAGGACTTAATACGCAGATATTGAACTTTATTAAGTTACTTTTAGTTTCGATTACTAAATATCCTATGTCCATCTCTTTGTTCTAATCTATCTCTGAACCAATTTTCAACCATATCCTTACAGACTTTCTTGAGTTATAAATAGTGTAACTAACACGACTTTCTTTTATATATAAACATGGTTTTAAACAAATATTTAGATCGCACGTAATATCACTTGTATCTCGCTTTACGAAAGACTGATTTTAAACCGACTTATTACTAGAATATTCGAAAACATTTTTGTTTACATTCCCACTTGTTTACAAACATTAACAGTAGGAGAATTCTTGTAAAGTTATTATTTACTTTCGTCCACCTGGCACTATCGCAATCGGCCGCTTTTAAAGCCGGAATTACAATATGATAATTTGTATAGAATAATAATTGTAATGTACTTACAGGCTTCTTTTCAACAAGAGAGGTTATAAAAAAGCAGAAGTCTTGCGGCAAATGCGGCTGTGATGACGAAAATATAGTCTTGAAGCATACATACGCCAACATACGAATAACAAGTCCGGATATATCGTCTGTCTGTCCCTGCCCTTCAAACTGTTTACCTGGTAAGCTAGCTCCTAAACAAACCATTCTTATATATATTCTAAGATTATTTAGACACCACTGTCAGATTGTGAAGGAAAACGTCGTGAGGAAACCTGGACTTATAATCTCACAATTATAAGTTTGAAATCACCAACCCGTCTTGATCGGGTGTGGTGATTAATGCCCAAACCTTCTCCATGAGAGAAAGAGGTCTTCGTTCAGCAGTGGGCACTGATAGGCTGAAAGAAAAATATTTAGACATCACTGATTCATTCCCAAAGACAGTTGATATCAGGCAGGCCGGTCGTAAAAACAATTAGCCTAAACTATTTACAACATGTAAGGCAGACCCTGGCTAAAGCTGCTAAATTGCCAGGAAGAAGATATATGGGTATTGTTACGCCGATTCTAAATCGTATTATATATTTTATATTATGTACTTTTTATGTATTCACATTAAAAATACAGGAATGCTTCAAAAAGCGACCGAATAATTGTAAAGAAAATTTCAGGCGACTTAAATTTTCCTTACAATTTCGTTTTTTCTCGTTGTTCTCTAAAATTTATATTATTATGTTTTAATTTTTATATATCTGTATAGTAACAAACTTGAGAATTATTTAAATTTATTTATTTCGTTTCAGGTAAAGATAAACTCGAAAATAACATAAAAGTTATCGTCGAGAATGCGCAGGTTTCAAACAAAATGTCCGATTTGAATGACAAATAAAAATATTATATAATTGTATATAATTATTTATTGATATAGAAAAGATTGTACATTAAACTAGCTGACCCGGCAAACGTTGTTTTGCGATATAAAAAATAGAAGTTGGTGATAAAAAAGTTAATTTTTTTTGTATGTATTTTTAATGCTACATTATAAAAAATAAAATCAAAAAAATTCTTCCGAAAAAATAAAAAAGATAGGAGTGAACAACCCTTATCACTTAAGGGTATGAACAATAGATGTTACCCGATTCTCAGACCTAGTCAATATGCTCACAAAATGTTATCGAAATAGTTCCAACCGTTTCGGAGGAGTTCTCTGTCTAACACCGCGACACGAGAATTTTATATATAAGATGAAAATATATCAATCCTTTCTTTCATTTAGAATCAGTATCTTTAGTACGAATTTTCTTCGTTTCTACATACGTAACGTTTGCAGTTTCTCATTTAATAATACTTTAAAATTATTGTAAATTATTGGTTAAAATGCCGTTAGAACTTTTGTTTTAATTGGAACTTCTTTCAGCTATCTTTTTTTTTTTTATTTATTTGAACGGCACATCGACAGTACATGCATTAAGCACTTAAAACTAAACACTAACTGATGTATGTACCAATTATAGATGTACACAGCACTGCTAAAAATTACTGTCTAGCTTACAACAAGTTAACAAAAGAAATAACAAAACCATATAAACTATTACTTAAAAAATACAAATGAAGAAGAAAGAATATCAAACAACAATCAAAATAAACCACTACAGCTAACTACTACTACTACTTATACTAACAGGACTTGACAAAACAAAACATTACACACATCTTAAAACGATTCCACACTTATGACACAATATATTGTGATAATTGATTCAAGTTTTATCACTGGCATTAATATTAACAGCTTTCAGGGATTTTAATAAAATAATTAACGCGTTAGATAGGGGTCCCCTAAACCTACACCTGGGTCACAAGTCCCAGTCACTGTTGAAGCTCCTCTCACTACAACGATGGACCCGACACACGCACTGTGAATACATTGAATGATGAGAGGATTCGTTCATGGATGGTTAAAATTATATCTGTCATCTGCACAACGACTTTTGTTTGGTATATTTCCGAACGCACAAATTTCAATATACCCCGGGCCTTTCAGGCCCCATTTTAACGGGTCCCATCGGGTCCCCTACCTCTCTCGATAATGCTGTGAAAACCATTAGGTCTAACAGCTACAATCAAGTCGAAACTAACAAATTAAAGACAGTCTTGCTCGAGCCGTTGCAAGGATCGGACTTCTCCGAAATAAAGGTTTCTTCAAAACGATAATGAAGATAAATAAGGTTCTAAATCTATATATAATATTGTAGGCTAGTATGTCACTGAATAATAATTTGTATGCATTTGTGTCACTCCCCAAATGGTTTATATTCACAAATCATCCCGGCATTGATAAATTAAATTGAAAGATACATTTAAAACACTTATTTTCATTCATCAAATACTGAGTAAGTTGATAAAAAATATCAACGTTTTATAATTCAATTTTTTTTTCCTCAATAAGACGTAAATTAATATAAAAATAGTAATAACATTTCAAATGAATATTATTATAGTCTTAAGGAAGAACAATTATAAGGAAAAATATAACAAAAATTATTGTTTTGATATGATACTTCAGAAATACTAGTTTTAAATATTTACACACACACACACACACACATAGTCTTTTGCATTTAAATCTGAAAAAAACACTAAATTTTTCGTGCCTAGGAAAAAGTATGTTTCAGGAGCATATTCTACAATTTTTTTGTCTTAAACAATTATTTAGTTTCTACGTTATGAATCACACGTAAGCTTTGTCTAAAAAACTCTTCTTTCTCACAATTTCCCAGCTTTAGTCAGGGTCTGCCTGAAAAACTATTATAAACAATATTGTACATTAATATTAAGCGATTGACAAAAATTAATTAACATAATTAATACTTTCTATTGTACTTTGTAAAATCAAGATTAATAAATTAAAATATACATATATATACAAAGAAAAATTCATTAATATTAGGTCTTTAAAATATATATACAGACACACAAAAAAATAAGTAATGTATAGTTGGAATAATCTTGAGAATGTTTATTAAGTAGCAATGTTATTGTCGCGATGTACGGACGTGTTGTCTTTTTAAGATAAAAATATAAAAAAATATTATACATTCGGTGAGTTTAATAATATTATTGAAGTTAAACAGTATTGTGAAGTGAAGTGAAGTAGGGAAGTGAAGTTCAAAATCTCCTTCGTGTTTCCACACAGTACCCAAGATTATAAATCGTCCAACAAATAAAAACTTTGATATTAACAAATCCAATGCGAATGAAGCCTTAGCTATAAAAATAATAAGACTTATTCATTTTTTATCATTATTCCTTTATTCATGACCTTTGAAACTAGTTCTCATATGTTGTTTAAAAAAACATTATAGCAACTTCATTTTGCATCTACATTTGTTTATACAATTTTAGTAGATTAATCAAATAAGTAGTAGTATATTAGTAGTAGTAGTAGACTACTACTAAGTAGTAGTAGTAAGGTAAAACAAAATCATTATATATACTATACAGTAACTTGTAGTAATTTTTATAGACAGAACTTGTATTTCTTGGTAATCAATCTTTTGTTTGACCTCGCGATAGGTTACAACCTTGGGAGATTCTGTCTCGTATTCATCTTAAAAATATTAAATAATACAATTTTATTATATTATTTGATATATACATTTTAAAATTATACAAACTTGTGGATGAAAAACCACTTAAATTTGTTTTTATTTTGATCGTAATATAGATATATATTTTACTTGCTTTTGACCGCGACTTCGTCCGCGTTAATTAGAAATTAGTAATACATGTATAGCTGACCAGGCGAACTCTATTCCGTTCTAGAGGACATAAATAACCAGATATTGGAATTTATTAAGATTTTTTCGATCGAACAGAATTAAATTAATTAATTTAATGGAAATAGTACATATATGAATGAACCACTACTTTACTAATTTTTATGATTAATTTTAATAAATTATACATATTTATTATATTTCAGGTAATTTGATTATTATTGAGTTACAATGCTAAGGTTAGTATTGAAAATCATATATGTATATATATTTCAGTGTAATTTTAAATACCTAAGTCCAGTATTTAATGTAATAATTTTTTTAATAAAAAATATCTATATTTTAATAAACTTTTATCAAATTATTTAGTTTCAAATTAATTTAAAGATTTTTGTTAAAAATTGAGAACTATATAATATGTTTGGTGATAATAATATTTTTTTCAGGCTAGCTATATTATGCAGCCTGGCGTTGTCTGTGTTTTCATTGGAACCGCTTGAAAAGAATTTTGATATAAGTAAGTACAAATTTCTTGTGGTTTTTCCCGAAACACTTCAAGTATTTTTTTATCTCTTCAGCTTTGTCATATATATTTGGGGATTTCCTGAGAGATATATATATTTTTTATGCTAAATTGGACAACGGAGCAGACGGCCTACTTTTGTTGTAGTACTTTCGCCCATAGACGTCTGCAATATAGATTTTCGTATGTGTTGCTCCCTTTGATTGGGGAACAGAGGGAAGAGGTGGGAAAGGGTGGGAAAAGGGAAAGGGCATCCGTCTCTCTCACTCATCGGACGAAACGCAGTCATTAAAAGCTACTTCACGCGGATCTTCTGTGAGAGGGTAGTACTTACGGTCGAGACAGAACATGTTCGAACTAAAGCTAGGCTCTACCACCTCAAAAATATACATTTTGTATGTTTCAAGTAAATTTATTAATTGTTAAATAATAATTTCAGTGAAAAGTCCGTCTTTATCGAATATTAATTGTGATAAAATCATCGAAAATCTTCCTGGCTGCTATGAATGCTACCTGTGTGATGAACCTAAAGTGGACTTTAAAAAGAAACAAGGATCTACCATCCATAATTTGACGTAAGTAAAATTATGATCCAACACACTTTATACATATAAACTTTGATAAGTGAAATATATAGGGTTCATAGTGGCAACCAGAGGTTCAAGGAAAACTACGAAACATACTTATATGTATATTATAATAAGAACTACATATTAAAACTTATAACCTACACCTAAGACTACATGATTGACCCGATGTTAGGATAGCAATACCATTCCATAGCTTGTGTGTATCAGGAATCTTCTGGTTCACACGCTTGGTGTTCGTTCCGCGGAGTCAGCGGCGGCACTCGTTATATATTTTATACATACAACGATGTTGCCCCGGCGATGTTCGTTTATTTCTTCATATGTAGTGCGTACCTTACAAGTGAGAAGAGACAAACATAGTTTAATTGACAATACATAATCAGTTAGAAACTAAAATTACTAATGGAATTATGATAACAAAGTTAAAAATATATTTTAATAATAATTGAAACTAAGATTTTTCGTGATCACTGTTGCTGAAAAGTAACCGAAACGTCGGGAGTATGTAGTTTAAAATAATAATATACGCGTAGTAATCCGAATAATATTTCATTTAAATGAATACTCTCGAAAGTCGGAGATCTCATTGTCTTAACAACAAATAAATATATTAAATTGATAAATATATGAATTTAGTCCGCAGATATTAAAGTTTATTTTCTCATCTTTTCTAACCTGTTGCTATCAGAGATATTTTTGTTCTGTCATTTGACGTTTGAGCTAAATAATCAACTTGCCTTCAAAAATGATATATAATCAGTAATAATATTGATTATAAATATATTAGTGATTTTATTACACAAAACGCCTTTATTCTTGTAATAAACACTCTTTTTATGGCTTCATTCTCACTGGAATCATGAAATATTCTGACAATGTCAACGTTTTTATAATTGTGAGTACCGTGTGGAAACACAAAGTTTGTAGAATGGAATAGAGACGTTCATTTAATTATCATTTTAGTTATTTTTTGCCAGCTCCTTTATCTTCTTCTACCTGGCAATTTTCCAGCTTTAGCCAGGTTCTGCCTTACATGTTATGAATAGTTTTGGCTGTTTGTTTTTACGACCGGCCGCCTGCCTGACATCAACCCTCTTTGTGAATACCAGCTCACCAATTCCTTTATATGTTTTTATATATAAATTTATCTTTTTTTGGCAGATTAGTTGACATAGACTGTCAATCGACGAGGATCTGTTGTTTTACTCAAAAGGATTTGATATATAGGTATGTATTTTTATTATTAATATATTATAACTAAGATATAATTATGTTAAATACTCGTTTAAGTTTTTCTTAACGAAAGTGTAACTTTAAGCGTAAACTTAAAGTAAAAGTTTAATTGTATTTACATTTGAATCCTCACCAGGACTCCAACCAAATGTAAAAAAATTCACAGTTTCTCATTCATAAAACTACACACATGATAGTGAAATAGACACATGACTGTCAATTACACGTATTTAGTTTAACAACATATACTGGTACTAAGGGTACACTAGTAAAATAAACAGCAAATAATATAAGTAATAACAAATCATCATCATCAACCTATCAGAGCCCACTGCTGATCAAAGGCCTCTTCTCACATGGAGAAGGTTTGAACAGTAATCATCACGCTTGCTCAAGACGGGTTGGTGATTTCAAACTTATAATTGGAAATCATACGTCCAGGTTTCCTCACAATGTTTTCCTTCATCAGTCAGTAGTATCTTAATATTGTCAGAAAGTACATATGACTCAGATAAATCACATTGGTACTTGCCAGGTTTCGAACCCGCGCCCTCATGAATGAGAGGTGGATCTTTAACCTATAGGCCACCACGACTTTAACAATATAACTTATTATTATTGTCACTTATCTCTGGACGGTTTTATATTATTACTGTATGTAGGGATTTTTATATCTTCTATCTTCTATATATATAAAAATGGATTGCTGTTCCTTAGTCTCACTAAAACTCGAGAACAGCTGAACGGAATTATCTTATTTAAGTCTTGAAATGTTCGTAGAGGTTCAGGGAAGGTATAAAATCTGAAAAAAATTGATTCATTACTGGGCAAACCATAACAACAGCCCTTTTCTATTTCCCATACAAACGTTTTTTTTGACATTTGATTTGACAACTGACTAATATGTCAATCATTCTGTCGCACTTCAAAACACGGAGGTTTATGGCTTATAGGTAAAAATATAAATAAAAAAACGTAATAGATATTTCTTGATTATAGGGCGATACGAAGTTCGCCAGGTCAGCTAGTTTACAATAAATCAGTCACCATCTTGCTCCTGTGTTTGATTGACGTTCCAATCTCCAGTATAGCTTTTAAGATATTAATTAAGACGTATATTATAATGAATCCTATAACATTTTTCAGGGAGAGTTACAGTAGATGTGGTCTCAGCAATCCTGAAGGAGATCCTGTCAAAGTAAGGAATCGTCTTCGGGAAGTTTTGGATGGACAATATCCATGGAGAGCCTGGGTTTACAGGTATGAGATACGACAAGCGGTGCCAGAAAAATCTTTACAAACAATAAAGGTAAAGCCTAGCTGTGGTCGAACTACAGCTCGAACATGTGCTGGCTCGACCGGGGAAGTACCACCCTCTCACAGAAGATCGGCGTGAAGTAGACTTGAATGGCTGCGTTTCGTCTGATGAGTGAGAGAGCAGGTTGCCCTTTCCCTATTCTCACCCTTTCCTAACATTTCCTTATTCCCTCCCTTCCCTATCCTTAAAAAATAAGGTTGATTTCGCATCCGCAACATCTTTGTTGCGGATGTCCGTGGGCGGCGGTAACCACCATCCATCAAGTAGGCCGTCTGCTCATTTGCCACCTTCCCCATATAGAAAAAAATAAAGATATTATCTCTCTATCACTCACCACATTTTAATATACCACATTTTTTTATAATATATTCTCGAAAAATAAGAAAATTTAACGAATAGCTTAGTAGGAACACCAAATTAAAATATAGTTATATATTTGATGGCAAGAGTATTTATGTACAGTATTTAAGTGTTTAATCATTTAAGAATTATTATAATTTTTTGTTCAGATTACTTAATATTTCTATAATTTCCTCTGACCAGAACGCGTCGTAAGCTATTTTTCTGTCACTGAACGTTTTCGATCTTTGATTGTAACATACATACATATCAGTATGGCTTTGTTTAAACATCTTCGTTGATTATCATAACATATTAAAAATCAGTGATGGATTATATTTGGGACAATACTCTCATTCGTCATTCAATATATAAATTGGTTAGGTAGGGAGAAGAGCTTGGACAGTGGAGGTGAGCGTTTAACGTGTTAGATAGGGTCCCTTAAACCTACACCTGGGTCACAAGTCCCAGTCACTGTTGAAGCTCCTCTCTACAACGATGGACTCGACACACACACCGTGAATATATGGAATGCTGAGAGGTATCAATATGAGCGTGTTTATTTGATAATTGTTTTCATATTTTTTAGCAAATCCGACCGACACCGTCCGATATGTGCTGCCACGTACATCAATTACGACGACGCAGCGCTTCTAACGCCAGCATTCTGCTTACACAACAAGGACCCTGAATCACTGATGGTACGCTTCAACAGAAATGGAGACGATCACTATGTTAGAAGCATTTCTGTACACCCAGAGTATAATAACGGTAAATATAGACTTAAATGGGAATAGTCGTGTTAGCCTAGTGGTTAAAAGTCCGAATCTCATGCATGACGCCGCGGGTTCGACACCTGACAAGTACCAAAGTGATTGTTCCGAGTCATATGTACTTTATAAAAGTATTTAGACACCACTGACTGATGAAGGAAAACATCGTGAAGAAACTTGGACTTATAATTTCAAATTATAAATTTGAAACCACCAATCCGTCTTGAGCGAGCGTGGTGATTAATCCACAAACCTTCTCCATGTGAGAAGAGGCTCAGCAGTGGGCTCTGATAGGCTGGTGATGAAATACAGCATTAGTTTAATTTTAACCAAAAAATGCAGAAGAATTGATAACCTTCCCCCTTTTTTAAAAAGTTTTAAAGGCAAATGAAATTCTGTTCTCTTTGGTAAATTAAAAGTACATTAACATTTTTTGATATACGAGTATGTATGTGCCGCCCGCTGTGTCGTACTAATTATAATATACTATAATCCTTACAATTATTATTATGAGTGATTATTATGAATGATAATACTGAACCATTGTAATGTATCAACATAAGTGTCACGTGTTTGTAAACTATCAATACTGGCTTCACACATCTTGTAACACATTACTGGAAGTAACTATGAACATTAAGAATCAACACTGAAACCTAAAACAGTTTTTCTTTTATTTACTAAATCATGTAGTGTATATAAAATTATTGTGTTTCAAGTAATTATGTGTTTTCAGCTACCCATGAGAATGACATAGCGCTTCTAAATCTTCGCATGAAAACCTCCATCACGTGGCCAGCGCCTGTTTGCTTACCAAAAGTCCACCTTCCCTTCGCTTCAACATGTGTCGGTGTTTCTGATGATAATAATTTTGTAAGCAATTCATTTTTCCTTTTATAAAATCGTTGTAGATTCACATTATCAAACAAAACAAACAGCATCTATAAATTTAATCTATTTTAATTTTATTCTATTCTATTAATTAATGAGAATTTAAATAAATATTGGACCGGATATAAAAACTGCCAATTAACGAGAAAGTAAGTTCCATCGACATACATGATCTACAAATTATTTATCATTCATACACAGCTAAACACACACACACACATACACAGAGAGAGAGACACACAAAATATAAGAACTGTTAATTAATTAGGACTACATCTTATTCTGGGTAGATCTCATACAAAATTTAAGAAACGGAAACAATCAAAAATATGTCTCAACAATATCACATGAAAACTACACGACAGAATCATCTGTAAATATTATCATTAATTTTAACCAAAATGAATAAAAGTTTATTCCTACAATATTTCTCTTAACATCATCCTAATTTTTTGGATTTAAATACTCTAATTTTACCAAAAAAAAAATCCTTTTTTCTAGATAAACTTCGTCGTTCCAAAAAAGTCTTTGTGTAATGAAACTGATCCTAAGTTACCCAACTCCTTGATGTGTGCGGTCGCACCAAGAGGAGATTACAAGCAAGAATATGGCAGTGGACTTATCTGCTTAAATGATGTGAGTAAAACAATAGTTTAATTTAAACTAATATACAGGGTGACTGGTGAATTACTATCGATATTTGAGGACGTGATAATTGACGATCATATATGACAAAATAAAATTAATATAACATAAATATTAATAAACTTCTAAGTAAAGTTAACCAAAAGTTATGTAATTAATTACGCATCGTATGAACACCCTACAGATTAGGTATACAAATACGCGGCGAGGGCGTGGTGTTGTATCAGCACGCCGCCGCACGCGTCCACACTTGGAACACTTGGAACGTGTCAACACTTTATTTATTTATACGGAAATTTTGCCAAAAATTAAGTACCTATTTTTTTTACATAATTCGAATGAGAATCATGTACCGAGTACTCTCCTTAAATATTGATAGTAATTCACCAGTCACCCTGTATATTAATTTCACGTCCAAAATAAGGTATTCAACATTAAATGCTTCCTAACACAGAATGTACAAAACTTGGAAATGTTAAAAAATTTAAAACTTAATATATTATTAGTAACTAGCTTTCCGTCCGCAGCTTCGCCCGCATGGAGTTCGGTTATATAACGTTTCCAAGAGAACCTTTCAAGTCTGGGATAAAAAGTATCCTTGTTCTTTCTCAAGGTCAACTCTATGTCTGTACCAAATTTCATTAAAATCAGTTCAGTGGTTTAGGCGTGAAAGCGTAACAGACAGACAGACAGAGTTACTTTCGCATTTATAATATTAGTAGGGATGACAAACTTTTGTTACTTCTCTTAAATAGAATCCAAAGGTATTTTTGTTATAATTCTACTAAATATTCTGTTTATTAATATGCAAGAAAAATTTTGTTTATACCAGTTTACATAAAGTCTAGTCTAAATTTAGTGACTTATTATAATTAATTGCTGATTAAGTCAGTGGTGGCCTAGTGGTTAAAAGGCCCGTCTCTTAATACTGAGAGCGCGGGTTCGATCCTGGCAAGTACCAATGTGATTGTTCTGAGTCTTATGTATGTTCTTTCTAAGAGAATTTAGACACAACTGGCATACGGTAAAGAAAAACATTGTGAGGAAACCTAGACTTATAATTTCACAATTATAAGTTTGAAATCACCAACCCGTCTTGAGCGAGCGTGGTGATTAATGCTTAAACCTTCTCCATGTGAGAAGAGGCAGCTCAGCAGTGGGCTCTGATAGGATGATGATGATGATTTAATTGCTGAATATCAACCTGTAGGTGCTCTAACACATAATTTATAGATTTTTTATACAATATTTTTATTCCAGAATGTCAAGGAACCTTCGTACACGGTGTACGGCATCATGCTCCAGAGATCCGGTGACTCAATATCACTTTACACCAACATAAGTCACTTCAGTAGCTGGATAGAAGACAAAATAACGAGCTCCATAAGCTGGTCTTGAATCATAGAAACGATATACAGTGTTATACATTGTTATACAGTGCCATCATAATAAACGATATTTTTGACAATAATAACAAAATATTTTGATTATATAATAATTTCTACCCAATATTTTAGTTACTTTTTTCTCCACAATATGGTGGTTGTGTGAATCTGATAATTTTTTTTACTAAGAAATTCTTGCATGTATTCATTAAAATAAAAATTCCGATGAATGATATGAAAATCTCTTGAAGTTAAAAGTATTAAATTTATTTTCATTTTGCACCTTGCAACACAAATATAACTTTTGCAATACCATAATGTAATCTTTTTAAATTCTCTCTCTCTCTCTCTTTCTATCGTTCTTTCTCTCTCTATTCTGTGACATCATTATGACTAGTAAGTTTATTACAATAATAAAGTAAATTTATACAAAAAGTCATTATAATTTGTCCAAAAACAATTTTCGACGAGTGCATTTTTCCCTTATGATTAAAACAAGGGTACATAGATCGCTTGAATGTAAAAGGAAAACGGAGGTTCCAGGAAAACTACGAAACTTACTTATATGTATGTTATAATAAGAATTACACATTTAAACTCTCAACCTATATCTAAGACTACATGATTGACCCGATGTTAGGATAGCAATACCATTCCATAGCTTGTGTGTATCAGGAATCTTCTGGTTCACACGCTTGGTGTTCGTTCCGCGGAGTCAGCGGCGTCACTCGTTATCAGGGCCGGGTTATGCCTGTCGGGGCCCCTAGGCAATACTCATCCAGGGCCCCCTACCCTCTTCTAATTTTTTCGTTAACACAACAAAATTCAAAATTACACCGTTTTTTACAAACCTGGGTATATCATCATATTATTCAATAAAAATGTTGAATCAAATGAACAGAATGTTTATTTATGCATTAAAAAAAACATACATAGCTTAAATATTAACTCTTCTAACTTTTTTTGATACAAAATCGTTCTTGATATCCTGAAAGGTAATCTTCTCCAACACGTCATTTTCAATTGCCATTATCTTCTATATCTATATATATAAAAATGGATTGCTGTTACTTAGTCTCGCTAAAACTCGAGAACAGCTGAACGGATTTATCTTATCTTAGTCTTGAAATGTTCGTTTAGGTTCAGGGAAGGTATAAAAGCTGAAAAAAATTGATCCACTACTGGGAAAACCATAAAAACAGCACTTTTCTATTTTCCATACAAACGTTTTTTTTGACATTAGATTTGACAACTAACTAATATGTCAATCATTCTGTCGCACTTCGGAACACGGAGATTTATGTCTTTAATAGGTAAACTCCAAAAATATAAATAAAAAAACGTAATAGATATTTCTTGATTATAGGGCGATACGAAGTTCGCCAGGTCTTCTAGTAGCCAATGAATTTAAACGGGTTTGAGACGTCGTTGAACGAAGACAGTTTTTAATTAATTTTTTAAATTAAAATTGCTTGCAATTATATTACTGCGTTATAAACTTTTAAACTATAATAATAATCATAATAATAATATCTTATAAGGAATGCGTTCGGAAATTTACTGTTTTTTTTTTACTGTTTAAGAAACATTGCCCATTCTTTTCCCTGTAGCACAGGGGCCCTGAACGTGGCAGGGCCCCTAGGCAGTTGCCTATAATGCCTAATGGATAAAACGGCCCTGCTCGTTATATATTTTATACATACAACGATGTCTCCCGGTGATGTTCATTTAATTTTTAATATTTTGCGTGTACGTTACATTGACAAAACCTATAGCTGTCGTCAATTTTAAAACGATCCTTGCTCTGTCTTCACAACTTATTATCTTTTCAGTATATTATAATCTTATTTACAATAATTTCATAAAACTTTTAGTTCAAACGTATATATTTTATTCCAGGTCATTATTTGTCGTTGCTGATAAAGAATGTACAGTCAGTTTTGCTGTCAACTTGTCTTAATAGATTGGCTACTTGGACTTTTGTCAGTATTTCCTAAATGAATAATTTGTTTGAATTAAATGTAAGATTGTTTATCTATTTTTTTTAGAATGTAAACATTTAAATTGAATGGAACATAGTCTTAAACTTGTATCTTGAAGAGATTAAAGGAATATTATATTGTATTTACTTGAAACGCTTTTGGTTCTATTAACGAAATGCAGTTTTTGTTGTACTTCTAAAATTACTTTACTTAATCTTTGAGGACTTGAAATTGAATACTGGATAAAAAGGTTTTGAGAGACGTTTACAAATGAAAATGCTTATCAATAGTCACAGGATAGTAAAAAATGTTTTAATAATTCAAAATATATTTTATAACGAGCCTAAATTAACAATATTAATTAAACATAGAACAAAATCAGACAAATATTCATCTACTCTCATCGTTTTCAAAATATACTAATTCTTTATATTTTTTATTTACAATCACGTCCCGATACAGTTGCTTATAAAAGTATGATTATCGTTCTTCTACCTGGCAATTTCCCAGCTATAGCCAGAGTCTGCCTTACATGTTGTGAATAGTTTTGACTAATTGTTTTTACGACCGGCCGCCTGCCTGACATCAACCCTCTTTGGGAATAAAGTAAATTAAGATTGTTATATACATATATACAGTTCAATTGCTCAGAACTAACAAACATAATATTTTTCAATTTATTATTAACAATATTATAAAGTTTTTTTAAGTCGTTTAAACAACGAAAGAAAATATTAAAAAAATAATTTTTCTTTTATATTCTGATATTCACACCAGAATTGATTATTATGAAAATATCCAATTTTATTTAAAGTATCACAATTATAATATTATTTTCAAGGCTATGTGGAAAACACATAACGTTACAATTATTAACAAAAATATTATATAAGACGCAAAAAACATTAAATTACAGTCAAATAAAATATTACCTAATAGTCAGTTTAAGCGAATATCTAATGGACTACCCAAATTTGATGAAATGAGAAGTTTTCTTTACAATTATGGCCACACAATGCTCTCAATCCAGGGTAAATAATGAGATACTCTAGTGTAAACACCCGGCGCTCCCTGCAACCCACAGGAACGTCCGAAAGAGGTGACTCCTATCACCAAGTACATGCAGTACACTTTCGGATGTTTGATTTGCGCTGGACCTCCACTGTCGCCCTTGAAATAAAAAGATGAAGTCTAATAAATATAGTGTGTATGCTATATTATAGAATTAAGTCTAGGGTAAAGTCACCTTTATAAAACTTCTCATGTATACATCCAAATATGGTGGACCACCCATTGGCATAAGCTTTCTTTACGTTATATTAAGATCTAATATTATTAAATGTGACTTAAAGCTACAAAGACGTTTCTTTTTAACCCAGTAATTAACCACATTAGAAAGTAACTGAAGCATTGTTGAATGGACAGGTGAAAGATGATGACTAAAGTCATCAAAATGTTCGATGTTGTAGTTTCTTATTGAGTGAAGCAAGATAAACGAAAAACGCTATGCTGTCGACTTAAGCCATTCAATCACAGTTATAATCTTGACAAAAGAATGTACTATCAAGACGACGTTTAATGTTGGATAGACCAGTTATATCAAGTTGTTTATAAAAAATAAATTAGATCGAACCACTAATTCCAATTTTATGGCCAAAAAACGGAACCTATACCCAAAAAACGATTTGGCAAAGAACGTTGAGGTTCATTCAATTTGTAGGGAGAAATTTAAGAAGCGAAATGAGAAAATATTGTGAAGGTACTACTACTAGTTACTATTCCATTTGATTCCTTGCTACTTACTACTAATGCTACTTACCCCGCAAGTATCACTTGTATTGCTTTTATTTCCAAAACATATCTGCGTGTCACTGTTTATTCCATCTGGCATATTTCTGTGGCGGTAAACCTCGTGATAGCTGTGGCATTCCACATCATCGAATTTTTGCAAATATGCCTATGAATATAACAAATTTAATTTAATATAAATGTTAGTATTGTAAGGTTTATGGATTGTAGTGGTAGAATATTTAATAATTGTTAATATTAATATGTGACTCACTGTTAAGAATGTTAATATGTAGAAATTATAAGATTGTAATTTTGAAAAACGACTGCCAAGTATTATGTGTTTAATGCAACAGTCACTTAATTCCCAAACTCTTCATCAAGTTTGCACTAAATTGTGAATATATATTGTACTAGCTTTCCGCCCGCAGCTTCGCCAGCGTGAAGTTCGGTTATATCGCGGTTTCAAGAGAACCTTTCAAAAGTCTGGGATAAAAAACTATCCTATGTCCTTTCTTAAGGTGAACTCTATGTCTGTATCAAATTTCATTAAAATCAGTTGAGTGGTTTAGGCGTGAAAGCATAACATACAGAAAAAGTTACTTTAGCATTTATAATATTAGTAGGGATTTCAACGAGGGCTCATACTTTGTACGTAATATTTTGTCTTTCATACAATGTTCTAGCTATAAGCGTTTCACTGATTGAATTAATGACTATCCATTAATAAAATGTTATATAGTGGAGTGATCTTGCATTTTGATAATTATTTTATTAAAATACTAGAAAATCGCTGAATTTACTATAAGTTCTAACGCTATTTTAACAAGTACTTTACATTAATGGATTAATATATTTGTTACATAACAGTGAATGTAATGCTACTACCTTTTGCAAGACGTCAGACATAGTTCTCCTCCTAGTGCTAGTTTGACCCCAACCAGATACAATAACTGTGTCGCTGACTTCAGCACCATCATGGAGACACGCTGGGAATGCTGCTGGACCTAGGAGCATCCTGAAATATGATACATGAAAACATTTTAGTATACCATGCTTAAATATGTTTAGATTTGCTTGTAGCCGCAATGGCTTTGACATCGTCTAAGGGAAGTACCATGACAAGAGCTAAAACAACAATATTTAAACAATTTAAATAAGTATTACTTCGTCATCATCAGCCTATCAGAGCCCACTGTGAAGTAAAGGCCTCTTCTCACATGGAGAAGGGTTCGTGATTTCAAATTCATAATTGCGAAATTATAAGTCCAGGTTTCCTCACGACGTTTTCTTTCACCACTTGTCAGTGGTGTCCAAATAGTCTTATAAAATATAAAGTACATATGACTCTGAAAAATCACATTGGTACTTTCCAGAATCGAACCCGCGCCGTCATGCACGAGAGGCAGGCCCTTTAACAACTAGGCTACCACTGATGTTAAGTATTACTTTGATAGATTATTATTATTTATAAAGAATAATAAAAACAAACTCACTCTCTGTCTGTTTCCAGCAACGCTATGTCATTATATTTCAGTGGCGAATGATAATTATCGTGGACATGGATTTTAAAAACATTGTACAGGTTGAAATTTGTATCGCGCTCCGACGATTTTAGGATTCCTATCTTGATTTTGGATACAGAGCCACTGAAACAGTATTACATATAAGAAATATATAAATAAATAAATTAAAATAAATAAGTTTTAAGTAAAATTTTAACTGTCTTTAGCGCATCTTTGTCTTATGATATAAAATTATTAAGCAATGCTTCATGATTAATGCTGGCCATATACGCTACGGTCTACCGAAGAGGTCCAGCTGTGCAGGTATGTCGGAATGTGTGTGCGAATAGACCTGTGCAGTTTTTGTACGCTACTATTGTTCGGTTGACCTGTGCACTCATACCTGCACAGATTACCTATCAGGTAGACCGTAGCATGTGTGACCGGCATAACTCATCTCACCGTATAGCAGTCTTGGTGCAGTGTGCCGCTGTCAGCACAAACCTCTCGCTAATTATAGTGCCGCCACATTTCCAATCTATTTTCCCAGTTCCAAAACCGAGCAGCGCCTGCAAAAATAATTTTCTTCATATAAAATCTGACCAAACCAAAGCTAACTTTATACAGAAACACAAATGAAACTGCTGCTATTTCATTGCAGTGCTGTTCTTAAAATTATATTTCGACCGTACTGAACATTCCTCTTTTAAAGAGATAAACGGAAATATTAAACTAATTTTTACTATTGGTTATCAGTGTTGCCAATCCATCACAAATTTCCTTCCAACAACATATATATCCATATTATTTATGAACGTAAAATATATGTCATAGTTCTTTTACCATATGCGGGAACTCCCCTCGAGAAGCATTCTCTCCATTGACAATTAGACCCTCTGAACTCCACGTACAGTAATTGGCCCTCGCTTTATCTTGACCTGGAAGCGGGCTATCCAAGCACGGATACACGTATTTTTCCTGATAGTACAAGCATTCTGGAAGATAGAACATTAATTATCAACATTTATCTCATATTCAAACTTCGGTGATGGGGTTTGCAACTTTTGGTTCATTTAAAATGCGTAAAAGTTTTTTTTGGACATATTGTTCATATGATCTCAGATTTTCGAAAGTATTGATTGAAATTAAACAAATATTTTTGAATTTAATGCACGTTTATAATTATTTTTAACAACATACTCCCGACGTTAAGCTTACTTTGCAGCAACCGTGATCACGGTTACTTTGCAGCAACATTACTGCATAATAATGCCGCGTATATTATTTTTAATTCACATATGTTTCCTTCTTTTCATTGTTACACCATATCTAAAAATTACTCGTAACGACATTTATTTCAATGATTATATTTTATATACGAAGAAATTTTAATAAGTAATAAAAGAAACCCGACTTATATAGTCATCTTTAGTTCTACGTCTGTATAATATGAATTAAATACATAACAGGATATGTAAGCACGTATATATTCTTAAAAACAACATCAGTATTTCAAATGTAATATTGATACAATTTCACTATTAATTTAGTAAATTTACACAAAACTAAAAACAATTTTATATTAATAACTTTTAACTACCTCCATTTAAAGTTATCGTGAAATTAAATCTGTATATAACACAAACAATATATTTAAACACAGAAAACATACGATCGACTAATCTATCACAACAACGCGTGTTACGAAAAGAGTCCTGATGTCTTGACAACTGATTATACAGGGTGACTGGTGAATTACTATCGATATTTGTGGACGTGATATTTGACGATCATATATGACATAATAAAAATTAATATATCATAAATATTAATAAACTTCTAAGTAAAGTTAACCAAAAGTTATGTAATTAATTACGCATCGTGTGAACACCCTACAGATTAGGTATACACACACTCACACATACGCGTGCGACGGCGTGAAGTTGTATCAGCACGCCGCCGCACGCGTCCACACTTGGAACACTTGGAACGTGTACACACTTTATTTATTTATACGGAAATTTTGACAAAAATTAAGTGCCTATTTTTTTTACATAATTCGAATGAGAATCATGTACCGAGTATTCTCCTTAAATATTGATAGTAATTCACCAGTCACCCTGTATATGGTTCCTCCCTCTCCAATCCCCTGCTAACCGCCCATATTCCCACAATATTTATATTACACTAAGGTTTTTCTAACATTGATGTCAGTAGAATCCCGTCTTAAATAATGTACTAAGTGCCACTTACTGTCAAACGCTTTTTGTCCCGTCTTCGGCACAGTGAGGTTGCTTAATATAGGTGAGCAATCCTTCGGAATCTTATAATGGCTGAACATAGATGGTTTTCTATATTTTTTTATTGCTGGAGCCGTGGTTGTCGTCGTAATTTTCTTTGGTACCCTCCTCAAAAAAAGAAAAAATATATATATCGGCGCTACCAGCTTTAATAACGGATGCGACTTGAAAATAATTAGAGGCTGCCATCAATTCTTATTAAACCTCATTAGTATTTATGATTATTGTTAAAAGTAAAACGAAATCAAAGGAGAATAGAACTATGTTTGAATCTTGTTATAAATATGACGTCTGGACTCACGACGGTGGACTCCAGAATTGTGAATTCAGGATTGATATAATTCAGAATTCAGTGAGTGTGTATCATTGAAGTAGGTTAATATGAAGAATCTTTGAGAAATACAGGAGCATTAAGAACAATTGAAGTTTCATTTTAAAATATCATGGACCGTACTAGAAGAAGTGACATTTGTAACGTCAGCGAGGCTGGCGTCCCTCTCTTTTAAAACAACGAATTTGTAATAAATCCGATATATATAATGTAATAAAAAGAAAAAGCTATAGTGTGTTTTTGCATTTTTTGCAAGTGTTGCACCAATTGTATAAACTGCCACAAAATATTGACCCTATTAATACCCTATTAATAGTATAATATCACTTAGATATGTAAGCTTGTAAAGTGTATTTACAAAACGGGACACTCTTTATATCTTGCAAAGCATATGTTAATCTATATTACAATATTATTATGTGCATTGGGAATCAAATACGCAAAACTCATCACACCAAAGTGAGGAATACAAAAATTAATTACAAATATTTCCTTACCTCGAATTCACTAATGAATGATCATTGCAGCAAACTATTGGAAGATCGCGTATGAAATAACAATACTGTAACAAAAATATAGTCAATAAAATGTATATCTATATATCTATATATACATATATATATATATATATATATATATATATATTTATATATATATAGGGATATAGTTTGTTCTCATTATATTTTATTTACATAATTTTCCACATTAATTTTTTATAAACCTAGGTACTAACGGCATAGTCAATAAATATTTTATCTGCATTAAACCCAAACTTTGTTAAATAGACACAATGTTTTTATTTTAAATCATGTATATTTTTTTAACGATATTTTTATCCCTACTAATATTATAAATGCGAAAGTAATTCTGTCTGTCTTTTACGCTTGCACGCCTTATCCACTGAACTAATTTTAATGAAATTTGGTACAGACATAGAGTTGACCTTGAGAAAAATCATAGGATAGTTTTTATCCCAGACTTTTGAAAGGTTCTCTTGGAAACGAAACGAAGCTGCGGGCGGAAAGGTAGTATATAATAAAATATAGTTTGAGTAGTTATAAACGAAATAAAATTCAAAATCCTAAAAAAAATCAAAGTTCTCTATGAAGTTAGGTCTAGAAAAATATCTGTACTACATGAGGACGTAAAAACAAAGGAAGATAATTGAATAAGACTCCAAACAAACTTACATTCATTGGTTTTTGAAGTTTGATGTTTATTAACGCTGAAGTGCAATTGTAGATGTCAACACATACGCCAGGTTGACCATCAGGACATGGTTCATCTGGGATAAAAGTTACTAAAAAACCAAAAAAGACACTTTGAAATTACGTAACGGGCTTTACTATTTAGGAAAATAAATTTTAACAGTTAAGAATTTGTATACTACACACTTAACTACATTTTAAAAATATTCTTTCGATTTATTTTAGATAAAAGTAGAAGATATGGAGCGGACACAAGCTGAAATTGATGAAGCGCGTTTGCGATACGTGCCAGTGGCCAATCGAGGTCAAATTCTGTTTTTTTGCTTGTCTGGAATGGCGAATGTTGATCCTATGTATCAATATTCATTGGAATAGTTCATAAAAATATACCCAGAAAATTATCCCAAGTAAATAATAAATATCAATTTATATTCTAATAAAACCGCCAAGATGCTACTTTTCTTGTTTTCTAATTCGTAAGCATTTTTTTGTATTCAGATGAGCAAAGCCAAAAAACATGTATTAGCATGAGTGATATGGTGAGTAAAAAGACAACTTGTAATATGTATATGTGCATATTTTTATTTATTATATATTAAAAACCCATTTTAGGATATAGTTCTTTTTAATTTTTATTTTTTATACACATACATATATACAAATTTTTAAAAATATTACAATATTATCCAATAAGATTCACTAAGGTAGGACATAAAATTTATTTTATTCAAACAAAAAGGGTTTAAAAAATGTAACATTTCAACCATTTTTGGTAAATTACATATTAAAGAACATGCAAATTTTTTATCATAAGTAGAATCCATTACTCTTATTCTTAAAGAATATTGCTAGATTTGTAACTGTTAAATAATTTTGTTTTCATATTTTCGTTTCAAATTATTATTGTGAATGATCCGGTTTTACGGACATCAAAACTCTTATTAACTAGTAAATTGTTATAATATTTTAACGTTACCTATTTCAGAACCATGCAAGAGTGGAGAAAATGTAATGCTAGTGAGAACGATCAGTAACTTCATGGTTGTCATCATTATATCTGAAAAGAAATAAATCCATATATATATAAAAGAAAGTCGTGTTAGTTACACTATTTATAACTCAAGAACGACTGTACGGATATGGATGAACATTGGTGGAGAGATAGATTAGAACATAGAAAGGACATAGGATATTTAATTCTGTTCGATCAAAAATGAAAAAACTGGTTATTTACAGCCTCTAAGGCGGAATACAGTTCGCCCGGTCAAATATATGTACATATTTATACTAATTACGAAATCAATGCGGACGAAGTCGCGTGTAAAAACTAGCATTTTATTAAAAATAAAATAATTAAGATATAAAGCAATTAAAAATATAACAATTTTATCAGCAAACTTTGAATAATAACAAAAATTATGTTTATCAATACAATAACATGAAAATGACCTCATAATAAAAAAAGAAACTGATTGGTCAAGAACGTTACACTATTTAGCAAAATAAAATATATGACATTCCACGAATTACACAATTTTTACTATAAAGGACTAGTTGAATCATACTGTCTTTTTAACTATAAATTATTTATTAAATCAAGAAAATCTTCTTCTACCTGGCAATTTTCCAGATTTAGCCAGGGTCTGCCTTACATGTTGTGAGTAGTTTTAGCTAATTGTTTTTACAACCAGCCTTGATATCAACCCTCTTTGGGAATGCATTAATCAGTGATGTCTAAATACTCTTAGAAAGTACATATGACTCGGAAAAATCACATTGGTACTTGTCAGGGCCAGGATCGAACCCGCGCCCTCGTGCATGAGAGGCGGGCCTTTTAACCACTAGGCCACTACTGACTTAAGAAAATATTCGATAATAATTGGTGGCGTATACGTTACCTTGATTAAGAATCTATACTGGTATTAAAGCCTCAACCAGGCCTCAACATTTCATAAGAGATGAGGTCTTCACACATAAAAAGCTTTATCTTATAAACTGCACTATAATATAATTCACAAATAAACACAGGATATTTAACGCTAAAAAGCGAATAGATTAAACAAATGTATGCTAGCCGACTATTATGAGATGTTCAAAAACATTTTAGTTTTAGTAAATTTAGACCCAAATTCATATAAAAACGACCAGCCAAGGATAGTGTTGAAGACAAACTAAAAGTTTCCGTCTTCCTAAAGAAGTTGTAAAGAGATAACGCTATCAAATGACTACTCGTAAAACAGCCCGCGTTTTTGGTTAAAATTATTTAATACATCAAACGAAACATAGAGCCTAATCTATTAGGTAGTGTTAGAAGTAAAATTAATAATTTTTATTCTTGAGGGTGTTAGAAAATAAAGTTAGTTGTCACTAAGAATCGAAACTGATTCAACGTCTTTTAATAGTTTTAGATAGATAATATATGAAAGATATTAATTTGGGGATCTTTTATTTTATAAATATATATTATATAACATATATTTTATTGATAAACAATATATAAAAGAAAGTCGTGTTAGTTAAAATATTTATAACTCAAGAACGACTGTACGGATTTGCTTGGAAATTTGTGGGCAGGCAGCTTAGAACTAGGAGCATGACATAGGATACTTTTTAATCCGTCCCACTAAAGAAAAAACAAGTACGTTAAGAAAAACTTAAATCTGTGTATTTACTGACTTTAAAGAAAAACAGTTCGCCTGATCAGCTGTACATTTCTAATTCAGAAACTGATGTAGATGAAGTCGTCAGCAAAGGCTAGTATATATAAAGTCTCACCTATTTGTTAGACAATCCAGTTGCTAACAAATCTTCTTTCACCTAAATATTTTAATTCTCATGACTGATGAAAAAACAACTACTTACAAACAACACACTACACCAAAGTATTCAAACGACTAAGGAAAATACTACTAAGGAGGCAAAATTAAACGCTAACAAAACTTATTAATAGAAAATTATCTTTATATAAAATATTGTACGTCTTTAAAACGAGGAGAACTTGTCAAATAAACAACTCATTGAACTTGTAGTTTTATCTTGAACTCTCTTCATTTAAAATTATATTAAAATCCCTACTAATATTATAAATGCGAAAGTAACTCTGTCTGTCTGTCTGTCTGTCTGTCTGTCTGTCTGTCTGTTACTCTTTCACGCCTAAACCACTGAACTGATTTTAATGAAATTTGGTACTGAGATAGAGTTGACCTTGAGAAAGAACATAGGATAGTTTTTATCCCAGACTTTTGAAACGTTCTCTTGGAAACGCGATATAACCGAACTCCACGCGGGCGAAGCTGCGGGCGGAAAGCTAGTCTATAAATATATGAGAAATTCGTGTTATTTACACTATTTATAACTCCAGAACGGCTGTATGGGTTTTGATGAAGATTGGTGGAGAGATAGATTAGAACACAGAAAGGACATAGGATACTTACTAAAAAAATAAAAAATAATAACAAGTTGATCAAATCCAAAATCTTCCTACTTACTGTCTTTAAGGATGAATAGAGTTCCCCCGATCAGCTATACATATATTACTAGAGTCGAAATTAAGGCGGACGTAGCCGCGGACAAAAACTAGTTTTTTATAAATACATTTGACTTCGTTAACTAAGTTTTATAAAGAAACTATATATATAATGAGATCTAAGACTTTAGCTAGTATTTATTTAAACGAATCTAATATTTTATTATACGCGTATATAATTATTGAAAAAACTACATACTCCCGAAGTCTCGGTTATTTCTCAGCAATATGTATACAAACACACATCTCGTCTGTCCGTGATTACGGTTACTGTAAAGTAACCGAAACGTTGGGAGTATATAGTTTTTATCAAAGATAAAGTCGCGTAGTAAATTCGAAAATATTAGTTTCATTCAAATGTATATATCGGCGCTACCAGCTTTAATAACGGATGCGACTTGAAAATAATTTGAGGCTGTCATCAATTCTTATTAAACTTCATTAGTATTTATGATTATTGTTAAAAGTAAAACGAAATCAAAGGTTGCTTAAAAGGAGAATAGAACTATGTTTAAATCTTGGTATAAATATGACGCACGACGGCAGACTCCAGAATTGATAATTCAGAGTTCAGAGAGTGTGTAACATTGAAGTATGTTATTATGAAGAATCTTTGAGAAATACAGGAGCATTAAGATCAATTGAAGTTTCATTTTAAAATATCATGGAACGTACTAGAAGAAGTGACATTTGTAACGTCAGTGAGGCTGGCGTCCCTCTCTTTTAAAACAACGAATCTGTAATAAATCCAACATATAAAAATTCAGCATACGTATAACACTAAGTTCAAATGTAAAAACGATGATTATAAACACTTAAAGTGAATAATAATTTTTATCAAATGAAGCACTTATTACAATGATTTTATTTATGCCTTGAAAATATTCGAGTGAAATCACAGGATAAGCCATGTATTCCATATAATATAATTACAATGGAATAATGATTTATTAAAATCTCAAATTTCAATCGTCCTCTAAGAATTTTCACGTTTATTCCGCGATAAATAACATTTTGGAAATGAGTTTTTTGTCATTTTAATTTCAAATCATACATTACACATATTATACATAAGATGGTCGCAGAAAATTTACTACGAATTCTCCAATCTAATGTGTTTGTTACATCCAATAGAAAAACAAAAGCAAACAAAGTTAGTAACAGAACTTTGTTTAATCAACAAAGTACGTCTTTTGTATCCTGAAACAAATATTATTGTTATTATACAAGACTTAATTATTACAATTAATATGTATATGTTTGAATGAATAATGAAAATAACCCAGACACATTCAGGAAATACTGTGGGGAAAAGGGCATTTAAACTAAAAGTAAACTATACTCAAAGAAAACTTTCTGGCCTAGTGGTTAAACGCCCGCTTCTCATGCATGAGGGCGCGGGTTCGGATCCTGGCAAGTACAAATGTGATTGTTCTAAGTCATATTTAGACACCACTGACTGATTAAGGAAAACATCGTGAGGAAACCTGGACTTATATCAAATTATAATTTTGAAATCACCAATCAGTCTTGAGCAAGCGTGGTGATTAATGCTCAAACCTTCTCCATGTGAGAAGAGGACCTACAGCAGTGGGCTCTGATAGGCTGATGCTATTCTTTAAGCTAGACTTAATTTAACTGAGGTAAAAGATTTAAATATATGTAATGTGATATTTTTCTATCGTTACCTATAATATCAATGATTCGCTTTGAAGTTCTTCTTTCCTTTTTCTTTCTTTATTTTTATTTCTTTCTACCAAAACAATGAAAGATTGTAGAATGTAGATGCCTTATATGTATAAGGTTTCTAGCTTAAGGTAAGTCTACACTGTAAGAAACTTATGTTATTTTACATTTTGATCTCAATATTATTGTTTATTTACTGTTAATATTAAATGTTGAATAGTAAACAACGTTTCCTAATTATGTAGGGTGGTTACCGGAGGTTCCAGGAAAACTAAGATAACTTACTTATATGTATATTATAATAATAATTACATATTAAAACTTATAACCTACACCTAAGACTACATGATTGACCCGATGTTATGATAGCAATACCATTCCATAGCTTGTGTGTATCAGGAATCTTCTGGTTCACACGGCTTGGTGTTCGTTCCGCGGAGTCAGCGGCGTCAAGAGCTATATATTTTATACATACAACGATGTCGCCCCGGCGATGTTCATTTCTTAATAAGTAGCGCGTACGTAACAATATTTTTAATATACTTTACAATCATCTAAACTAATTGACCGATTTTAAATCAAATTTGCATACTGCATGCAGTTTGATCCAACTCAAAAGTTTGTAGCTTGCATCTTAAATACCTTACTCTGTACACACAGCAAGCATATATAAGAAAAATGTATTGCTTGTTAATACTTCATTACTTAGGCTATATTTCATTTAAGCTGAGTTGGGGCTACAAGCATGATGATGTACCGCTTCTTGGCTCGGAGCAACAAAAGGTATTTGTTTTTTTTCAGTAGGAATTTAACACTCTCTTTTGCCCGAACCAAAACAAGACAAGACAAATGATTTGATAATTTTACCCCTCAAAAAAGGCCATATTTTTCTGTTCTTGTTTCCCATATTACTTTTTCAATACCCATGTCATAATTAATTAGTTTTTATAATGTAAATATGAGGAAAAATTTTTTCAGTTAAAATCAATACGCCGATATCGTCGGGGATAGTGCAAATGCGTAACTAGCATTGAATAATTCTACGTATATACATTGGAAGCAGATTGACAGAAAAAGTTTAAGCTTTAATATTTCCTGAATTTAATGACGTTTAAAATAATTTCTTTCACAATTGATAATTATTTAATGTTTACTAATTGTGAAAAATAAAATTTATTACTAATTGTGAAAAAGTTACTTTAAAAGTCGTTAATATACAAAATATTTCAGCTTAAACCTGCTTCTGTCAATCTGCTTTAAATGCAGATACGCGGATTTTGCACTACCCCCGGCGATATCTCATATCCCTACTAATATTATAAATGTGAAAGTAACTCTGTCTGTCTGTTACGCTTTCACGCCTAAACCACTGAACTGATTTTAATGAAATTTGGTACAGACATAGAGTTGACCTTGAGATAGAACATAGGATAGTGTTTATCCCAGACTTTTGAAAGGTTCTCTTGGTAACGCAATATAACCGAACTCCACGCGGGCGAAGCTGCGGGCGGAAAGCTAGTTTATTTATATAAAGATCAAATAAATGAAAGACGAGTCAAGTTAAAAACATATTTTATTCTACGACTAATTGAACATTAAATTATATTAATTAATTAAATAACAAATAAGGGAGTGTTTTATATTTGAGACAAGCGCCATCTTTACAAAAAAATATCAAATGTCACCTCCTAGACTAAATATAACAACAATGCCACAGATTATATTACGCCACGTCAAAATGGCGCCAATTTTATATCCCTAGAACTTTCGTGTACATAATTTTAATTAAATTTATATATTTCGTTTCATAAGAGCAAGCTTTACCAATTTACGGCTAAGTACCATAGACATTGTATTTTTTTTTAAACAGTACTAGGTTTAAATTATTCAGCCGTATCGTTTCATTAAATCTTCTTAATTGTACATCTCCTTTTGTTTTCTTCTTGCTATCTCCGCGCTCGCTTCTTGAATAGCCTCCCACAGCTTGGCTTCTGATAATATTTGTCGTGATAATTCATCTATGGTCATGTCAGAATCTACTAGAGATTCGATGACGTCGTCGTCCACAAACTGTAGTAATAAAAAATATAATTTAAACTTTATATATTTCGTTATAATCTAGAGGTTAAAGGCTCGCCTCTCATGCATAAGGGCGCGGGTTCCAAACTTGACAAGTACCAATGATTTTTCCGAGTCATATGTACTTTTTAAATAATTTAGACATCAGTTATCACTGACTGATGAAGGAAAACATCGTGAGGAAACATGGACTTATAATTTTCAATTGGTAGTCATAAAATATATTACTGCTTTATAAAAGCTAATATATATTTATTAAAAATTGTATAAAGGGAATTAAAAAGAGTTGGCTGGAACTTCACTTAATAAATATTCATAAAACAAACTTCTTATCCAAATGTTTGAAACATTTGATCTCAATTATCATGATAAAAAGAAGTGAAATTGACTTTGAAAAAGAAAATATGGTATAAAAAATATATTGTCACGACCAGATTCGAACCCACTACCTTAGAAACTTGTTAGACTTACCTTACTATTTAAATGAAAGTAATATTTTTCGGATGTACTTTACAGTAATCGAAACGTTGGGACTTGGGAGTATGTAGTTTTTGATAAAAATAAAAAACCGCGTAGTATAATCCGAAAAATATTAGTTTCATTTAAATGAATATTCGCGAGATTTAGATTTCATTACTTACTTTAATAATTAAACAATAGTGTCATTGTTTTTTTGTCCGAAATCAATACAAAAATCAACAAAATTTAAGTAAAGAAGTAAAATATTGCAAAAATGTCCACAAAAACAATACATTTGAAATAAAAAAATATTTTTAGAATACCTGGCGCTGTCTTCCAATCTCATTCATCGGCATACCAGGAGTTGCTTGTGATCTTTTACGTCCACAACCTGAAATAAATTGGTTACCAAATAAAAATACTATCAAAATCAATAGCTATGGCTTTCCCCATATTTTCCTAGGTTATTGAAAAATTTCATAGCTACAAACTAAAGGAAAACTCATAATTTTTCTTTAAAACACCCAATTATAAATTTTTGCTATAACCCCTACTTTTATGTTGTTAACCAAGAATTCTGATTTTTTAAACTGTTTAAAAAAGGCAATATTTCCAAGTATATTAAGTTCAAATTGAAATCTTCATATTCCCAAGTTACAGGATCTTGACAAAAACAAAGAGGGACATACGAAAAATTAGGTAATCCAAAAGCATCCTCGCTTCCTTATGAAGCATGAAATCTTATTTACGTAACAATATAAAAACTTAGATTCATTCTCATACTAAAACAAAACAATTTTCACAAAAACGTTTCTTCAAATGATAAAGATGTAGGGTATATTAGGACTTAGGTTCCAAATCGCAACAATCTTTTAGGGTTAAATCCAAAGCTCAATGGAGAAAAGCTATATTAAAATTAAATACTTAAGTCTGCCTCAATTATCTGCCTTTACTAAAGATACAGCCAATTATGTATGTTATTAAAAATTTTGTATACTTTTATAAAAATCTCTAATTTTAGACAAACATCTGCGGAAAGTGACTGCTTGTAAAATATAACACCAAAACTTGGTATAGAATTAGATCAGTGGTTGCCAAACTTATTTTGTCTACTTTCTACTATGAGAATCATTTTTATCTTGTTATCGACCACTTTGGGAAACTCTGGATTATATTATACATTATTATATCATTTTCATCTCCTTACCAGTGAAAGCGTTGCAGAACGGTCTCTTCTTAGGCGAAAGAATCACTTCCTCTGACAATCTTGGATCAAACGGCCTCGGAATCTTAAAATAGACAAAAAAATCCATAAGAAATACAAAAAAATGTATATTTTAATGAGTTTTTCCACCAAACAGGTTGTATAACATAAATTTTGTTTACCGTGGCCGTATAACAACAGTCCAAACATAAAAGTGCGATGATTAAGATGGACACGCGAGACGTAGAAGACATGATGACCGCTTGAAACGAGAGTTATCTGTAAAGAAAATTGTTTAATAATTACTTTATAGTATAAATATACATCTAAAATTTATGGCATCATCATCATCAGCCTATCAGAACCCACTGCTGTAAGGCCTCTTCTCACATGGAGAAGGTTTGAGCATTAATCACCACGCTTGCTCAACACGGTTTGGTGATTACAAACTTATAATTGGAAATTATATGTCCATGTTTTCTCACGATGTTTTCCTTCATCAGTCAGTGATGTCTAAATACTCTTATAAAGTACATATGACTTGGAAACATCACATTGGTACTCGTACTTGCCAGGATGGAACCCGCGCCCTCGTGTACAAGAGAGCCCTTTAACAACTAGGCCACCATTGTCTTAATTAGAATGGAACTTATCTACATTTGTTATGTAACCAACTATATCTAATAAAAATGGTTTTTTCATGAAACAAATTCCAAAGTCTAAGCGAGGGAAGTAACAAGCAGACACTAGTTTATATTTTGTGATAGAGTATTTTGTTTAAAAGAATAAAAATTGCATAGTAAGCCCGAAAATATTAGTCTCATTTAAATGAATACTAGCGAAAGTCTTATCATTATACGGTTTTTATTAATTGAGAAATTATGTGTGCCTTCTAAATACTTTTTAAGTTATTGTTGAAATATAACTTAGATTTTTTAATTAAATTTCTATTCGTATTTTTAACACGCTTATATTATCTTGGGTTGTATGTATGTAACGGAATCTTTGAGCACGATTTCCATGTTCTAAACATCTGATTAACTTGAAACTTTGCATATGTCTCAAGGACCAATGACAATACATTAATTCGTTAACAATTTCCCATTATCCTTGTTAGGGCCGCCAGGATTAATATATTCATTTCATAGATCCTCTATGAGAGTGAAAGGGACAGAGCTAGTGTGTGATCGCGCATGTGCACAAAAAACTGATTGATAAATCGTACTAAAAAATATAAAATAAATATAATATAGTGTTTTTTTAGTGTTTTAAACTAATATTTATTTTAAACTAAGAAAGCATTGGAATAATTTGCTCTTATTTATTTAGGGATTGTATTTTAAATGACCATTGTATCTCACAGTAGGATAATAAGTATTTCAACATAACAGTACTTAATTTTATTGCGCGTTAGCACACACCTTTTTGTATCGTCAGAATAATTTTAGAGTAATTTTCTTTATAATGCTCACAAAATGGCGGTTTATTTACGAGAGTTTTATAAAACAGTATTCTAAAATCCTTTTTTTACTATTAATATCTTTAATTTATATAGGTTTAAATTCTTACGAGAATCACAACGTTTTAGAAATGAATCCTACTGCAATTGAAAGATTATAAATATTTGAAAGTAATGTCTGTCTTCAAATTCATAAAAAACCTGTTTTCATCATACTGTTTTTTTTTGTTTTTTTTAGCCTTTCAGAGACCACTGCCGTAAGACCTCTTCTCACAAGGAGAAGGTTTGAACATTAATCACCACGCTTGCTCAAGACGGGTTGGTGATTTCAAACTTATAATTGTGACATGATAAGTCCAGGTTTCCTCACGATGTTTTCCTTCATCAGTCAGTGATGTCTAAATACTCTTATAAAGTACATATGACTCGGAACAATCACATTGCTACTTGCCAGGATCGAACTCGCGCCCTCGGCAACGAGAGGCGGGCCTTTCAACCACTAGGCCACTACTGACTTATTATTTTTTTTTTTTATTATTTAAACATAATTTTAAGTAGATCGTTTTAAGATCAATAGCCAAAAATACAGACATAGATACATATGTATTTGTATATACTATCTTGGAACTTACGACTGAAACTGGTCTTCTCTGTACCATCCTCAACCAAATTAACTTCAGTATTTGTCTAATGGAATAGCGCTTTTTTTAAACCTATGTTTAATTTATTAAATTTAAACTGTATAGTTATTTTAAAGTAGCATACAAAAAAAAATTGCAGAATGTATTAAATATTACATATTTTTCGATACATTAAAATACAATCTAAAATTATTATTTTATTAAATGTACTATTTAAAAATCTTATAATTTTAATTTAATTGAACATATATATATCTCTGATATTTGAAAGACTATACGAAAAATAAATAATAGTTTAAAAACACACGCTCTTATAGCAAACCGAACTAAAAACTTAATATGAAAAGAATTATATTAATGCTGGCCCTAACAAGGATAATGGGAAATTGTTAACCAGTTATTATATTGTCATTGGTACTTGAGACATATACAAAGTTTCAAGTTAATCAGATGTTTAGAAACCGGTGAAAATCGTGCTCAAAGATTCCGTTACATACATACAGCCCAAGATAATATAAGCACGTTTAATTATTTTTTTTTAAACTTCTTTGTACTTACGTAATCAAAGTTATGAAAAGAATCTTTATACTGACGACGCGCTCATATATGTTTCTAATAGAAAATTACGTCATTATATCAAACTGCAGACAAAGTCGAGGACATTAAATAGTTAATAAATATTTATAATATTATTATATATAAGTAAATCCTTCATGATTTTAATAGTTATAAAAGTACATATGTTTAAACATTATAAGAGTAAAGAAATATTTGCGAATTCATAAATTATCAAGATTATTTAAACACAAGTATCTTTTAACTAAAAATAATTATATTTTTTATATTTCATTACTAGCTTTCCGCCCGCAGCTTCGCCCGCGTGGAGTTCGGTTATATCGCGTTCCCAAGAGAACCTTTCAAAAGTCTGAGATAAAAACTATCCTATGTTCTTTCAAGGTCAACTCCATCTCTGTACCAAATTTCATTAAAATCAGTTCAGTGTTTTAGGCGTGAAAGCGTAACAGACAGACAGAATCACTTTCGCATTTATAATATTAGTAGGGATTAAATACTACTTCTAAATACAATAAAATTTACAAAAGCTTACAATTTTATCAAGATTTCTATATACATATACATACGAGCTGAGCCGGCGAACTTTGTACCGACCTATAATCAAGAAATATCTATTACACACACTACAAATTATTCTGTAGAAACCAATGTGAAAAGTACACTAAGAAATGGTAAATGAATTATGTAGATTTGTTATTATAACTCCGGCCAGAGACCAACTCCGACCGATATATTTGTAAAGAGCAAGTAAATTTGTTTTAATGATAACTACGTGAATATTACTGCCAGTAACACATTATTTTATTAAAAAAGTGAAATATTCTATGTAGTATTTTTTTATTAATTTTCATATTTTTTCTTACATAAGAACCTTCTCCTAATAATAACAAATATAATAAAAAAGAATTAGTGATATCGGTCCAACCATTCACGCGTGATGCCGTGACCAAGGGAAAAAGGGATTCATTTTTATACATAGACTAGCTTTCCGTCCGTAGCTTCGCCCGTGTGGAGTTCGGTTATATCGCGTTTCCAAGAGAACCTTTCAAAAGTCTGAGATAAAAACTATCCTATGTTCTTTCTCACGGTCAACTCTATGTCTGTACCAAATTTCATTAAAATCAGTTTAGTGGTTTAGGCGTGAAAGCGTAACAGACGAACAGACAGAGTTGCTTTCGCATTTATAATATTAGTAGGGATAAACATATTAATAGAATAACTAATTTTTTAACATGACCCTAGGTATACGAAAACAAGTCAAAATAAAAATTCAACAACCCTCCAAGAATAACTGGACCCAATTGAAAGTTTAACGAGACGTAACTTGATAAAGTATCAGTTAGTTTTGAACTTGTAACACAGTTAAAACAATATTTATCTTCTAAACTGTCCAGTCACTAACAATAGTTATTTTGATTGTAACTAAAATGTAGACTAACTGTAAATAGGTATAAGTTATATATGCAAAGGGCGCGGGTTCGATCCTGGCCCTGGCAAGTACCAATATGATTTTTTCGAATCATATGTACTTTATAAGAGTATTTAGACATCACTGATTAATGCATTCCCATATAGGGTTGATGTCAGACAGACGGCGGGTCGTAAAAAACAATTAGCCAAAACTATTCACAACATGTAATGCAGACCCTGGCTGAAGCTGGGAAATTGCCAGGTAGAAGAAGAAGAATCCATTCATTAATATCTCTTGATAAGATGACTACTGTTTATGAAGACATTTTTTTCCCAATAAGTTTTGTTATTAGCTTAATTTCAATTATTACACAATTCATTTCTAAACCACACAATATTATTATTGTGGATCATACTGGTATATGTTCGCCACACCTAACCGAATTGCGTTACTACCTACAATGATCATATTTAGCCATCAAATTAACTTTCGTTACACATAACATTGTTATTTGATGGTTTTATCATGCTCTTCACCCAAAATACTAAGTCTAGAGGTATACAGGGTGACTGGTGAATTACTATCGATACTTGAGGACGTGATATTTGACGATCATATATGACAAAATAAAAATTAATATAACATAAATATTAAAGTAAAGTTAACCAAAAGTTATGTAATTAATTACGCATCGTGTGAACACCCTACAGATTAGGTACACACACACACTCACACAGTCACCCTGTATAGAAAAGAATTTTAGGCTCAATCAACAAGTCTGATTCAAAAAATTGATTTAGAGTAATCTTTTAAACGTGAAAAGCTCTGAAACTCATGTACATACATATTTGTGTATAATGATTTAAGATTTTCGCGATTATTCGTTTAAATAAAACTACTTAATATTATATGAAAATGTAACATTTTCATTTACGTCTCTCCGTGATCACTGTTGCTGAAAAGTAACCGAAACGTCGGGAGTGTGTAGTTAAAATAATAAAAAACGTGTATGTACTAATTACAATTAAAACTTTACAATATAATAATCATTGTCAGATAATAACCACGAAGCTTATTTATAAAATTCTATTATAGATTACCTCCAATAATACTCAAAGAAATTACGTAAGAATATCTGATCTCCCAAAGTAAAAAGTATTTGTGTTT